AACGGGGACGTGTTTCTGGCATCGTGTTTCCGATGATTGTGGACGAATTCGGCGATAGGAAGATGATTTGACCATTCTAACGGGTTATTCCTGCAATAGATCCGTAGGTAGGTTTCCAGTTCTTGGTTAAGACGTTCTGTTTGTCCGTCTGTCTGGGGGTGGTAGGCGGTTGATGCGGCGATCTGATATCCGAGTAGTCGGGCAAGTTCTCGAGAGAATTTCGAAATGAACTGCGGTCCTCTGTCTGAGATTACTTTTTCGTGGAGGCCGAATCTTTTGAACACGTTTTTGAGGAATAGTTTGGCTACTCCTTCGGAGGTGATGTTTTTATTGCAAGGTGAAATAATTACCCCCTTCGTAAGCCCATGGTCTACCACGATCATGATAGAGTCAAAACCGCCCGATACAGGTAGGTCGGTGATAAGGTCAACAGAGACTTGTGAGAAGGGTCGAGTGGCGATGGAGGGGATCGGTCGTAACGGCGGAGTGACCGGGTGCGTGTCAGCCTTCATTTGCTGACATAAGGCACATCCGTCGACATATTTGCGGATGTAAGTTCCCATGGCTGGCCACCAAAAATCTCGTTTGACGAGTTCTTCCGTCTTGAATCGTCCGGGATGTCCCGCAGTGGGATGATCATGGTGTTTAAATAACACGTCATGTCGTTGGGCTGCTGGCACGTAAGCTCTATTTTTATAAAAAAGGACGCCATCGGTGCATGTCCAGTCTGAGAGGGCGGATTTCATTGGGGGAAGGCATACTCCGTCCAATGCTTCCAGGGCTTTCTGATAGACGGGATCGCTGGTGGAGTTGCGTGCAATACTTTCTGACAAATCATTGTCAATTAGTCGCACGAACATGGTATCAGGGAGGAGAATGCGATTTTCGTTATCGTCTTTTCCGAGGGAATGGTCGGGGCGTCGAGAAAGGGCATCAGGGGCGGCTAATTTGGTCCCTGCGACGTGATGCAACTCTAACTGATAATTGGAAAGGGCGAGCTGCCAACGTGCCTGTCTTCGTGTCAGCTTTTGGGCGGATCGGAAGTACAGGAGGTTCATATGATCCGTGAATACTATCACGGTGTGGGGGCTCCCTTCTAAATAGTGGCGCCATTCAGAGAGTGCTCTAATGACTGCCAGTAGTTCTCTGTCAAAGATTTCGTAGTTTCGTTCTGCGGAGTTGAGAGATTGGGATAGATAACCGCATGGATGGTACATTCCATTTTCATCAGTCTGCAGCAACACTGCTCCGGTTGCTGCCAACGATGCATCGGTAGCAATTGCGAATTGGCGAGTTGGATCTGGGTTTCTCAGTACTGGTTGTGATAAAAAGGCGTTTTTAAGGTGGTCGAAGGCGTTCTGACATTTGTCAGTCCAAACGAAAGGGTGGTCTTTCTTTGTGAGGTCGATAAGGGGTCGAGCGATATCCGAGTAGTGAGCAATGAACGTCCGGTAGAAATTGCAGAATCCTAGGAAAGACCGTGTGTCTTTTAGGTTCTCTGGGGTTGGCCAGTGTTTGATTCCGTCTACTTTGGCGGGTTCCATCCCTACTTCCCCTGGTCGGATCATCATTCCAAGATATTCTACTTCTCGCGCATTAAAAGTGCATTTTTCCGGTTTAACGAATAGTTTCTCTCTTCGAAGGATGTCGAGGATTTCGACGGTCCGTGCTTGGTGCTGCTGGAGATCCTTTGAGAAGATTAATAGGTCGTCCATGTATATGACTAGCCATCCTTGGTTTATCTGCTTCTGGCAAATGTTGGTCATGAACGCTTGGAAAGTTGCGGGGGAATTCGTTAATCCAAAAAACATGACTGTTGGTTCGAACAGTCCTTCTTGAGTGGTAAACGCTGCTTTCCATCGATCTCCTGGGTGGATCCTTACGTTATTGTATCCTGATCTAATGTCGATCTTCGTGAAATACTTAGCGTCATAGAGTTGTTCAATGAGGGATTTTGGCAGGGGGAGGGGATATTGGTTTCGTATGGTCCAATCGTTGAGATACCGATAATCCTGACAGGGACGTAGTTCTCCGCTCTTCTTTCCTACGAAAAAGAATCCGCTGGCTTGAGGTGACTTGGAGGGGACAATAAAACCTTTTCTAGTGTTTTCTTCGATAAATGTTTTGACAGCTTCTCGTTCTTTTCCTGATAATGGATAGACTTTTGACGTCTTGGGTACAAATCCTGGTTTGAGGTCGATACGATGATCTACTCCCGGTCTTTCTGGCGGGAGTTTGTTAAGACCATCCTTGGCAAAGACGTCTCGATACTGGTGGAGGAAGTGAGGGACGAGTTCTTCGAAAGTTTTCTTTTGTTTTTCTATTTCTCCTGCAACCGCGAATTCTTGGGCTTTATTACTTGTTTTTCCATAGTTTTGTTCTCTTTTTGATGTTCCGTCTTGAACGAGTGGGGTATCGAAGGTTATATCTTCTATGATGCGTACGGTGGATCCATCAGTGGCATACTCGACGAGTACTTCGTCACTGGCCAATTGATAGTCAAATGGGTCTGCGACTGGAGTTTTGAAGTTTTCAGACCAGACGTCGTCCTTCGTGTCATAGTTAGGTATTTCTTCATCAACTATCGGTTTCCGTAATTTGGAATTTGTCCAAGTTCGGTTCGTTTCTTTTCTGACTTCTTTTCTTTCTTTGAAAAGCGGGGGAAGTGATTTTTTGCGTCTTTTTTTGTCGATGCTTTTTTCTATGGCAAGCGACCTTTTTGTTGATGGGAGTAATACGGTCTTGGCTTCCCAATCGATCTGAGGTTTTAGTGCAGCAAGCCAGGGGAATCCTAGGAGGATTTTGTCCTGCTTAGCTAACTTTGCCACATTGAACTTCCCGATCATAGTTCGTTGATCGATTTTGATCGTGAGTACGCAATAACGAGAGATAAGTCCTCCTTGAGCGTCCGATCCATCGGCGGTGATAACAGGGAAGGGTCGTGAAAGTTTATGGGTTTTTATTTTGTGCCTTTTACAGAAGGTATCGCTGATAAAGGTGCCGGATGCTCCGGAATCGATAACCATGGATGTTTCGACGGTTTGTACGCGTTTATCGGAAAAAATGGATGCAGGAATTCTTAATTCATTTCTGGTTCCGATAGAACGTATTAGTCGTACATGAGTGGGAGTTACTGACGTCGAGGCAGTGTCCCTTTCTAAAAATCCATTTCCACGAAGCGGCGTTCTACTTCAGTGAAGTCGCTGTCTTCTTCTTCTTCGACTTCTTTGGCTTTTTCTTTCATAGTCTTCCTTCGGATCGGTGCTTTCCTTTTAGGAATTTCTTCTTCGTTCCTCTCCTTCTTTCTTCTGATAGGGGTCCTGGAGGAGGAAGCGCGACTTTCGACTTCGTCGTCGCTGCTACTTTCTTCTTCTTTGTTTCTTCGGATCTGTCCTTTTTCTCTAGGGTGGAAGGAGGTGTCGTTGGCACGGTGTCCTACTTGGTGACATTTGAAGCATCTTCCTTCTTTGAGGTGCTTCTTTAATTCTGCGTCTGAGAGACGGCTTATGCGGTCGACTTCCATGTCGTCGTTTCTTCTCGGAATGTAATGCCTATTTCCGAAGTTTTTCTTCTTCTGTTGCTGGGGTCTTTCTTTTTTTCTTATGGCTTTCCATCTTTGGAAGGCGTTATCGATATTAATGCAGGTGTTGACGACAGTGTCGAAGTCATCAAGGGTTTCGCCTGTTTTATACAGGTTGTCCTGAAGCCCGTAGTCTAGGCCTTGTCGAAAGAATTCGATGAGGGGGGCTTGTTCGGTCATTCCTGCTCGGTGTGCGAGGAGTTTGTAATTGGAGATATAGGTATGGAGATCTCCTTTCATCTCCAATCCTCTTATCTTCGTCATGGCAGTTCCGGCGGGGTCCATGGGTTTAAAGGCTTCGTCGAAGTCCTTTTTGAATTTGATCCAGGTACCGTAGCCGATCATTTGTCCAGAGGTGTCTTTCCTCTTGGGGTCTAGGGCTGCTTCCATGAAGTCTTCTGCCCAGGCTGCTGCGTTTCCTTTTGTCATGTAGGATAACACAAGGATGATCTTCTTTTTATCATCAATGTAGACTTTGTCGTTAATGTCGAGGTATGCATGACATTTCATCATGAATCTCTTTGATTCTTCCCTGTCTCCGTCGAATTCGGGAGGGGAACCGATCTTTAGTTCTATTTCTTTGTTCTGTGTCGTCATGGTGTTCAAAGGAGGAATGGTTGGTAGCGCTCCTAAGTTCAAGGCTCCGATTAAGGGAGTTAACGAAGTCGTAGTGTCGGTTTCGTTGCAGATGGCAACGGTTCAGGTGATAAAGACTTTAATCTTTTGTTACGACTGGGATAAGTCGAGCTATCTTTGTCTGAGTAGACAATCAGCGTAGTGCTTTGATAGACGTGAGTCTGCTCTCGATTGAGAGATCAAGGTTTCTGGCTAAGGCGAGTGTCGCTGACTCCCTTAGAATAGTAGTTCTGAGACAGTAAGGTTGAAGACCTTACTGAAGGACGATGTTCCAGGTAAAACCCAGTAGATTAAAGTAAGGAATACAACAGTAGGTAGATAGGTTTATATACCAGTGTTCAAGCGGAGCTTGTAAATATGTTTATCAAGATAGAAGCAAAAGAGGCGGACAGCCCGCTCGGCGAGATAAGAGATAGGCATGATAAGAGATAAGCGTGGTACGGACGGCCCGTTTGGAAGTGAAAAGGGAAATAAGTATAGGGGTCTAAATGTTACTGTAACATAGTCTGGGAATTCAACCTCCCTCCAGCCCGACATCGTCACTTGACGAGCCAATCAGCATAGGTGTTCGTCGACGCAGGGACAATGAACCTTCCGACCATGGGGATCCCACCAAACTCACACCTCAACGTACGAAACGTTTGAAAATGCATGCGAAGAAGGGTTGTGACGAACATGAGGTTCCACACGAAGAAGTTATGACTTTCATTGATGTATTAAGTTCTCATTGGATGGCTTGTTCGTCGTGTTGGCTTACTTGATGCAGTCTGGCAGCATTTTCTATATGCTCGTTGACCTGAAGATCACCCTCGTCAAACTTTGTCAGGGAAACAAGGCCACGAGAATGCAGGAATTAAAAGATGCGTTGGAATCGAAGGACTTCGAGGTAACGATACGGTACTTTGTGTTTTGTTGTATGCTGAATTTGAATCATAGAATGGACTTTACAACCGCTTGTTTGCTTGCATGTTGTCACCGAATCTCACAGCGTATGTCACTGACACTCAGTGTCATATAATGGTTAGGCTCTAGTATTCGCTATCCTAAACGACACCACTAACATAACATATTTCAGGACTTCATCGTCAAGAATAGGGACGTCTTCAAAATCCCCCCCGGACTTCTCGACGATGTTGAGCTTAGAGCTCAGTTAGGCAAGGTGGTCACGAAGCTGCTCACAAATATTTGTTGTGCCATCAAGACGGCTGTAAGTCTCGCTCTACTTTTTGACACAACTTCAATCATTATAATGATTGTGTAGCTCACCACATCGATTGTCAAGCGCACGAGTGTTGCCGATGTGACCAGGTCGCTTGCACGTAGTGGGTCTGGCATGGAGGTTGATTCTACTCACTGGAACAGGATTTCACTACTGGTAAGTCGTACTATCTTTAATGTAATATCAACATTAATTGATGCAAGGACAGCGGCGTCTCCTGCGGATTTTTCTCATCGGTGTCAGCGATTACAAAACCGCTTCCATCAAGGACTTATTTTCCCCTTACCTTGTTCCATCGCTCAAGCAGGATTTACGGGACAAAGTCACACGCGAGCTCAATATTGACGTGGAACAGCTTGAAAGGGAGCTATTTGACGCTGATTTCGATAATGCGCCTAGGACTGATGTCAATCCAAGTCAAGTCCCCACAGGCACTCAAGTCAATGGCAGTCATGCGTCCAGTGCTGGGAGGGACCAGAATGATCCTGACATGACCTACGGACCACTCACGGATCAAAGTGGAGTGCAGCAGGATGATTTGGACACCAATGGAGAGGACAACGAGTCAAACGTGAGCGGCAGTGCAAACGGTGTAGTTCTACTCGACAACCCACTTGACTCCGGATTTGGACTGGTCGAAGGCATGCCAATGCGGTACAACAGTACAATTAAGTTCTGGAACTTCGTCGACCACTCACTCTTAATGATGCGCAAGATGGCTATTGAATCCTCCCCAATCGTCACCGAGCAGGAAAAGGAATTGCAAAAGTATGTATTCATATGGTCAGCGACATTATACGGACTGATCTTTGATTAGGTTGTTCATCGAAATTTTCCAAGCTGATCTCGCTGAGTTTCCTGGTAGCAAGAAGGTCTCAAAGCTCATTTCGAAGACCAACCCACGCTGGCAGACCACCATTCAGTCCGGACTCATTTGGTAATTTCAATATACTTTCATTTGTTTTCGCCACTCCCTCCAGCCTCATTCTTTATCTTAATACTCGAGCTTGCCTGTAATCATTTGATACATGAATAATACATTCGTTGCACTTTCCACGATCCTGTTTATTGTGCTCTCTGTGATTCCCATGGTGTATCAGTGTGAAAAAAAATTCAAGCAGTACCCAGGCAGCATATCAATAAGACATGTTCCAGTGTCATACATATGCCGGAAATGTATAGCTTACACACTGGCCAACTAGCATATTGCCAATGCCTAGGTCTCAGTATACAATCTATGCTTGTAAAACAGGATAGTTCCGGTGCTCGGTCTCAGTACATACCGTGCACCCAAAACCAGCCAATGGATTTATAGCCCACAAGCATTGCTGTTTGTGCTCTAGCATTATTTTTTTTATGTCAGCCTACGAGTCCATCAAATATGTATTATATAATTATATATAATATACACGACGAAATTTCCCGTGAGGAGATCGGAGCGATAAAAGTTATATAACCCTATTTTTAGGCATAGATTCTATGCTTTTTTCGATTGGCGGTGTACTATCGGTGCTCAATATTTTAACCATTGAATGGCTACCGGTGTGTAGAAACCCGAATCCAACTCGATGTCGGCTGGGGGTCCTGATATTCTTTTTACGCAGTCCAACTCCTCAAATATGTTTGCAACATTTCAAATCGTCATGCATACGATCCTCGTTACTCGGATGCACCTACAGTTTTGCAACACCGTTTACGACTCGCCTGAGCCCGGAACCACATCACATTCTCAATTGACAAATATTGAACTCCAGACGCGTTCGCATTCGGATGCATGATGATTCAATGGAACGTGTACATTTTGTAAGGAAGCCTATGGCTTTGGCGCTGGACGCTCGCTCGGACCTGCACTTCAACCCTTGTGACACAGTACGCACTGCCTTCCGTTATATTTCCCGTTCATATCTCTACTTTACCTTTGTTCTCATCTCACAACTGGTTTTCCTTTCTTTCTTTATGCCTTTGTTTTGACAACACCTCCGTTTTGCTTACCACTCCCTTGCCACCCTTAGATGCCACTCGTACGTTTTGCCACTCACATACATATATATAGAGCCATGTACCTTTTCTACGAGATCTATCGAATTACCATCCGTTTTCTGCCAGACTTCGCAAGACTCGAACGCACTCGCTCGAAAGGAAAACTCATTTCTCGCTGCAGCATTTTCACAATTCCCTTCGTCAATAGCATTCCCCATCGAACTCGGAATCAGCCTTACAATTTCATTTTCTTTTCTGTTGTGTTGCAACGAATCCAAGCCGTCGTTGGGCCATCAGGAAAAGTGACAGATACAGGGTAGTATATAGTGCTTGCTAGGCTAACGAGTCAGAGGTGCATAACCTTGCTGGACTTTACGAACGAGGTTTCTCAGTCAAAAATTATTAGACGTCTCAGAATTGAGGTGCGACTCAGACAACCTAGATGCTGAAAGAGTTGACCATGATGTTAGAGAAACAGGATAATTTCAAGCAAGTAAGGAGCAACTCGTCCGACCCGTTGACATACTTATATTTTTTGCCTCTTACTATGTACTATACAGCACCCTCGCCACTCCGAGTCAGCCACAGATCCTCCATAGGCCCACATATACTCACTTCGCGCCTCTTTCCACCTCAGCGTTGTTTTATCAACAGTCGCACTAGGCTGAGCCGCACACGCCCAATCATTGACCTCCTAGTCATATCCGATATGTGCTAGTGGAAGGTATCTATAGTACCAGACTCAAGATCAGATGTTGGCCATGGTACCAAAGATCCCGTCCACTTCAACCATCTACGTATTAGCGTAGCACATCTGATTTGAATCTCTAGTGCGCTACGCGCGAGCACCGCTAGGGTACTGGCAGTAGCCGAGGGAGGGGCGTTCCTTCGTTGTGCTTGGCATGATGGTGTACGGCTATATCTCAGGGCTGAGTAAGTAATTTTTTTCAATATGGTGTCTAAGGGTTCATGATCTCATGCAGGCAATGCGATGGGGCTCCACTTGTGGCTCTTTTGACGCCTGGCCTCTCTGAGCTTGGGTGAGTCACCGTGAGTGACCGTTTTCCAAATTAATCTGGATTATAGCGCGCGGATGAGTCTGTTTCTTTGCTCTTGGTGGGTATTATAATTATTTCGACAGTGTTCCAACTCGTCACGCGATCGCCTGTGTAGGATTCGCAAGTTTGATAGGTGGGTTCAGTTGTGTCGTTTCTTGCTTAAATTTCAACTGTGTATCCAGGAACACCCATATGCGGCGCTCTGCTCACATCCAGTTATACCTGGTGGGTACGGGTCCTGTTCTCTGGGGTGAGTCGCTACTATATTCTCCAGAATTCACGTCGATTCTAACTGCCTAACAGATCGTTTCACTGGCTGGTTGCATGATGTTCATCTTCATGCAATATACGTTTCTTAGAAACCAGCGCGTTCAAGTTGATGTACGATCATTGGACGGCTAGGATGTAAGTTGAGTCGTGAGTGAAGCTGTTATGATGTTTACTACTCTGCTGGACTTGGACAGATCGGAAGCTCCAGGAGAGAGCGCAATGTATCAACAATGTCTGTAAACGACTGGCGAAAAGCCCTTTAAGAATTTAACTTATACATTCCTGAATACTCATCTTGTTTGCTTTTCTGACTCGTGTCGTACAATTAGTGACCAGTGCAGCATCTTGGATCCGACAAAAAGTCGTAAGTGCATGGTATTCGATATCCCAGCGTTAACCTTGAATGATCAGGCAAAGATGCGTCTTTGAGACGTGATTTCATGGGGCTTGATGAAATCCAGGGCGTGAAATGGTTGAGAATTCCACATTAATGGTTTCACTTCTAGATCATACACCACCTGGTGTGTCCAGAGTAAGTGCGAATTAGATGGGGAACGGACATCCCAATTCCTGGGCAGTAGTTTGAGCGTTTTAACTGGGGTCCATGAAGGTTACCACCTGGGAGGTATATACATAAGCGCAACAAAGGATAAAATAAAGACCGAAAAAAACAGACCTTCCACTTAACAGCCTCCACATCCCTCGTCATCCTAGAAACGTCTTATATACACTCGTGATCCGCTGTACACTCTATATCCAACCAAACAGCATCCACCAGAAAACCCTCCTCGTCGAACCTATTCTGTACACTGCGCACGTCGTCTGAACTAGCGTAGTTCTAGCGGCATTCGAGCCGCTTTTATAATGACAGACGCGGGCATATCAGGAGCGGATGTGGAATGATAGAGGAAAAACCATGTAGAGTCATCGCACATCATCAGAACGCCAATATGAAAATGGTATGCATGAACCACGGCTTTACTAAGCTTACATAAGAAATAGCCGCAGGACCGGGAGTCCGGAGGTAATCGGATCTTGACAAAGCCCTCCTTCATCGCTAACGCATGTAAGAGCACCAGCCAACTCGGGTAATCTTTCAAGTGTCCTCGGATGCCCCACAAACTTGTCTTTGTTCAATTCAATGGTTTTCCTGACTCGTTGGGTATGTGGACCGAGCAGCTTTCATCAGTAAACCAAACTCAAGTCCCAGCTTTGGAAACAACACTCACAGGCTCAGGCTCAGATACAGGCTCAGACACAGGGTCTATACCTTCGTCTCCTTCACCTCCTCACCACAAGATCAGGGCTCCACTCCCCCGCCTTCGCATTCATGATCCAACGCTCCCTCCTCCCGTCCAGAAGTCATCTTTTATTCTACTTGTAAGAAACATCATTTCAAGGTGCTCTGCATACGCCTGGATTTTTTTTCAATGTCAGGTGAGCATGCCGTTGAATTGTTATGAACCTTCTGCCCATTAGCAATCGTAGAAGTATTATGTGGAATAATAGGAATCGACCCGCAGGATTTGAGAGTCATGGTATCATTATGCGGGGCGCCAAGGGCCCCGAGTACTTACGAGGTCCGTAGCACGTTTGATACTCTGCGTTCTATTGTGCTGAAGTGCCTTGAAGCAGTCAAAGATCTTTTACCGGTCGAACCTTGATTGGCATGTTACTGTATCATGGCGCTGTTGCTGAAGGCCTGATGAGTCACGCTTGACCCTGATTGGAATTGTTATATATTCTGCTTATCAGGCGCGGCGCCGTGCTCGATACTAGAGCCTCCATCCGACACTCTCTTGAACATGGATTCACAAACCTTCATTCATCTCTCAACCATCATCCAGTCCCAGAACGCAAGTGACTGATATTTGTTGACATCTTCGTTTCACTCATATCTATAATCTTGGCACTGGCAGTATTTTTTCGGTGCTATTATTTCGACCATAATAATCTCTCATAGCTAACAGGGCTCGCGCTAGCATCACTAGTGGCTTCTTGGGTGCGCGCTCTTGCCGTTCGTCCAGTCGTCATTCATAAACATCTTGTCACAGGTCTACGATTGTTTCCTAACCTTGGATCAGGAGGTGATTTCATATTTGCAAGATATGATAGCATGTCGATCGACAGGCTAATTGTTGTGGATAGGTATCTTTGATTCATTGGCTACGGTGGAGCAAAGGAAGTATTCTTTATATCACGACGAGATATATGCCAGCCTTGATGCTCTCTGTACACTTATGCAGTGAGTCCAAATCGCATGCTCTGTCGTCAACTTGCAGCTAATCAGGATACTGAAGTGAACTATCTCCCAAATGAAAAAATTGTGGTGAGCATTAGTCGGAAAGAATGCCACCTGCGATCCTGAGGATTCGCCGATGTAGACTTGTAAAACTCTACAGTCCATGTGGTATTGTAAGTATTGTAATAACAGAATTTGCCAGTCCCGCTTCAAGTTCGTCCCTCAGGTGCTGCTGCATTGTGCATAGCTGGTGCAGAAGGTATTACAATGTTTATAGTGTATTCATGCAAAATACTCACAGTATCTCCAGGTATCTTCATCCTTCGTACCTATGCATTATGGGGACAAAAGAAATTCATTCTGGGCCTTATGTTGTCAACGCTACTCGTGCGCATAGAGTTCCGTTCCCGCATTCTGTACTCTGACATGCCTCACTTTAGTGCCTGACGATCTTGAACGTGGTGATAGCACTGGAGGTTTGGAAGCAGTCAAAACGTGAGTGTCTTGAAGAAGAGCCACATGTAAATTGCTCAGTGTAGACGACAGCCTACCTATCAGACATAGGTGGCGGTTGTTACTCACTATCCCATAATACGAAGGCTGCATATAATTGGTCACTTCTAGCAGCATTCGAGCTTGGTGAGATCACGAAGCCATAAATGTAGCCGAGTGCTCATTTTTTTGCCTCAGAGATCATGGTACTCACCATGATTCGTGTATATTGGACATACCGCGAAAGAAGGTCTCTGCTGCTCAACATCCTTCTGCAACACAACATTTTTTACTTCGGAACTGGGCTAAGCAAGTAGTACCTTCATGACTGTCAAAACGGAATTAATTTTTCAATCCTAGCACTATCAGTGCTCAATCTTTTAGCCATTGAATGGCTACCGGTGTGTAGAAACCCGAATCCAACTCGATGTCGGCTGGGGGTCCTGATCCTTTTTTTTACGCAGTTCAATTCCTCAAATATGTTTGTAACATTTCAAATCGTCATGCATACGATCCTCGTTACTCGGATGCACCTACAGTTTTGCAACACCGTTCGCGACTCCCCTGAGCCCAGAACTACATCACACTCTCAATTCACACATATTGAACTTCAGACGCGTTCGCATTCGAATGCATGATGATTCGATAGAACTTGTGCATTTTATTTTCATTCAGACTTTTTTCTGTTGTGTTGCAACGAATCCAAGCTGTTGTTGGGCCATCAGGACAAAGTGACAGATATAGGGTAGTATACAGTGCTTGCTAGGCTGACGAGTAAGTAAGAGGTGCATAACATTAATATTGCTGGAGTTTACGAACGAGATTTTTCAGTCGAAAATTACCAGACGTCTCAGAATACGCTTCTCGCTTCCGTCAGAGTTGCATAGGAGCACGGGCCTCCGAGTCGTATTGCTGAAGTGCAAGGATCTTTGAATAACGTCAATGTTCAAAAATCTTTGTACTTCTGCACCGTGGCATATCTGAGCTTTATGGTTTACAGATAGTCTGATCGAAATCTGTACTCATTACCATAGCATCAGGATTTCGACAATCGGCTCGGCCCGGAAAGCTTGTTTGCAAATTCTCGTCTTACACCCTGCCGCACGGTCGACAGCATTTGAGAGCTTGCAACAACAAGCACAATTGTCGAATCGCCACCGTCGTATTGCCATGTCTTGAATTTTCAGTGTGAGGTGCAGAACTGACAAAACTCCAGGCTATGTAAACTATGTGAACGACATTCCTTATCATAACATTGTCCCATCTATCATTCTCACTATTGTAATTGACCATCTCAACCTCTAGAATAACCCGTGGTATTATTCTTTGTTCGGCCCGACCCAACTCGTCAAAATCAAAATCATTTCCTTCAGGCACTTCAACCTCATCAATGCCCTGATCTTCTTCAGTCCTTTTCAACTCTTCAAAAACTGCAAGAAGGTCATCTGCATCACGGGGCTCAGTCGAGAGCAGAGGCGTCTACACGAAGTATGCTTCAAGATCCTGTGCAATCTTGGCATCGATATTTGCCAAACTCTTCACGAATGTACATGTAAGCACGTTGATGTTGGCATGGCGTGCAGACTTATCAGCCTCCGCCGCTTTTGCGGCGCCGTGTTATCGAAGGTTTGCACAACTTTCGTCGAGAAGTGAGATTACATTCAAAACTAATTGTGTTATCAGATCTGAATTACGTGTCCCCTGGACCTCCCATTAGTTCTACCGTGAACCAGGCAGGCACAACCAGTTGCGCCAGACTTGTTGGCAGAACTTAAATTCTGCCAACAACACCATCAATTTGTTGATTTCCTTTTTCTGCAGAAAAGGAACACTCTCGAGTCTGCTTTGGAATCACTGGACTCTCTTGCGCCCGTGTGCTGTTGTTTGGCACCATTCATATGAACACGTCGATGCGCTACACGAGGCTGGTGAACCTTCCTGTATCTTTGTTTCAAGAGTCCACTCGGCCCGGAACAAGTCTGTTTGCAAATTCTAATCGTGCAGGCCCTGCCAAAGTCGATATGTTGACGTTTCAACTATCAGTCATTTGACTGGACGAATATAGGATCGCGTGCCTACAAATACCCAAGTACTGTACTTCTTGCAATTGTCAGTTCTCCTAGCCCATATGGCAATCGAATCTGAGCCTCGAACGGTTTATGCAGAAGAGACTCGCCTCCAAGAAGACAAAGGACATCCAGAGATCTTCGAAGAATGTCAAGCTACTAAGGATTGGGATGCCCCCTCAGACCCGCCTGAGTTTCCCGAAGGTGGTTGGGCAGGTTGGGCAACTGCTGTTGGAGCGTAAGAAGACTCATACTCTTTTTGGACGCGGGGCCTGGTTCTAACTTGATCTACTTAGCTTTCTTGTGCAGTTTTGTGGCATTGGGTGAGCCGGTGCTAGTAGGGAATGGCTCTGGCTGACTCAAGTTGACAGGTATACCGCTTCATTTGGTGTCTATCAAGGTATTGCTCCAGATAAAAGCGAGAATGAAACATTTTCAACATATTACTTTCCAGACTTCTATACTCAACATTACCTGATAAACGAGACGTCGTCTGCTATATCGTAAGTCTCTGCCTGTGTTTCCATAGCAGGTATCCTCAAGACTTGTAGATGGATTGGGAGCACAACCGCTTTTTTAGACTTGACCGTGGGCCTCGTGGCAGGTTTGCTACACGACCGAGGATATTTGTGAGTTTATATTTGTCGGAGGTTCTTGATGATATTCAGCAAGCTTAACTAGCTACCATCTCATGATTGCCGGTTCGCTTCTGGAGGTTTTGTCTCTATTCATGTTATCTCTGTCGAAACCCGATCAGTACTACCAGGTAACTTCCCCAAATTTTAAAATCTCATTTTCTGACTCAGTTTTAGATTTTTTTCTTTCAAGGCTTAGGCTTGGGTATCGCAGTTGGGCTCACGTATGTCCCTAGCGTCGCTGTCATCTCGCATCATTTCCAACAGAGGCGCACACTGGTCATGACGTTCATTGCTATAGGGGCATCGCTAGGTGCTATCATCCATCCGATTATACTCAATAACCTCCTCAACGGCCCTCTGGGTTTCGCTAATGGTGTCCGTGTAAGCGCAGGGTTAATCAGCTTTTTTCTCTTGACTGCATGTCTATGCATGCGAACTCGCCATAATCCGCCGGCGACACCGGTGAACTCTATCGTGGGGGCTAGAAAATGTATTCGCGATGTACCATTCATGCTCATGGTAACAGGGTGAGACCTGCAACGCACCTTCACTCGAATTCCTCCAAATAACCATCTCGCAGGAGCTTTCTTTTTCAGATCGTCTTCTACTACCCATTATTCTTCTTTCAACTCGACTCTATCAAGCACAGTATCAGCATTAACTTTTCATTTTACTCTGTGGGTTCTAGTATCATGCAAGTCATCCGCGGCGTCTGCTGACAGAATCTCTAGTTAGTAATTTTAAATGGGGCCAATTGCTTAGGGCGATTCACGTCAGGATTTATTGCGTCGTTCACGGGGGTCCCGAACTTAATGATATTTGCGACATTCTCATGCGGTGTGCTCATTTTTGGCATGATTGGGTTGAGTAACTTGGCCAGCGTCGTTGTGCTTGGCATGGTGTATGGCTATATTTCAGGGCTGAGTATGTAATTTTTCCAATATGGTGTCCAAGTTTCAGATGGGTTCATTATTTCATGCAGGCAATGCGATGGGGGCTCCACTTATGGCCCTTTTGACGCCTGACCTCTCTGAGCTTGGGTGAGTGACCGTTTGAAATGGAAGGTCCGAATTAATCTGGATTATAGCGCGCGGATGGGAATCTGTTTCTTTGCTCTTGGTGGGTAACATAATGATTTTGACGATGTTCTAACTTGTCACGCGATCGCCTGTGCAGGATTCGCAAGCTTGATAGGTGAGTTCAGCGGTGTCTTTTCTTGCTTAAATTCTAACACTGTATCCAGGAACACCCATATGCGGCGCTCTGCTCACATCCAGTTATACCTGGTGGGTACCGGCTCTGTTCTCTGGGGTGAGTCGCTACTATAATCTCCAAAATTCACGTCGACTCTCACTGCCTAACAGATCGTTTCACTTGCTGGTAGCATGGTGTTCACTATCATGCGATACAAGTTTCTAAGAAAGCAGCGCGTTGACGTATTATCATTAGACACTCAGGCCGTCGAAGTCGAGCCATGAGTGAAGCTGTTATTACATCTGCCTGCGTTATTGTTGTTCCAATCGTTAAATGATTCGATGAGTATATGGATACTAGCGAGTCGTGGTCCTAAAAACCAGAAGGCTAGTTCATCCAAGCTTTTGACGTGAGATTAGACAGTGCAGCTCCGCTGACAATAAAATACCCTTTGTATCGCTTTTTAACAAAAAAAATAGTCCTTTGGGGGTCGAAGACCCTATTTACCTGCCTAATCGTGTGTACTAGGTATATCATGATGAGCCACTCGTCTACAATGTTTAAGTGCGAGATACCACCGGCTTCAGGTCACAGCTATTACCATGCTGTGTTGTACCGCAGGAGTCTTCCTACTTGAGTACTAGTAGTAAGCCAGGCTGGTTTCGAACCTACTAGATACAGCACCTTCGCCACTCAGAGATCCTCCATAGAATATGTACTCGCTTTGCACCTCAACGTTGTTGTATTAACAGTCGAGCCTTGACCAGGCTTCCTAGATATGAGTAGCACAGGAGCACCAACCTCCTAGCTAGTAGTTATATTTGGCATGTGCAGAAGTGGAAGGTATCTTTGGCATGATCATGATGAAGAGCCGATATCTTGGCCATGGCACCCAAGATCCCTTCCACTTCAACCATCTATGCATTAGTGTAGCATGTCTGATCTGAATCTCTACAACACTTGAGCATGATAATCATATGTACCGTTATCACAAGATCGAGACTCCTCTTCCCTGCCCTCGCCTTCATAATTCGCCGCTCCTGCCTCACCTCCTTCCGTCCAGAAGTCAAGAATTCGCCATAGACGGGATCCTCTACAAAAGTCCTCCCTACCCGATATGAAAAATAAGTGGTGCGTCCGGATGTATACTTTGGTTTCTAGTGCACTACGCGCGAGCACCGTTGTGGTACTGGCAGACGTTCCTGCAAAACAAGTATCAGCATTTGTATACGTGTGCGTGGGGGGAAGGTGAAAAGTAGTATGTACACACTTACGAAGCAATGGACCTCCCGTGACAGAAGTCATCAACCCATGCGATACACGTTTTAAGTGGGGGTCCACGATGGTCACCACCTAGAAGGCATATACGTGAGCGCGAGATTCATAACAAAGGGTGAAAGAAAGAAAGAACAAAACAACACAACACAGACCTTCCGCTCAACAACCTCCACATCTCTCGTCATCTCCACCGGATCCGGGAACATCTCCTTATTCCACATAAAGATACCTGTGATCCTCCGGATACTCGATGTCTGGCCAAAGACATTCGCCGGGAAACCTTCCTTGTCAGTCTTATTCTGCACACTGCACACGTCACTAGCGACACTAGTGATAGCCGAGTGGCCAGTGGGCTGGGAGGGGCACTGTTCCTGTTAGGTGTGCGTATTACGCGAAGATGTCGGTGGGTGTTGGACCTGGGAGTAGGAATACGTCTAGAATCCCATCCAGTGCGTTTCTACGCCGCTATTGTCTACAATGAGCGATATCAATCCATCTTTCCGACGCAAGAGCATTGAAAACGGCCACCGTCGACGTAGCGGAATGCGCATGCATGAGCGAGATCGAGCCGTAGAGAAAAGTCGGCAAATCTGAGAGGTGTTCCAAGACGTCTGCGTTGTAGATACGGAAGGGGTCTGTGTACCTTGCAGTGGGACCTGTTGTACTTGGGAGGGAGAGGTTATGGGATTCTGTATATGTACTATTATGTAGGCGTGGTGGGGAAGGTTATGTCGAAGGAGAGAAATTCCGGTCGACTCCTGTGGGCATTGGGTGTCACAGTCTTAGTGTTGATATTGAGGTGGGACATACCTTTGGGTTTTGGGTCTGTCGACGTGGAGAAAGTTTCGTCCCAGAAAGTATCTTTGCTGTTGCCTTCGAACCATGCTGCAGGGTTGACTTTGAGAACTAATTATCCTATGCCTTGGATGTGTTCGGCTAGTTCGAAATCCTCCTTGGTTCTGAAATACTCCATGTGCAGTAAGCCGCGCCCGTTCAGTACGACCTGTTCTATGCCACCCCGGAAAAGTGTGATCTTGAGAGGGTTGAAGTTGACGATGATGATGAACTCTATATCCTTTTTCGGTCCATAAATAACCTTGACTTTTCCCCGTCAATCGTCCAGACTCCAGAAAACATCATCGCTCAACAAAGGTTCTCGGCTGAGCACCCACTAAACAACTTCGTTATATCGCTTCCCCACTCCATCCTATTCGTCCATTCGCACGCGCACAATACCCTCCTCATGTATATTGACATCAAGGACGCATTTGACGTTGGGATAGATAGACGAGTGAACGCTTGTGGTGAGCCCTAGTTGATGAGGGTCAAGTTCTGGAGGTTTGATTGGGTGGGAGCGTGCTGCAAGGGCGTGTTCTCTGCGACAGAAACAGGACTGAGAGCATGTTTTGAAGCCGGATTGTTTAAAGGCGGGAGCTATTGGGAGGAGAGGGAGTGGGAGTGGGAGGATAGTCCCTGGGGAGTCGGGACCGCATTTTCTTGGTAGTGATGAGTATCCCTGGGGCTGATGCAGATGAGTCACTCCCAAGGTTCACTGATGGTAGTAAGAATGAAGTTGCACAACACTGATCTGCCATAACACCTCATAGGGCGCTAAAATCCAGTGCTCGGTAGTGTGAAGAACTTGGCCCTGGCAGGATATAGACAATTGTTCTCCTTTCGGAATCATATAACACTAAGTACAAGTGGTGTGGTTGCTTTTTATTCGCACAGTTATGTTATTCCACTACGTGATCTCGTTGTAGGTCATTGCAACGAAAGTCTTCTATTGGAAGTTGAAAGTAGACTGTAGCTTTCATCAGTAAACTCAAGTCCCAGCTTTGGAAGCAACACTCACAGGCTCAGGCTCAGACTGTCAGACACAGGGTCTATACCTTCGTCTCCTTCACCTCCTCACCACAAGATCAGGCTCCACTCCCCCACCTTCGCATTCATAATCCAATGCTCCCTCCTCCCGTCCAGAACTCATATCTTTTATTTTACTTGTACGAAACATCATTTCTAGCCGCTCTGTCACATCTGCCTGGATTTTTTTCAGTGTCAGGTGAGCATGCCGTTGAATTGTTATGAACTTTCTTATTAACGGCAATCGTAGACATATTACGTGGAATGATAGGAAATCGACCCGCAGGATTTGAAACTTATGGTATCATTACGCGGGGTGCTGAGGCCCTGAGTACTTATGAGGTCCGTGACACGTTTGATACTCTGCGTTCTATCGTGCTGAGGTGCCTTGAAGCAGTCAAAGATCTTTGACCGGTCGAACCTTAATATTGGCATGGTGCTGTTGCTGAAGGCCTGATGAGTCACGCTTGACCCTGATTGGAATTGTTATATATTCTGCCTACCAGGCGCGGCACCGTGCTCGATACTAGCGCCTCCATCCGACACTCTCTTGAACATGGATCCACAAACCTTCATTCATCTCCTCCAGTCCCAGAACGTAAGTGACTCATGTTTGTTGACATCTTCGTTACAACTCATATCTATAATCTTGGCACTGGCAGTATTTTTTGGGTGCCATCATTTCGACCATAATAATCTCTCACAGCTAACAGGGTTTGTGCTATGTAGCATCACTAATGGTTTCTTGGGTGCGCGCTCTTTCCATTTGTCCAGTCGTCATTCATAAACATCTCGTCACAGGTCTACGATTGTTTCCTAACCTTGGACCAGGAGGTGATTTCATATTTGCGAGATATGATAGCATGCCTATCGACAGGCTAATTGTTGGGGATAGGTATCTTTGATTCATTGGCCACGGTGGAGCAAAGGAAGTATTCTTTATATCATGACGAGATACATGCCAGCCTTGATACTCTCTGTACACTTATCCAGTGAGTCCAGATCGCATGCTCTATCGTCAACTTGCAGCTAATCAGGATACTGAAGTGAACTATCTCCCAAATGAAAAAATTGTGGTGAGCATCAGTCGGAAACAATGCCACCTGCCATCCTGAGGACTCGCCGATGTAGACTTGTGAAATTCTACAGTCAATGTGGTATTGTAAGTATTGTAACGATAGAATTTGTCAGTCCCGCTTCAAGTTCGTCCCTCAGGTACTGCTGCATTGTGCGTGTCTGGTGCAGAAGGTATTACGATGTTTATTGTGTATTCACGCAGAATACTCACAGGATCTCCAGGTATCTTCATCCTTCGTACCTATGCATTATGGGGACATAAGAGATCCATTCTGGGCCTTATGTTGTCAACGGTACTGGTGCGCATACAGTTGCGTTCCCGTATTCTGTACTCTGACACACCTCACTCCAGTGCCTGGCGATCTTGAACGTGGTAATAGCGCTCAAGGGTTGGAAACATTCGAAAAGTGAGTGTCTTGAAGAGGAGCCACATGTAAATCACTCAGTGTATACGACAGTGCACGTATCAGACATAGGTGGCGGTTGTCGCTCACTATCCCACAACACGAAGGCTGCATATAATTGGTCACTTCTAGCAGCATTCGAGCTTGGTGAGATCACGAAGCCATAAATGTAGTCGAGTCCTCACTTTTTGCCTCAGAGATCATGGTACTCACCATGATTCGTGTATATTTGGCATACCGCGAAAGAGGGTGTCTGCTGCTCGATATCCTTGTACAACACAACATTTTTTACTTCGGAACTGGGCTAAGCAAGTAGTGCCTTCATGACTATCAAAACAGAATTAATTTTCCAATCCTAGCACTATCGGTGCTCAATATTTTAACCATCCAATGGCTACCGGTGTGTAGAAACCAGAATTCAACTCAATGTCGGCTGAGGGTCCTGATACTTTTTTGAACGCAGTTTAACTCCTCAAATATGTTTGCAACATTTCAGATCGTCATGCATACGATCCTCGTGACTCGGATGCACCTACAGTTTTGCAACACCGTTTACGACTCGCCTGAGCCCGGAACCACATCACACTCTCGATTGACAAATATTGAACTTCAGACGTGTTCGCCTTCGCATTCGAATGTATGATGATTCGATGGAATGGGTACATTTCATCTTCATTCATACGTTGTGTTGCGAAGAATCCGAGCTGTTGCTGGGCCATCAGGAACAAGTGACGGATGCAGGGTTGTATATAGTGCTTGCTAGGTTAACGAGTAAGAGGTGCATAACATTGCTGGAGTTTACGGACGAGATTTCTCAGTTGAAAATTATCAGACGTCTCAGAATTGGAGCGCACAAAAAACTTGGATACTGAAAGAATCGACCATGACGTTAGAGAAAATGGAGAATCTCAAACCAAACAAGCAAGTAAAGATGTACAAGGAGCAACTCGTCCGACCCGCTGTGTCACCAACATAGTAATCTTTCCTGCCTCTTACAGTCTTACTATGTACTATACAGCACCTTCGCCACTCAGCCACAGATCCTCCATAGACCCATATATACTCGCTTCGCGCCTCTTTCCACCTCAGCGTTGTTTTATTAACAGTCGCCGAGTATTCACTAAGCTGAGCCGCACAGGCCCGAGCATCGACTTCCTAGTCATCCGATATGTGCTGAAGTGGAAGGTATCTATGGTACCAGACTCAAGTTCAGATGTTGGCCATGGTACCAAAGATCCCTTCCACTTCAACCATCTACGTATTAGCGTAGCACATCTGATCTGAATCCCTACAACACTCAAGTATATGTAGTCCAAAAAATTCAATAACAAAGATTAAAATAATCATATGTGCAATGGTCACGCGCGTCCCCCTCCAACACCAGCACCAGCACCTCACCTCATGCCACCCTCACAGGCTCAGGCTCAGACACAGGTACAGACACAGACACAGGGATCTGTTCCTTCCCAGCCTGCACGGGCGTCGGCTCCTTCACGCTTTTCGCAAGATCAGGATTCCACTCGCCCGCCTTCGCCTTCATAATCCAGCGCTCCCGCCTCGCTTCCTCCCGTCCAGAGGTGACTAAATCCGCCTTGGACGGGATCCGCCACAAAAAGTCTTCTGTACCCGATACGAAAAACAAGCGGTACGTCCGGACGCATACTTTCGTTTCTAGTGCGCTACGCGCGAGCACCGCTGGGGTACTGGCAGTAGCCGAGGGAGGGACGTTCCTGCAAAACAAGTATTAACATTCGTATACATGTGCGTGAGGGAAAGGTAAAGAGTAGCATATACGCACTTGCGAAGAAATGGACGTCCAACGCGGGACTGCGATATGCCCTCTGTGACAGGACTCTGTAAAGTATCAAACCCATCAACCCACGCGATAAAAGACTCTTATAAGGAACACGCACCGACACAAACGAATCCACATACGCCTGCCACCTCTCTGCCAACATCTCTGAATCATCAATCCTCGAATCATCTTTCCCGAGCAATTGAATCGTCATCGTTTTTGTGTCTGGAAGCTGTTCCAGTTCCAACCGCGCATGAATACTTGAAAGGACCTGAAAATAGAAAAGACGCACCCAATCTATACGGAAAATGTTCTCATCGGGTCCAAGCAGATTTTCCGCAAACCGTCGACTATTAAGCTGATCTTGGATCGTCGGCACTTGTAATGCCCGATCGCGCTTCAAAAGCTCAAAGAGCTCTTGACTCCTAGAATCGGCCAACACAATCTGGACCTGCGCCCACATCATCAGATAATGATCACAACTTAAATAGGAGGACGACGCACCTGCTTGATCAATGACCCAATAACTTTATCGATCGTAAATATTCGATATGCATCCTTCACCCCAAACATATACCGCATCTGCTCCTCGAACACATATTGCTCGATCTCATTATCAAATAGCCTCTCGCACGACTCGAGCATCAGATCATAGAAATGATCTGCATGAGCAGCACGGTCGTCTAGCTGAGCGAGTTCGACGAGGGACGGCATCCCTAGCGGTGGAACGACCGACTTCGCTTTAGACGCTGATTTGGGCGCTTCGATAGCGATGCGCGCACTAAGCTTTTTGAAGAATAAGAGTCTGGAGTATAATACCTGTAGTCAAACGAACGGACGTTAGGGATGGAAAAGTGGAGAATCAATAAAAAATCACGCACCTCTAAAAGTCGCAAAAGCACATAAAACACAGTATTCCCAAAGAACACATTCTTCCTCGATGCCTTGCGCAACGGCACAACAGGTTCCCGTTCCCCCTCCTCCACGGCATCTACCTGCATCGCATCGGGTATCGCAGGAGACGCAGGTCTTGAGGTAGGTCTCGAGGACGACGGAGATGCTGCTTCCTGCGCACGCGTCTTCCTCCCCGTCAACTTCGCCTGCTCGCTCTTCAGCAATTTCTTCCTCAGATCTCCACCTGAACCAAGCCCACCCTTCCTCTTCTTCCCCCCATTCCCACCCGCAACACTCCCTGTCTCCCCATCATCTCCATCGTCCCCCATCTCAACTTCCCCCGCTTCTCCAAGCACAAATGCTCTATGAAACACCTCTTGATCCAAAACGAAAAACAGCGGAATGAACGTCCGCAAAAACCCTTCGATGCGTCTTCGCTCAGGAGCCCCGATCTGCCCTTGCGTCCTGTCCAAAAACGACAACGCCATCTTCACAGCATCCTGCAAGACACCCGTATCCGCAACCTCGTGCGCCAACTGATGCCGCACCCTCGCACGCGCAAACAACGGATCAACAAGCGCAGCTCGCTGGCTCACCTGCGCATCGCGCGCAGCTTCGATCTGAGCTACGAGCGCTTTTGCTGAAAGAGCTTTTTTGTCTGCAGCTTTACATGCGATCCCCGCGTGGTCCAAAGCACGAGAAGCGTTCCGGGCGTCTACCTCCCTCCATACTTTATTCCACTCCCTCTGTGCGCGTTTCCATTCCTCTTCTTTCTCTTTGAGGCGCATGAGGACGACGGGGATAGCGAGGGCTGGTGCGTCTTGCATCGCTTGCAAAACGTCCAGTCCAGCTTCGCGTCCGTATATCTTCTTGATGACGCGTGCGTGCACCGCTTTGCCCGAGCCTCCGAGATTGGGCTTCAGCTTAAACGCAGATCGCTCTTCGAGCGGGAGTTGGGCAATTTTGGCAGCGAGAGGCTCGAGGATAGCGATGGTGCGCGTGGCTGCTTCGACGTGGAAATCGTACTCGTGGCGTTCTTCTTCGGAGCGGTGGAGAGCCTCTTCATAGATGTTTTTCTTGTGCGCTATGAAGCCTGCGTCTTCGGACGACCAGGTGGGGTGCGATACCCATTCGTCGTTGAGCACTGCGCGGCACATCTCGTCACGCCCTGCGCAGGTGACGTTGGCTTCCTGTGTGGTGGTCAGTATGAGATGAGTAGAGGAGTGGGGACGTACGCTAGCTGGCATTCGACGGTAGCTTCCTAGTTGAAGCCCTGCACTAACTCTGCCCGGGCGGATTGGGACGACCATAGGGCCTCCCTGGCCTTGTGCCCTCGCCCAAGTTTGCTGCTGCTGACTCTCCTCCAGCACCCACCGCTCCCTCTCACGCCTATCATCCCAGCCAAGAATCTCCCTAAACTGGCGCATTAACTCGGCGTCTCCGAGGAAATTCCGTGCTTCACGGACGAGACGCGCAGTATCTATAAGCTCCTGGGTGAAGAGATTTACGAGCTTCAAAAACTCGTTGTAAGTGTCTCGATTCCCCAGCGCACGCTTGACGCGGTCGAAGAAGTGTGTGTCGTCTGGTGGGAGGAGAGAGGGAGGGAGGGGTGGCTGTTTGAGCTTGGATATGTCAGTGAGTTATTTGTATTCGGGAGTCAGGGTGTCACCTTGGACGGAGCTTTAGGTGCGGTGGAGACTATGTCCCGTTCGTTGGCCTTACGCTTGCGTTTTTGGGGGACAGAGGGCTCGATGAGTGGTTGGGGGTCTGTGCGACGGCGGACAGGCTTGCCATCTAAGGGCGTATTTGATCGTGTTCGACGTCCTGTTGGGGCCGTGAGATAGCTTTCCTCTGCTTCGTCAAAAAGAGCCTGGCTCTTCTCTGGCATGAAAATCCTAAAGTCGGCGCGCAAATCGGGATCGTCTTTGAAAAGACGGGCAATTTCAGCTGACACTTCGCGCTGTGAAACATGAATCAGGATTTGATTTGAATGCGAAAGGCAGAAGGCTCACCTCGTCGACGGCGTCGGTAGTGTTATGGTACTTGCCGAGAATTTCTAGAAACCGGCGGTAGGTGGCCTCGTCGCAGCGTTGCTTTATCTTTTGGACATACTGAACGGCTGGTTCTATAGAGGAGCTATCGAGACTGCCGTACATGTTTGCGTCGGGTTCAGCCAATACAGCAGGCGGAGGAGCTATCGGAACAGAAGGCCAAGAATCGTCACGAGTGGACTGGAGCATCGTGCCAGTAGGGGTTGTGACGGTAATGAAAGAGGACTGTTGTGGGTCAGAGGAGCACTCGATGCGATAACCGACAGGGAGGAAAGTGTTGAAGCCCTGGATAAGGTCGGGATGGCCATTAAAAAGGTGGGAGACGCGTTTTATAACGCCTGGTGTATCGATACTGTAGAAATATGAGGAATGGATTTAGGAAGAAGAGATACAACGCACAGTCCACTCTTAAAGTCCTTCATGATGTCCAGGAAGTGGTTGTAAACATCTGGCTGGTCGTGGAACTGTACCTTGACAGCATCGAGGTAGCCCAAAGCATCTGTGACATTGAGAGGACGCTCTAGCAAAGGCTGAGAAGGGACTTGGAAAGAGCCCATTGGTGGTAGACGTGAAGCAGGACGTGATGGAGGTGGCATTGCTGGAGATTGTGGCCGTGATACTGGTGGGATACTAATATCTCTAGTAATGATGGATTCTTGAGGTCTGTTGACGTCAGGAAGGGGGTCCGAGTTAGATTTTTGTACTTCCTTGCCGTTGTCCGGGGCGATTATAGTCATTGGAACCTCTTCGGTTGTACAGGGTCCATCTGGGTTCGGGGTTGTTTCACGACCTTGCTCACCAGCGCCCGATTCGCCGGTTTCGGGTAACTGAACATTCTCAGCGACCTTGTCCTCTACGGTAGTCTCGTCTTTCATCTGCACGTCTGCAGTTGACATGTCCGTTGACAGCACCGGTACAACTAGAGTCGTGGGTACAGCGTCCATCAAGACAGGAATACAGTGTGACGAACTTCGCAAAGTACACGATCAAGGGTCCACCCGGGATTCGCCGAGACAACGATAAGTTAAACCAAATATCAAACCAAGGTGCATCTTACGCTATAAAATACGGCAGTCAAAGTACTGATCACCAGAGTACATCGCCCAAAAATCAACGCTTGAGAAATCCATGAGGACCACAACCTCCTTCCTCAATCATGGATATAGGATCCATATGCGGGTATTTTTTCGTGGGGCATATGGTGTAGCTGGTTATCACATCCGCTTAGCATGCGGGGGGTCTCCGGTTCGAGTCCGGATTTGTCCACATTTTTTTCCTACGTAACCCAAGTACTGCAGCGTCCATACCGATAGCTCTCGCACACTATTTGGCACATCATCTGGTATTCAGATCTTCATAAGATCTCGATCGAACGCGGAAATTTATATTTTGCCCGGCTCCCGAGCGCCTTCACTCACGATAATGATAGTAGTCCAGGACTATTAGATTCCTTATAATTATCGATCGATCAGTGCACTGTCGCTCAACTTGGCTCGCGCGCCCATCTGCTCAAGCAATCGCATGAATGGTTGCCATCACACAGAGAAAGGACCCATGGTCGGTGCAAGTGTGGGTGGACAGCTAGTGCCGGTAGGGGTAACGATTTGAACTTTGTCAATACGTATATCAAATCACCGAACTAAATACCACGATGAAACATCGTCCAGACCTATGTCATCTTGAAACATACTTCGGAACACCAATCAATACATCACGAAAGTGAGAATAAATGAAAGCAAATTCTCCTGCTCTTTGTAGAGCACCAGACATCCGTTAACATTACACACCATTGCCAGTCGATATATGCACACGCTCCTGGAAAGCGATCGAGGTCATACCAGTTGCTGCGTCGGAGTCAGCCACAAGCCTAGCGTGATACTCTCGAATGCTAAGGATCAGACATGGTCCCAGCACAAACATCTGCACCACCTCCAAGATCTCAAGCAAGCCATAAAAAGTCTGAGTTTCTACAGGATTTTGGCCCTATAGAAATGATGAATCGTGGTCACATGCAGAGCCAAGTGAAAGATTGACATACGCTTGAGAGTGTTGGAGAGTAATCAGCAATGAGCTGTAAGCAAGAAATAGCAACAAAGCTACCACGTCCAATATTTCAATGTGAAAAGGGAACACTGATCACAATATAAGCTCACCTGGCAAAGTAAACCACGTGAGTTTTCATCAACACCGTGAAACAGTCCTCCATAATCCCTCCTTGTCGCGGTTCACGGAAGTGCTTTACCGTAATCCACACTGCGAGACATAATGCGAGGACCTCCCACACAGTTCCAAGTATCCAAGTAATTGGAGCCAGAAGCAGGGTATCTTCCGCACAGTCAAATGCACACTGATAGGTGCCGGACAAAATGAGTTCCTCTGGTATCCATCAATGAGCCTCATGCACGTATATTTTCATCCACAATTAAACGTACCTCCTGAAACATACATCGTTAATAGTATGACAACCACTCCGTCGAAAATGTTGACAACCAGGAAGGTGAAAATAAGAAATATCAGGATTTTTCTGGATCGTTCATACATAGCATGTAACCGAGTGGTGATGATGACTTGCAGCATATTTCAGTAAAGTTAACATCACTGGAGTCTCGCAATTGCCAAACTCACCCCACAGCATCGCAGATACCAAAATATTCGTCCAATTCCGTACGGCGAACGTAATAAAACCTGATAAATTCAGTCAGCGAGCCTCGAGTAACATACACCAAACAGACTCACATCTATGACAGTACAGCGTGGCAGTCATCAGTGAACCAAGAAGTTAGTAAGGAGTTACACCCACTCCTACATGGAACCACGGTCAATTGGAGAGGAATAGAATAGTAGGCATCTGTGCAGAAGACTCACTGGATCTGTCAGCGAGATGGTGGTAACACTGCCTGTATGCCATTGTTCAGAAGAAGCAAAAACATTCAATGTAATAACGAGACATGCCAAGCATGTCCAGGCTGATTATGAGATAGACAATTAGCACAACACCGGTTATTTAACCTTCCGAACCTACGCAGTATATACGATTCCAAGGTAGCGCACCTATGATACTTACAAGTCAGCACCACATGGCAACCATGACAGGCAAGCCACATACACTAAGGTACAGAATTGTCATCAAGGACCAGCGTTGCGTCTGTAATCAAGTGTATTTTCATCGTGCTCCTCTGACATGAGAGTCTACTTACCCAGACCAATTCAATCTATAAACCATTCTTAGAAAGATAGCTGCTCCGGTCATATCTTTGACATACCTCTTGTCCGAATGCAAGTGCTGAAAATACTTATAAGATATCAGCAGTCGTTTAATATTATCATGCTCACCCCAATCATATGTTACTCCAACGACGGCGGCAACTGCGAGACCGCAGTCAAGGTTAGGTTGAGACATTGGTAGCATCAAATCTGATACTCTGTACGAACCTACAAAATAGCTTTGAATACGATTTGCATTAATGTTTGGCCACCAAGCGAGATCATTTAAGACTATGGTCATATTGGTAGAGAATGGGTGCGGGTGAGAGGTGAACTTGGTGGACGTATGACGATAATATTTGCACTAGTTATACCACCGTTCAGTGCTTGGATCACCAAACCAAGATCGGAGGATGACCGTTCCTGCTTTGATTGGCCGAAGTAGATATTTTCACATGTAGAAAGATGAACTCTATCCAGGCGCTCAGCGTAGATCTTGGTTATGAAGCAGTTGTATGGGCGGTACTTGAACACTGTAACTTTTGTATCCCAGAGATGCCAAAGATGGCGGGCGCAAAATCTTCAATTTGCAATGTAGTATTGGTGGAGTGGTGACAGGCATCAATTTGCGCAGTCGGAGACATACCAGCTGAGTTGCGCTGGTGACCTACATTAGTTTGCATAGCCAGATATACCCTGGTTGAGAATCCATGATTTGATGTCTGGTGAAGATACAGTGCCATCCTCAGATTAAGACAGCGCTAAGATAGGACATAGAAAAAGAAGACTCAGGCGCACCGTTATGATCGCAAGAAGCCTGACTTGTTGTTCTTCAAACTGAACCGGCTAATGTTGTGAAACGCAGGCCAGATCGAGGAGTCTCAGCAGTGTCTGTATCCCAGGGTTCCTAATTGTATGATGACTCACCCCGGTCACACAGCTGCCCAATGCACACCCCTCTACGCTAAATCAAATGAAACCCGATGAATGATGTACGACTTGTCCGACAACGGCCTAGGTGTGATGTGACCTTGGAAAAAGCTTGCTATCTCAATGGCTCTCGATGGGCATAAGCAGTCTCCGTTTCGCAGGCCTGAACGTGACAGCACCTCCGAGGTCGTTCAACAAGGTGGGCTTTCGTTGGAATGTAGAACAAGGGAGGTTCAAATGAAGCAGACAGATAACTCACCTATACAACTTCTTCAAGCACACCTTTCAACGCCCCTGCTCCCCCGTGTCATAAGTATGTGCAACCTTCTGCGCACCTTCTAGTCCTCCACCTCGGTCATCGGCTATTCGTATGATAAGGATGTCGTCAAACGGTAAGTACAGAACTGATACAAGGCGCACCATACTCGATTTGCATCAATTGTCACAGCCTGATTGAAGAATACAACATATCCCTATATTAAGTTGGCACGCTATCATATAAGTTAGAAAGGAAGTTAATGCCACAAATTACTAGTCAACTCACCTCGGGCTGGAAATGCACGCCCCTCAACATTCACTGTTTGATCCGATGCATTACTTTCCTCAATTTGCCCAAATCCTTGCTCCGGGGATTGGTCGCCGCATGCGCAGTTGCGCACGCCACTGCGGAGTACGTCCTTGAACAGCATCCTAGTAAGATTCCATCAATTGCACGATGGATTTAGCATAGCGCATATTTTCATCATTGAAGTGGCACTAACAACTTGAACTCACCCCATTAATCTGATTCCTGTGATGCTACAGCCCAATATATTAATATTGATGGCGGGCCGCCCAGAAGATAATGAGCAGGACTTATAGTTTGTGCTAGTCGTGTGGGGGCAGTTGATAGAAACGGAATTTGTAAACTGGTTTTTAGCCGGACCCAACGGAGGGATGACATTTTCTCTCAGTGGCCGTACATATTAGAGAGACCGAATAAAAGGAAGAAGGTCGTCCCAAGACCTTGTTCATGATCTCAAAGATTAGAGCTCAGTACTCTGCAGCACTATTACTGTACCCTGCACTGTGTAGACGCCTGTTATGCCCGTTTGAATCAAGCTTGATTCAAACGGTCAAAACAGGTGTCGACAATCTAACTTGAGCGTCTGCCGCACTGCGCCGTGCGGAAGTCCCACAATTCTCTCACCACCAACTCGCGAGAAGGTCATTAAGCCCAAATTCAAATACATCTGAACGCAACCTGCAGCTCTACAGATTTCAACTAAACAAAGTCAGAGTTGGTCAGTAGCGTATCTTAACCAGGTGGTTGCCAGCCGCGTTGTCATCAAACTGCCCCGTCCCACAAAATGACAACCAGCAGCTCAGTGGTCGCAGAAAGGGATGAAACTGGACGTATATTCTACACCACCGTTGGACATAGTACCGATATCCCAGCCAAGAAGGTACGCACCGTAGCAAGCCTCCCAGCCCTATCTCATCCCACAGCTTCGCGACAGACCGCACGTACCACCGATACTTCCCGAGACCGACTTTTCAATGAAAAACCCTTGCAAGCTCTAGGACGTAGCATCTCAGCGATATTCCTCCCAGCTGGATATCCAAACACTGTCACTCCTGGTGAGCACCTCAACACAACATTCCATCCAAACTCTTCCTCATCTAAACCCACGCAGATTATCTGCAGTCAGTAGCTTCTACTGCTGCGTGAGCGTCATGGTCTCAAACATGACCGTACCTTCGTCCCAGCTATCAAATGTACAATGACGTGCAGGAATTTTGCAGTTCTTTGTCAGGTTTACTGGCTTCCAGAGGCGCGCTCGAAGGTATACTCGCGCCTTAATGCAGATGCAAAGTGAGCTCAGTTCGGTGGTACAGGTTTTGGAGTGGGAAATGCATCAGCATCAGCAACTCAGGCGCTCCTTTTATCAGTCCTGAAAGATGTTTGTTCGCGGTTCACAAGTAAGTTTTCCCTGTCTACTCTGCAGCCATTGACAACGTCTCTCCAGCCATAATAGGCGCCTATTACTTTGGTACCTCGCTATACCCCGAAACCAAAACATTCCGCTTTCTCGCAGACGTCATCAACGACACATCTATCGTTTTAGACACTATATCCCCATATTTCACCAGCATATCCCTATCCACCACATCTCCATATATCCCTTCAGGCTCGACTCTCCAAGTCGCAGCGTTGTGTATGAGCGGAGCCATGAGATCTCTCTGCAGTCTCGTAGCAGGCGGATCAAAAGCAGCACTCACAGACCACTTCGCTTCACCCGTGAACAGCAAAGGTGACGTAGGCGAATTGAACGCTAAAAACGCGAGCAGATCAACTGTGGTTGCATTGACAGGCGTCTTGGTAAATTAAACCCTTTGAGCCTTGAGCTGATGGAAATAGCTGACCTGACCAATATTAATAGCTTGGAACGCTTATTGTTCCTTATATCACGACCCGCACCTCAATTTACACCGCCCTTTTCTTTCTCGTCTTTGGCCATCTTTTAGCCAATTATCTTGCGGTGCGCAGTGTCGTACTCCGATCGTTTAATAGGCAACGGTCTAGTATCCTTTGGAGTACATTCCGTAACACAAAAGCAGGAGCAGACGGACGTTCTGTCGGGTTGACCCCAAGAGATGTATCGAACCGAGAGATAATTCTAGATATTCCCAGCCGCATCCGCGATGCAGTCGCCGACCGAGTCATCGGACACTGCTCATTAGGCGTATCAGTGCAGTACGCTATGACACGCTGCAACACACCGCACGTCCTCAAGATGCTTCAGCACTTCCAGGAACAACCGTATGTTCTCTTTGTGGCGGAGTCTCGATCGTGGGGGCAACGCGGACCGTGTATCTTGGTGTCTTTCAAAGAAGGATACGGATCCCTGGACCAGTTACGTGCTTGGTTGCATGCGCTGGAGATAGCTGCGATGTGGAGTACCCGACATATGCGTCCCAGTGTTACTAGTCCTAGTGAAATCGAGGACATGGCGCTCTCGGCACATGAAACCCTCAGGAAGGAGTTCTCTGGTTTCATGAGGTGCATGAATGAAGCGGGGTGGAATATTGATGAAGGCGCGATGACGATGGGGTCGCCGGGTAGTGTGATTATGTCACCTGAGACTACGAAGGATGCATGATTCCTTTCTAACGGCACGCAACAGCACTCGCCGGTTTGCCTGGCGTATTCATATATCGCTTGATCCATTCAAATAAGATACAGTCAATAACGATATATACATGCACAGTTGCGTGCCATTGCCGCTATGGACAGTACCTATACTATGTCGGGACATCAGGATGTTTTATTTGTGACTTTCCCCCGACGACACAATTTGAGCTCGCTGTCCTCGTACTACTTATCAACCTGAGAAATCACGCTAAAATAAAGCATCCTGATAGTGTGTGAGTGTTTTAATGTGCATCATAATCGAACGAATCAAGCGTTCTCGTGAAAGGGGATACTACCTGCATATCATAACGCCGGACACCTTCGTCGTCTCACCGTTACTCCATTAGCACCTCAAGCAAACGTATAGCAATCTGAATAACTACAGTTAGATGTAATGCTCCTTTTGGGCGAACCAGAAGAACATATCATTATGCCTGTGTGTAGCGTGAAAACTTCAAAGGCTCTGAACCTGAACGAGTGAAAGAATATTACAAAACGCAATAAAACAAAGCGATGCATGCCTATAGCCTGTATGCATGATCTTGAGATACGAATGTGTAATAGTGTCAAGGTTAGGGTTAATAATTCATTCACGTGATTCATTTGTCATTTCAGTCTTCGCCGTACAATATTTTGTCGCAAAAATTTACAGGGAACTTCATCTTATCCAAGCTTCCATTTGCTGGTCGCCGAGTCTCTTACGAAGCACATCCGCAATTTACTATATCTGATTCTGTGACCTGTCTTTCTCAGTGGCTCCTTAACGAAAACCCATATGTATGCGCTGGCAGCAAACAGCACGCTTCAAAGTCATGATATTCCCGTAAAATCGGTATCGCTAGGAATCTATGGAAAGTCCCATTCTCTAGGTCCAGGGTCGCGCCCAACAATCGTCAATCACTAGTGACGGATTCTCAAGAATTTCACACCAAATTGCTAATGCATCCTGCTTGGTGATCTGCTGGCATCGTGGATAGGCTCCTAGTATCCATTCGAGGACAGAACTACCCAAGAATAATTTCGAGAGATCTTCGGATCTCGGTCATTCACTTGACGCAGTAAGGCTATCGAGGGGATTCCCGCAGATATATTTTTCCTATATCGCCATGAAGAACAATATTCAGCATATAAAAGCGAGCCATCTTCCTACTCCCCTCTTCAGATTTATCTGCCCCACCACAAACAATGCGTTTCTCCTCTGCGATTGTCCTCCTCGTCGTTGCTGCTTTGACATCTGCCATGCCCACTGATGATGGCACTCTTCTCGCTCGGAAGGCTCAATGTTCTACATTTTGCGTGAGGGATTCGCAATGCATAGGCTGCGCTCAGGGATATTGCGTGAGTATCAGTAGTCTGTGTCCTGGATTTGACCACATGACTGACTGGCATAACAGACCCCCCTTTTTTGCCAAGTGAGTCCTGTTTCTGCTTTGACATCAGTCCAGTATGGTTTTTGGCACTGACGCGTGAGTTACTAGTGATTTGCAGAGTTTTTGGGCTTGTTGGCTTCTAAACAAATTTTCATGCCGGTCGAGTCGAGCAAAAGAAATCTTAGCATAAATAAGAGCTTTCTTGCAAATGTTGTTTGTAACATGATAGCGTCTGGATGGCCCGAAAGCTTTGACTCGACGGTTTGACAGTGGAAGTAACTTCCACGCACGGTTCTGAGTCCGCCGCGCGGGGTATTTGAGGAGAGCTTGACAACAGTGTGCGATGCAATTATGGCAGATGTTTCGGACGATTCGATGCCATCTTCTCCTGCCACCGTTGAATAATGAATAGCAGGTCCAATGGTTAATTTATGTATGTGTTAGCGCATGATGTGTGATTGCAACGGATTTTGTACACGGACATGATATAAGTTAACACGCAAAGAGCAGCCACGAAAGCTACTGCTGAAAAGTGAGCTTGGGTACAATATACATCTTTGTCAAGAGTTCTTCCTTGGTTCTCGTCAGCGTCGCTCCATCAGCACCTGGCTCCAATACATCGAACAATAGAATTATCGCTTTCCTCCTCTCCAGGCAGATGTGCCCCCGATAGGCATACCAAAGCTCCCAAAGGCAGCAGCAGCGCTTGGCGGAGTGCCAGCATCGCTGGTTGGACTAGTGATGCCTCCCGTCGATCCTTTATGTCCATGAGCTGCAACGCCGAACGAGGAGCGGAAGGAAGACGCCGGAGCGGACTGTATGGAGATGAATTTATTAGGTAGCGGTCGGTCATCTGTGTTGTACTGATAAGGAACCGTTATCAGTTGTGTTCCTATAAGGCGGCTAAGAACTAACCTGGAACTCGAGACCAATATTATCCGCTTCGGAGACGTCTAGAAGCTTTATAAGCTTTCTTCCTATCCCATTCAGCCTCTCGACGTCATCTTTGCTCCTCGTCCATACTTGAATTCTGTCGACCTTGCTCCGAAGACTAACCACCGCACCACAAATCTCGTCCCCTTCCTCGAGCTCTTCACCAACCAGCGCCATCGCAAGCCATTGCCAGCAGCGGTCTAGAAGTGCAGGATTATTCTTCATTGTCAGAACCCACTTGCCACCGTTGGAGTTTGCTGGATCCTCCCACATCGGCTTAATTCCCGATTTAAAAATGTGGTAGTTGGAATTACGGTCCAGTTTGGAGGGTGGTTTCAGCCAATTGAAGTACCGGCAGAAGCACTCCACCGTATTGAATTCTCCAATGACAGTCAGACCAGCTTCATAGTCTTCTGTCTCAGGTGGAGCGGAAAGGAAGGGTGTTGCGCCCTCTTCAGTAGCTACCTTTTGATGAGCGAAGGGTGCTTTGGATTTCGTGTCATGGTAGATAGTCCTGCACATGTAATTAGACGATAGCGCGGTCACAAATAATAAGAATATTTACCATGGAAACTGTAACGGATGCTCTGGTGCTTTCATGGTAGCTCCTGGTGTCTTTGGATCCTCCACCATCTCAGCTTCTGGTGGACGCGCAGACCCGTCGACGCTGAGCGATCTCGCTTTAGCCAAGTGCGCTGTTATCGCGTCAAGAGATGGAATATTCTTATACCCCTTCACCTTCTTCTCTTTCAACTCCTGATTAAGCTCTTTAAGGTTCTCCTGTGTCAAAGGTTCTGAAGAGGCTAGTGGCGCATCCTCTGGTATCGATGGAGTTGTAGATTTCGGTGGTGTGGCGGCAGTTGTAGCGGTGAGCGCCGGAGACACCGAGCGAGTGGAAGGGGCATTAACGGCTATTGAGTCGTTTGTGGACGTCGTAGACAATGAGGTCTGCGATCCCGTGCGTAGGAGTGAAGCAGCGAGACGTGGGCGAGCTGGGGATGACGACGGCGTGTTTGCACCGCTGCCAAGATTGATACGAGCAGCGAGCTGGTTCAAAGATGGTGGGCGGACGGATGATCGCTCGGGCTTTGGAGCGTGCATGGACGCTTGCAACGAGTTTGGTGGACTGGACATGGTGGTTAGACGCAAGTCAGCGATGACTCCAGATCAATCAACCGACAACAATACATCAACACCGCATTCAAGCTTTGACATCGTTTCAGGGACTCGCTGTCTATCAAATTTTTCAACTTTCCCTTTGATTGTTCCACCGATTTGCGATCTTTCGGCGTCGTCAGAAAATAGGAATGTGATGGTGTAGGAATAGGTTTAAATTTCCTGGCGAGTTCGATGTCGTAACCGCCTCATTTACTTAGAAACTGAGTTACCGCGACTATCAAGTTCTTTCAATGTGCGCTTGGCTGGAGGAACCTACAAGCTCTAGAGCAAGTCCTTGCCAGTTTGAAATTTGTTCAGAATCTTCAGATGGAGTCCCTCGTCGTTGCGACCCACTACACGCAAATGCTACTAAATGATCTTACTACTACCGAATTCAAAGCCAACGATTCCAGTACGAAACCCTTAGCTCCCTGATAACTCATTGCTCTGTCTGGTAATCTACAGTCACCTGAAGGTGGGTACCTCACTGTCGCTGTGTCCTTCGAGTCCGTCCTGACTGATCATGATGAAGTTGCATGTTTATTATACTCGGTCACGTGGTACGTAATGCTTGACGCTGGCTTATAAGCACAGCATACAGTTCACACATGGAAGCTCAAAAACGTAACTCTTCGCTACTCACGCTCAATATACACTATCCACTAATTATAAGCTTTAGGTTGCACCGGGACAGCGTAGGATTGGAAGTATTTAGTGTGCATAATGAAAATAGAAAATGCATGTCCCGATGGGGAAATTTGAAAAAGCTTGCTGCTTTTCACCAACAACTTAATAAGCGCACACGGGCAGCGTGACGCAAAGATTGACAGGCCTGATCAAGAGGACCATACACTGCATGAAACTACAGATTAATTGTTGTGGCACGAGATGAAGTGGGAATCAACAGATTCCGATCGTACCACGGATACTTGAGAAGCACATCAAGTGCAATTGGTTGTCGCCACTGTCTCGACTGAGGGTAACTGACATCGTCTAGAACAGTATTACCACACAAAGCGCCATGTTACACAATCATACAACAGTTCCACATCGTGAATCTACCTCGACAAAAATTTCAAGCAACCTTCACAGCCCAGACACCTCCGCTCCTCTCCGAATCGGACTATGATTGATCATGATGGTGTGTGTTGCATCATCAAGGTCTAGCTGAAAACAAACGAATCAGCGGGAGTGTTGCCACAACGTGGCGGTGAAACGTACGCAAGCGATGACCTAGAGCGATTTCAAGAACAGCCTTGATTAACTCTGCCTTAGCCCGAGAGCACGAAGATTCTTTTTCCTTTGCCTGAGAGCGTTCGAAATCTTCTTTTGCCTGTGCCTGAGAGCTTTCGAAAGCTTTTGCCTTCCTCTTGAAGGGTTCAAACGGTAACTTCGCCATCCAAGGCAGCTTTCCTTGATATGAATAGACAGCAGTCCTCACAGCTTCTTCATATGCGCAGGTGGCAGTAGCCACAGCTTCTTCATATGCCTGGACGGCAGCACTCACAGCTTTCCTGACAGCAGCTGCGTGCGGAGATGCCATGTACTGCTCGAGAGCGACATGAAATAAGGGATCAGACTCCTTGTCCTGAAGATAGCGCCGCTTGTCGAAAATGTAGAAAGAGTGTTCGAAGATGATGACAACAGCTAAATGGTCAATGATAAGCAGGTTCATCGCAACGTAACCTCAAAAAATCACCAGAAGTGAGCTGAACAATATTCTCCAAAGGTGATGAGTCGGAGGCCTGGCAGATTCGCAACATGAGAAATGTATTCACAATCTGTAACCAATTAAACATACCGCAGAGAGTAACCTAGACCGTATCTTTACACGGTAATCTTTGTCAAGCAGCTCCTATTGATGGATCAGCGATGTCGTTCGCTAGCAAGGCTCTGGACTCACCATCTATTGAAGGATGCGCGATTTCAATGGTAAGCAAATCTCGAACTCGATGGAGGATCAGCACACTGACTTCCTGGCAATGGATGAGTAATGCCATTGGTGAACAGAGCTAGAGCTTGAATGAGGATGAGGGATCGAGGGACTCACGCCCTGTCAACGGATCAGTGATGTCGTTGGTGAGCAACGCTCGAGCTCAATGGCAGATGAACACACTCACGGACTGTCAACGGGATCAGCGATTTCATTGGTCAGTAGTGCTCCAATTCGACTGCGGAGGATGTGCTTACATCCTGTGAATGGATGGTCGGTGTCCTCAGTCAGTATGGCTCGCATTCGATGATGGATCGAGAAACTCACAACCTGTCAACGGAGCGGTATTGTGTTCGGTCAGTGAGGGCGACGTAGAATCAATGCACCCACATCCTAACAATAAATCAGCGATTGCATCGGTAAGGAAGGCAAGAGATCGACAAAGGATGATCACACTCACAAGCTGTCAACGAATGGACGATATCTTCTGTCAGTAGCTGAAAGTCGGTGGAGGATCGATGTACTGACCTCCTGGCGATAGATGATCAATTGTGTTGGTCAGGAATGCTCGAACTCGACAAAGAATCAATGGACTGACTTGCTATCAACATATCAGCGGACGATGGCTTGATTCAGGAAGGCTACACTTGATGGAGGATCAAACACTCACATGCTTTGAGCAGTGAGCAAAGACTTCAATCAGCATGGCTCGAGCTCGTTGAAGGAAGATCAAAAACTCACACGCTTCGGGTAGTGGGCAACGACCTGGATCAGCATAGCTCAAGCTCAGACGAGGATCGACACACTCACGTCCTGCGAACGGTGGGCGACGACTTGGATCAGCATGGATCCTGCTCGAACGGGGATCGACACACTCACATACTGCGAACGGTGGGCGACGACTTGGATCAGCATGGCTCTTGCTCGAACGAGGATCGACACACTCACGGTCTGCGAACGGGGGGCGACGACTTGGATCAGCATGGCTGTTGCTCGAACGAGGATCGACACACTCACATACTGCGAACGGTGGGCGACGACTTGGATCAGCATGGCTCTTGCTCGAACGAGGATCGACACACTCACGTCCTGCGAACGGTGGGCGACGACTTGGATCAGCATGGCTCCTGCTCGAACGAGGATCGACACACTCACCAGCTGCAAACGGTGGGCGACGACTTGAATCAGCATGGCTCTTGCTCGAACGAGGATCGACACACTCACCATCTGCGAACGGTGGGCGACGACTTGGATCAGCATGGCTCCTGCTCGAACGAGGATCGACACACTCACCAGCTGCAAACGGTGGGCGACGACTTGAATCAGCATGGCTCTTGCTCGAACGAGGATCGACACACTCACCATCTGCGAACGGTGGGCGACGACTTGGATCAGCATGGCTCCTGCTCGAGGGATCGACACACTCACGTTCTGCGAACGGTGGGCGACGACTTGGATCAGCATAGATCTTGATCGAACGAGGATCGACACACTCACGTACTGCGAACGGTGGGCGACGACTTGGATCAGCAAGACTCCTGCTCGAACGAGGATCGACACACTCACGTACTGCCGAACGGTGGGCGACGACTTGGATCAGCAAGACTCCTGCTCGAACGAGGATCGACACACTCACGTACTGCCGAACGGTGGGCGACGCCTTGGATCAGCATGGCTCTTGCTCGAACGAGGATCGACACACGTACTGTCTGTAAGTGAACGTCCAACGTAAATGAGAGCAATGTTCGAACTTTACGATAATCTTACCTGAATGTGTGGAAACCAGACGCCCAATATCCCAATTATCCTCTCATAACCCTCAGATGACGTTGTCTCTGCAGAGTCCATATGTTTTGGGAGTGTTCTGTGCAATATCAGTCGCTAACGTTTGCGGCAGGTGAATGAGTCCATGGGTAGTTACCTCTCAACTGCATATTTCATGCAGATCTCCAGATTGGTCTGCTGGGTCGAGACGAATATTTGCTGAAGCACTTCATTATCCAGAGTTCCGGCCGTGCGTTCAATGAGTATCCTGCAATCTGCATCATCCTTCTCCATGTCTAATAGATCAAAGGTCATCGTGTATCGCGACTCGACGACGAACCGGCTTACTAGAAAGGCACACATGACATTTTGGAGGCCATCGTACTTCCTTGAGAAACTTCAATTGTGGCCCGTTAGGGAATGACTCTTCGGCTTGTTTCGGGGCCAGTTCCCTAGCGTCTTTCCGAGATCTTCCTTCCGCCCTTAGCTTGGTGAATTCGACGTCGTATAGCGCGTCAAACTTTGTGAATAATACTATCACCGGTACTGAGGATTGTGATTCTGCGCATGAGTCGAATGTCAACGAATATGGGATGCGAAAACATACTGCTTCCTGTGTCGCACTCAGAGAAGAATTTCTTTTCAGCTGCAGTGAACGACCTGCATGCTTCGTCCATGGGAATGCAATACCTATGTCGAATCTGTGAGGTAACACATTGTCGCGATTGATCGGTTGCAATTACCAGATAGCATGTAGCTGATTCTTTATTCGATCTTCCTTAGAACGGCGCGAGATGAATGCCTTGACCTGTTCGAATTCGGATGTGCCGCCTGCCTCAAAACCCCGTGAATCGTGGAAAATGAACCCCGGGTTGCTTTCGAACACCATTTCATTCTCGATGTCGTGCAGTCCGCGCTGAGAGGACGTCAGCTCATGGCATCGACTAAGAGCACACCTTACCTCTCTAGATGCCGTTAAAACTTCAACATCGATCTGATGTCGACGAGTCAGTACCATACTCCTACTAGCAATATGATGCCTACCCGTTCCCCGTCGCTGTTGTATATTTTTGGATTATCCCGTGTGTTGCAAACTCTTTGGAGGATGGTCGTTTTCCCTGCGTTCGCTCTTCCTATAACGAGGATTCGAAAGCGACCGATTTTCTCTCTTATCCTTGAGGGATCCATGGTGGAAGTGGTAGCAAATGTGAGTCACGAAGAAGCGTTGGTCTCGCCTTATAATCATTGCAGGGTGTGAACCCGGCAAATACTCAACCCTAAGCCGGCATCTAGATTCAGTACTTGGGCAATGGGCAATGTTATTAATACAGGAGAGCTGTGTACCATGAGGCGCACGAAGTGTGTTGGCACTTTGAGGTTTCGATTCATTAGTTAACTGTGCAAGCGTGGCAGCCTATAGTACTTGCCCAGGCCTATGATAACCTGGCTACGCTCGACACGCTAGCTGAACTTTTCCCCAAAGATGTTGCGTCTATCATTGGACCAGTTAGTTTGTGAGCTTTTGCGCCGAGTCCATGTTTTTTTTGTGCCATCTGTTTGCGCAAGTTTCCAGTCAGCTAAAAGACAGACAGTTCCTTCATTTACCCTTGAAAAACCATGGGTCCTCATGCCAGTCCGACTCAACAGCTATATCACATACCATGTTTTCTATGAGTCCGACTGCACGTGGTTGGCCAGAAGCCCGATGGGCGATATTAATATTGATATGGCTGTATACCATGAGGCAACCCTGTGCAATGCTGAGGTGTACACGAAGTCCTTGCAAGGCCAACGACTCGGATATTTGAAATTAGTTCGCAAGCGGAGTGTGGAGTTGGTTGTTTTAGATTTAATTTTATGTAAGAGAACTTCGTGCACTGCGGCTGTGCAACATGTGGGTTCTCTTCTCTGCCTACCCCACAGCGCCCATTGGCAGGTTAATTCTAGCAAGCTCCGGTGCCCTGTCTGCAGCCTGCTTTCTTTCAGATTTTCTTTTCTGCTACGAATTCCAGTATAGCTCCAACGGCCCAGATCGTTACGTGCACCGAAGTCATTGAAGTACAGTGTGGAAGCCGGCTACGAGTAGAGAGCACTGGCACACTGATCTCTCAAGCTCACTCGTGTAGGAAGTTCACTGTTGTGAACTCTCGTCAGGTTCCTCACCCCAAACCCTGATAAGGGGAGGAACCATCCACCCAGTCACCATGACACCTTCTACCAGTGGTGAGCATGAGCACCGTCCTTGCCAACACCTGCTGCCGTGCGCATGCAGATTCCTGCACTTTAATGGACGTGGATACTTGCGTGGATGTAGGGGCTTGCACCGACGCGAACTCCTTCATTGACGCAGATGCCCGCGCTTATGCTCGCACGGATGCCTTCTTACTACTTTTGCTACCAACTGTCTCATGTACCCTCACCTCCATGCGTCTCCTTGCGGGCTCCTACAATTCAGGGATTCAAGGTTAACTTTGGTGCGTCGCATTCACTCCTACTAATGTGGGAATAGCCGCTCACTCCTGCACAGGTCGGGATCGCTATCAGGGCCCTGCTTGCAACCAAGCAGACATTTTTTCTCGTTCTCAGTAACACAACCGCATAACAGCACCCACACAGTTTTTATGTACTAGTAAGCACTCCATTTATAAATCACGCGCACGGTTCGATGGAATAACAAGTCACCATGTCCAACGAAGATGAAGCAGGCAAGTTTAGGCGATTCTCTCCTTCCATCCTCTCCAGTCTCACCGCCAACATCTGTGAAGAAGAGATAGGTAAAGTGGAAGCACAAGTTTTTAGGCTCGTGAAAGGTCCTGTATGTCGTTGCAGGTGTCGCAATATCTAGCCAGCAGTTGACACGTTTGGATGGTGTGCGGTATATCCTCTCATCGATTATATCATCCAATAGCGCGCATGCAAGTGATATTGGAAGGCACGAGACAGATATAAGTAGAACATGGATTTCCAAGTGGTGCTATTGGGTAGCGTAAGAAAAAAAAAGAGAACTTCAAGTGCGATGATGTTGAAAACGGTATGTTGGTCAGATGATACAAAAAAACGTATTCAGTCCGTCTCCTCAGACTCGGGGCTTCCATTCAAAAGATCGAGATAGCCATTAACCTCGTCCCACTACTTCAAGCAAGTAGGGACCATTGAGAGAGCACGGAAGGCGGTGGGTACCGTTTCTCTATCCGTGAGCGGACGTGTAGTCGACTTGCCACGGCTTTCAAAGGACGGGTTGCTATCAAGGTTGAAGCTTGAAGTAGCAACGAGGAAAGTCGAGCTGCAGGGTCCGGAGCTGAGTAAAACAAAAGCCTGAGAATTGTGTGATCACTGTCAAAGAGCTGCTCGAGGCCTGACTGTTGGACCAGGGGAGGTTCTGATTTACCTTGCACGCGTGACAGAGTTGCTCAGCCTCTGTCCAAGGCGCGCACGAAACACTGGCTTCCATCACAAACTCTTCCAGCGAGGGGAATTCTGAGGATGCAGCCATTTTTACATAGAAACAAGACCTGTGAGGTTAAAGTTGGCGATGTCCCAGCCCAAATTGAAATATTGAAGGCCGATGAGGCGGTTGAACGTTCACTGAGGAAAACAGCGCGATACTTATATTTGAAATCCGGATGAATAACCGATAGATTTGGTCAAGTTTCTGAGCTTTTGTTCTGCTTCTTCGGGCAGACAAGTGTAATTGGCCATTGTTTGATTGAATCCGAGGTCGAGATCTGTGATCGTGATAAAGTAAATACACGAGACCAACAAACATCTCTGACAGGAGAGGTAAGTTGAGTGTGTGAGATCGACGAGCTGAGTCTATAGTAGTCCGTGGTTTGGTATCAACATTCATTATAGATGCGGCTAAAAATAGCTATAGCCGAGTTCGGTCACAATATCGGCGAACAGACAAACCGACGAGCGTTGAGCTTGTTGATTGAACCGGCGGCCAGTGATCTTGATTGAATTCGAGCTGTATAACGTGTTGATTGCCTACCGAGTCATTTACCGCGAGCGTGTCCCCAGTCACAGCGATTCAAAGTACTAAGCGATACGTTTGGAGAAGGTGTGACGATCGCGGAATGATAAGGAAGATGCGTAGGAATACACGGTGGGCACAAACTGATGTGACAGCAATTCTCTCGCACACATGAACCTGCCTCTATGCAGTCTCAAAGGCGCTGTGGTGTATTCCTTACGGACAGCTTTCTAATACGTGCTGTTTCTTCGATCTGCCTTTCGCCAACACTAACCGCATGACGATATACACCATGCTACCAGCCAGCGCAATGACCTGTGATCCGGTGAATCGGAGACTTTGGTGGAGAAACAGTATATAGACTCACCCCGGAGAACACCGCGGGTATCCACCAAATATAGTTTGATGTCAGCAGAGCGCCAGCTATAGGCGTTCCTAGAATAAAACTTAGACTTTGAAGCGAGTGATGTCAGAAATGCACTTGCCGATCAAAATCCCGAATCCTGTAGTAACGCGTGCAAGTTCGTAATAGCTCGGGAGTGATTATGATCTGACAAGACTCACCGCTCACGAAAAAGGAGATGCCCATCCGCGCACTATCATAGACCCAGTTTGAATGATGTCATCCAAAATTAGGCCATTACTCACCCAAGCTCAGATGGGTCAGATGTTAAATCAGCTATAAGTGGGGTCCATACCCCGATGTCTGCACCATCCATCAACACATCAATACAACGAGTAGAAACAAAATTACTCACATAGCCCTGCAAAATATCCATAAACCACACCAAGCACTATGGCGCTGGGCAGATTACTCAATCCAATAAAGCCCAAGTTGAGTACACCGCATGCAATCGTCGCAACTATGGTTAAATTCGGGACTCCTGTGAAGGCTGCGATGAAGCCCGACGTGACTCGTCCCACCGAATTGGCAGCATTTAAAATAACTAGCTAGTGACACAGTCAGTAGACACATCACATGCATAGCGCTGGATCCTACAGAGTAAAACGAGAACGTGGTGCTGATGCCGTGTTGGATACAGTCGAGTTGAAAAAAGAACATCGGATAGTATAGGCCAATCTGGAAAAGAAAGCCCCTACAAAAAAGTTATTTGGAGGGATTCGAGAAAAGGTGCGCGGTAGGTCTCACGCTGCGGTCATTAAAATAAACGGTACATCGCGAATACACTTTTTAGCTGCCGCAACGTAGTTTACCGGTGTCGTCGGCGAATCAAGGCGAGTTCGCATGCATAGACATGCGATTAGAAGGAGCACGGTGACCAACCCTGCGCTTGCACGGACACCATTGGAAAAGCCGAGAGGACCATTCAAAAGGTTATTAAGCATGATCGGATGGATGGTAGCGCCCAATGAAGATCCCGTAGCGACGAATGTGAGAACCAGGGTACGTTTGCGTCGGAAATAATGCGCAGTGACAGCCGTGCTCGGGACAAACAAGAGCCCGGCTGCGATACCTGAACCCATCCCTTGAGCAAGGAATATCTAAACAAAGTCAGAAGATAAGACTAGAGAGCTGGGGAAAGTTACCTGGTAGTACTGATCAGGTTTTGACAAAGATAACATGAAAAGAGAGAAACTCTGCAGAAGTGATCCGGCAATCATAAGATGGTAGCTAGTCAAAGGGTGCTGAGCATCATCGAACACGTCCAACAAAATGAGACTCACAAATATCCTCGGTCATACAGTGAGCCTGATACGAGGCCTACAGAGGTGAGTAAAAACATATTCACGCTCCCTATCCATCTACAAGAGACCTTGAGGATGGGCGGCGTGGAGACCGAAGTAGAAGCTCACGATATAGCTGATGATGTTTCTTTTGTGAGGTAGTGTTGGGTATAAAAATCTGGAGTGTAAGAGTTAAGCATCCATCCGTGCTATGATGTAAAGTCATGGTACCTTGATATACACCAAATGAAGTGGCATAACTTTTAACTCGGAGTCATACACCGTTCTTGACTAGCACCAGTAATAGACTCACCCGAAGCCGCTGAACTGCACAAGGAACCTAGACAAATCAATCAAGACTCGGGTTTATTGTCCAAATAACAATTATTACGATCCAAGGACAGTTATCCAAGCTGCCAGACCACCTTCAGGAAACTCGTTCGAGAGTGAGGGAGGGTCGGACCCCTTGGTGACCGGATATGATTCCACTAGTGTCTCCGAGGCCTGTTTATCCTCATGGCAAGGGGCTCCTGTATGAGGCTTGGATTCAGACGCCATCGAGAGCTGGGACAAACGACGGTGGCAACTGTATATATAGTACATAGACCCTCACCTAGTCACGAGTTGTGAACCCTGGCTCGGCTTCACGGAGGAAAGTGAGAGCGTGTGGGAAACGTAACGTCGATGTATTGACTCTGAGCCTTTTGCAACTGACACTTTAATTAGTCACAGCCTGATGATAAGGTCAATGAACTTGAGATGAACCCCCTACATTACCTTATACGTTCGAGATTGTCAGCAAGATTTGACAATTTGTGCAAACGGAGCTAATTTGGTTCACACTATGCTTGGCCACCACAGGAACAATATGTCAAACCATGGAGGCCAGGAATATCGTACGTGGGGCGTTGAGTCTGAGTTGTACCCAGCCCCGGTTTCTCAAACAACGGTTCATGGACTCGCGTTCCGAGGGCCTTGTTGACGATTGTTGACAATAATACTACCAACTCCGGAGGATTAGCCTCTGGAGCTTCTTTACCTTTTCGTATCTTCGTTCTCACTGCAGGTAGCTTTCTACGTCTCGGACTTCCTACTTGTATGTTTTCCTCCACGTAGTTTTACCTCAGATCGCGTCTCGCTGAGGTATGCCTTTTCTTGATCGCTAGTACTTAGTCTTGCTAACGTGTTTCCACAATCGGACCGATGATGCTGTTCACTCGTAAGCACAGGAGACCAAAGTTTACTCGTAGTATCCCCTGATTTGATCAACCCCCTAGTGGCGCACAGGGCACAGTCTGATCCCACTCTAAAATGCATGGTTACGCCACATATCCCCTCGGAGCATTGTGCCACATACGTCATGCGTCCGAATGTGCGGGACCTCTAAAGGTCGTACGCACTCAAGAACCGAGCAAGTATAAGTCAGGCTGGTTTGAGCCTGAAGATATCTTCTTTATTAGATGCGGGCGTTGAAATTTGAAAGGTAGCTGTAAGGAACAAATTGAGACATGCATGTAAGTATTTGGGCAAAGCCCCGAAGGGGTCTCCGGCATACTTAGACAGCGTGAGTAGCTGTTGTGTCATACGCGATGGCAACCCCCCCTTGCTTCTCGTTCGCTATCGACGCTCGCCACGACCTCGTTCTGTATCCTTTCACGATAAACCAAATCACCTTTACTTCAGGACGCACATCAATGGCAACTATCGGTGCCCAGGACATCAGACAAAGAATCGGGCGCTTCCGAGTTCTGATCATGGGGAGAGCAAACGCAGGTAAAACGACCATCCTTCAGAAGGTCTGCAACACCACGGATCAACCAGAAATTTACAATGCCAAAGGACACAAGGTGCGAGTGATGGGTGATCTATGCCATGCACGGGTCTATCGCTCATCAATTATGGCTAGATCGATGCTGCCATCGTAGAATCCTCGCTCAAGGTGTGTGCATCATGTGCCCTGTGGTATTATCATTATGTGCGCTGACGGACGCTCAGCGTGGAAATCACGACATCACAAACGAAATGGTGTTCAGAAGTAATCCTGTTTTCATCTTTCACGACTCGTGTGGTTTCGAAGCGGGCACTGATAAAGAATTCGAGAGCATGAAGAACTTTATCTCAGAACGCGCACATGCGACGAAATTAGAGGACCGAATCCATGCTATTTGGTAACCAACACCTTTCTGACCTTCCGCGCTTGTTGATTACCGTCAGGTATTGTATTCCGATGGACGAGCATTCTCGAACATTCCAGCGGTCGGAGGAGAAGTTCTTCTCGGAGTGCGACACTGGGAACGGTGAGTTTGCAACTTCATTGTCACTTGCCGTGCTCGGACTACATGATTGATCTTCAGCTCCTGTGATTGCGGTGTTCACCAAGTTTGACGCTCTGCGTGCAGTTGCGTATGGTGATATCAAGAAGCAACTACAAGGTGTATCAGCAGAAGAACGCTCAAAGAGGATTGCCCAGGGCGTTGAGGAACTGTTTACGAATACAGGTGTCTTGGAGAAGTTGCGCAAATCTGAAAACCGTGCCCGTTATAAGTCCTATGTACGCTTGCAGTGTAAGTGATTCAGATCAACTTCTCCCCATGTCAAAGTTAAGATTAGCAACCGTCCTAGATATGAACAAACAGGATACAAACTGTGACACTCTGCTGGAAAGCACCACTCTCGCATTGGACAATGAAGAATTGCAGTTGTGCTTGGTATCAACGCAACAATCGAATCTAGAGCTTTGCATCAAGTGTGCTGTGACGTGAGTCACAGATTTACAAGTCACATACGTTTGTTCCAACATCATCTAGAATAGTCGTGGATCGTGCGCATCAGCTATTCGGGCTATTTTATCAATCCAAAATTGCTGGGTGGTTTCCACATCTTAAAGTAAGACAAAGATTGATTCAATCTGACGATTCCCTGGTAATGATGCTCACGGATGGGATAACAGCTGGTAAGATTGCGATTTACGAAGCTGGAACAGGATGGACAGCGCTGATACCTTGTTGCTACTCGCCTGTTGACAGTGGGTAAGTGCCATGATGGTTTCTAGTCATCGACCCATGCTCATGATCGCCATCCCTCGCTGCTGCTTGCCTGTTGACAGCAAGTAAGTACCTTGATGGTTTCTGGTCCTCGAGCCATGCTCATGGTCCCCATCCCTCGTTGCTGCTCGCCCTGTTGACAGGGCGTAAGTGCCTCGATGGTTTCCAGTTTTCGACACATGCTCATGATCCCCATCCCTTGTTGTCACTCGCCTGTTGACAGATAGTAAGTACCTTGATGGTTTCTAGTCCTCGACCCATACTCATGATCCTCATCCCTCGCTGCTGCTCGCCTGTTGACAGCCGGTAAGTGCCTTGATGGTTTCTAGTCTTCGGCCCAAGCTCATGATCGCCATCCCTCGATGCTGCTCGCCTGCTGATAGGCAGTAAGTACCTTGATGGTTTCACACCCTTAACCCATATTCATGATCCCAATTCCTCGTCTGTTGACAGTATGTAAGTGTCTTGATGATTTCATACCCTTAACCCATGCTCAGGATCCCCATTCCTCGCCTGTTGACAGATGGTAAGTGCCTTGATGGTTTCTGGTCCTCGACTCATGCTCATGATCCCCATCCCTCGCTGCCGCTTGCCCTGTTGACAGAACGTAAGTGCCTTGATTTTTTTAGTCTTCGACCCAAGCTCATGATCCCCATTCCTCGCCTGTTGACAGGCGGTAAGTGCCTTAATGATTTCTGGTTCTCTACTCATGCTCGTGACCCCCATTCCTCGCCTGTTGACAGCGGGTAAGTGCCTTAATGATTTCTGGTTCTTTACTCATGCTCATGATCCCCATCCCTCGCTGCTGCTCGCCTGTTGACAGACCGTAAGTATCTTAATAGTTTCACACCCTTAACTCATGCTCATGCTCATGATCCCCATCCCTCCCTACTGCTTGTCTGTTGATAGCGGGTAAGTTCCTTGATAGTTTCTGGTCCTCGACCCATGCTCATGATCCCCATCCCTCGCTGCCGCTCGCCTGTTGACAGGAAGTAAGTGCCTTGATGATTTCACACCCTTAACCCATGCTCAGGATCCCCATTCCTCGCCTGTTGACAGGTGGTAAGTGCCTTGATGGTTTCTGGTCATCGACCCATGCTCATGATCCCCATCCCTCGCTACTACTCCCCTGTTGACAGAAAGTAAGTACCTCGATGGTTTCTGGTCCTCGAGCCATGCTCATGGTCCCCATCCCTCGTTGCTGCTCGCCCTGTTGACAGAGCGTAAGTGCCTCGATAGTTTCTAGTCCTCGACACATGCTCACGATCCCCATCCCTTGTTGCCACTCGCCTGTTGACAGAAAGTAAGTACCTTGATGGTTTCTAGTCCTCGACCCATACTCGTGATCCTCATCCCTCGCGGCTGGCTCGCCTGTTGACAGGAAGTAAGTGCCTTGATAGTTTCACATCCTTAACCCATGCTCATGATCCTGCTGCCCGCCTGTTGATAGGTGGTATGTATCTTGATAGTATCTTGTATCGAAATGGTACTGAATAGTATGACAACGTTCACTTGTTTTCATAGCCCAATGTAAGCATTTTCTATTCTCTCAGATGAATCGAATCATCATCACTCATATAATGCATAGTTCGTTGAGTGTCCATCCTTGATGATTTATTTTCCGTGTTCATTCATCTTGCATATTTCTTGTCCTGTGCAGAATGTGAGTCATTTGATCCTTATAACGCGAAGCATGAAATGTATCAATCGTTTTGATTCTTTCACTATAGGATGTGAGTATCTTTTAATCGCCAAGGGTTCTTTCAATCACATAATACCTTGTATTCATCATGTGCTCGCAGAATGTGCGTTAATCATGTCCTGTCTGAAATGATTGTACTCCACTGACAAACCTTTTATTTAGCTCGTACGTCCATCGATGGTATTCGCCATTACATAGTGATGCTCATCAGGTTCCAACCCCTGACAGTTTGTAAGTTACCTGAGCACAGCAATCATGGTCTACAATCTGGTGGTTAATTATTCACAACTGTTGCGTCAACCAAATAGAACGTGCGTACCTGTCATTAACCAAATGTTAATTTGCCACCTCATGACTCTGACATTCGTTTCCCGCAGGAGGCAAGTGTTTTATTCTGTGGAGTTGATTCTGATACCCACACTTTCAACCTGTGGCTAGGGCGAAATCAAGCTAGAGGACATTATCCGCATCCTTCAACCTTTGGTATGTCGGTTTTCCTCCATATCGATTCTCAGCGCTGTAAGAGTGTAACAGGCTGCAAAAGGTTCATCGGGTGCGAATCAAATAATTCAGACTGGCATTGGTTAGTTTCTCACCGCATGATCAGTTATAGTCTTGATGACAGGAAGCAGCTACTATTCTCGCCCTTGAGTACTCCGCCTTTCTCCCGTTGAACTACTTGGGGGACTTGAAGCGCGTCGAGTCTGCCGTGAACTACTACCTGAAATCTCCCACGGCTGTCGCAGTTGAGAAAGGAGCGAAAGAGATTTCTCGTCAAGGCTACGGCAGAGAGGAGCTGGGGAAGAAGATTCTTGAGTTCATTCTTGAAAATCGCTTGTGTACGCCCCTCGCTTGGTTGGAAGTCGAAACTTACTGACAGCCTGCAGCAAAGAACTTGACTGAAAAGAAGTAGATGGTGCTCGAGCCAAGTTTTCTGTTTTTCGATGCATACTATGCGCTCGTGTTTTGTACGATACGAAGCACGCCAGTTTCAACTCCTGAGCGGCGCAGACTGTGATGTTTCCTTGTTTCTGATGCTCTTCCTCATGCTATCATGATGTACTATACTTGGCACTCCAGTTTTAATTGCTGAGCGCTGCAGACCGTATTGTTTCAACACCCGTTTGTCGTATTTCGTCATATCGCGTTCTGTTTGTGCTATGTAGATTTAGGCTTGCACTCGTCAAATAATTGTTCATTCTTATTTTCAATCATGAGACTTTTGAGAGCTGGCTCGGTATGCTTTGATGTTGAAGCGGACGGGCATGCCGACTGACAACAGACAAATCATCCAGGAGGGAATCACAGCATTGGATTATTGACTCGTAATTGAACATAACTTTATTGTATTGTCTCGATGAAGGGGAAGATATCGGACAGAGAACCAAGATGATAGGAAATGACGCAGACGTATCGAGTCATTGAGAGGGTCGTGAATCGTAGGATACGACAAGGTAGCGCTTGAATAAGTTGAAGTCGGATGGGAAAGGTGCTAGGCAATAGAGGAGATGAGAAACGTTCTCATGACAAGGGACGCACCATCAAGTGTACTACGTTTGCTCTACGCGGTTCTTACCGAGGCGACTCCAAAAAAACGTGTTCAGGTATGGGCCATCGGGTCAACATTGAACAGATGGTGGTGTCGCTGAAGACCATACGAATGGATTTTCCATTTAATATGTTAACAGGCATGGTGTCTTTGCGCTTGAAGTTGCATGGCAGGTGTGGTCACTGGTCCACCTTCGGGACGTGAATTAACGATATCTGGTGATTCTAGTCGAGTGAAAACGGGTACTAGTGCAGTCACTGCTTGTAGGCGACCAAGGACCAAGAGCATATCACTGAGGTTGATTTACATAGCCTGATCAACACGATGCCAGTGCAAGAACGGTAACAGCCAACAGTGGACTTGGTGAATTCTACCATGGGATGTAGTGTTGCCGCCGAAGCGAAGTGAGGTAACTTCGAAAACGTGAGAATTCGGTTGACTTCGTTTGTTTCGAAGTCAGTTGAAGTGCACTTGGTCCAACTTCGAGATCTAGGTGAATCGACTGTCTCTGTCATATTTCAAACTCATTGCTTTTAAGAAGGGTAGTCACACGAAGGGTGCTGCGGCATTGGCCGCTTCGTTCAGGAACTACTAGTGCCAGTCACATCACCAAAGTCGTGCACACTGCAGACTGCAAACCACATAACGGGCCAGTAACTCTTACTACAATTGTTTCCTGCTTTCATGAATACAACAACGGGGTTAGTTTTCTTGTGCCCATTCTGACTCACTCTAGTATCATTGATATTTGCGTGCACATTTTGTGGGCAGTTAGTCAGTATCGTTGTCATATTTGCGCAGCGCGAAGCAAAGTCCCCGAGTCAGAGAAGCAGACATCTGAGGTCAGTCTCATACTGCAATTTGACATTTATCAAACTCTTGACCTTGCAGTCCTCAGGCTTAAGCTAAAACCGGACGACCCTTCTAATTCACGGTGGGATATCGTCAAATTCGACTCGGAGATTTGATTCTCAACGTTACCGAAGTCCGTCGATTTTCTTCTGGTCTCGCCAACTCCAGTTTCTCGCAGTGCCGCAGGCTCGCCTATAAACGTGGTATGATAGAAACTTGGTTATTGTGCTATATAGCTAAAGTTATAAAGTCGGTGAATATCCTACATTCAAGACAATATTATGGTATAAATCCGTTCGAACATCCATGGCAACCTAAGGAATGTCCTTCAGGTACCGTGTTTCAAGACAACTAACAACCCTGCTGTTAATCTGACGTAGTCATGTTGCAGTAATAATAGTCCTGTTGGAAACTGAGATTGACCGCACTGTTGAATCGAGTGGTGGCACTTACCGTGAGCGTGTAGCAACAAGATGTCACGTAGCCACTTGTGCAATTCCCCGAGTAGCATTGACACTGCTCATCATCCACACTCCCCGGTTCAGACGAATCCTTTTGCAACACAGGTAAGCAGAGGTGTCTTTCTACGCTCATGGATCATTCTCACCTCCGCGCAGCAACGGAGTTGGCCGTCACCACAACTGACATCAACGACCATAGCATAGACTTGGCAAAGGAGAAGGAAGATAGCAGAAATCGTGAAGATGCGAACATACATGTCGGTGCATAACGAGGTCGAAGCGACTGCTGTTCCATGTGCCTTTTAAACCTGTCGGCCTCGGGGTGAACGCTTCCATTTCATCACCACGGAGCTGCCAGTGACACTACAATTTGGGCAGTGTTGGTACTGGAAGTTTAAATTGGAATGACTTCATGCCTGATGTCACTAGGCGCTCCCCGAGGGCTCCCCGAGGCTGCGTGGTAGTGGCTACATGACTGCGGTCCTTACAGCAAGGGTGGAGACGGGTCGCAGGTGCCCACATGTTACCCTTCCGAAGTACTTCGGCTTCCAAAGCTCCCAAAAATAAGGTGCGTGTGTTACGTGATCTACGGCAGAGGTCAAGACTTCCAGCACCACTCGGTGAGGTCTGCTCGTGTATAAGGTTAAGCACCTTTCCATCGCGTGTCTACTATTGCCCACCACGCCCGACCTGCAGTCTCCCGCTACCCACCAGACCACTCGGGTAAGTGAGAGGTAAATTTGCAGCTGATGAGGTTTCCGAGGTCTTGTCATTACGTTCTTTTGTTACGCTGCACGCACCTTGTTTTTTTCGGGAGCTTTATGGAGCCGAAGTACTTCGGAAGGGTAACCAGGCGGCGGGCACTCTGGTTCATTGTTAAGATTAACCGCGTCTGGACATCGCCGAAGTTCTATTTTTACAGACAACCTGGACAGTTCCATATATACCTATTGTTCGGTCCATTCAGTAAAATTTACCGAACAGTGATACACCGACGACAATGACCATGGTGGAGTGGTGGAGTTCCATCTCAGCCAATGGCCAAAATCCGAGAAGTCTCGTAAGCCACAAATTCTAGCTCAAACGAGATTAATCGGCAAGCAAATAGGGCTTGAGGCCGCTATGTACGTACTACTACGTACCGCCGTGAAGCTGCCAGTGGAGTTCGATCATCGCACTTCGAAATTTTCATATCTGGGCCCAAGAACCATATAGTGACGCGCTTTACAAAATCAAAAGAACCAGTGACGTATTACAGTACTGCCTACATACTTGTAACCTGATTACCCGGTGACATGGACAGCGAAACAGGCTATGTCAGGTGAGGAATCTCTACCCGTGTCTAAGGGCAGCAGTGACCAGAACAGTTAGGGAGAAGCAAAGGGTAGTAGACGCGATGGGGTGTACTGTCTGTCGACGCCTTCCGGAAATTTGGCTCTGCCATATTTGACGACTACCCCAGAGCAATTCAAGATCTGAAGAGAAATCGCCGACACAACTTTGATCACAATATATAGACCAAAACGATCTACACTTGGCAGGTGGGATGGTTGAGGGCAACCGACGGCGCTGTGCATGTCGTTGATAGACTCGCCTCAGTTGATTTTCTCTAGCTAGACCTTTGGTTCAGATGAGAATGATCATTTGTGTCCGAAAAGGCGAGTACGTTGCTGAAAAGTGGTACTTTCGTCTGACACCTTTTTGCATCAAGACCCTGCGAGCTCTGTTACGGCTAAACTGTGGAACATCCTGACGAGTCAACAACACTAGTGCAGTCTTTTTTGTATCATATCGTCTGACCTGGACCTGTCTTATTCCCAAACGTCCTGTCGAAAAAATTGCGCCTCTACTCGGGGATCAACGTCCGTTTGATAGCAACATAAACGGGGGTGCGATAATGATGTCTGGTATTGCCATTGTCGTGATTATTCCACAACTATGGCACTAATGGTCACCAATGCATTTAAGTAGACGCATCTACTAGTCTACAGCACGAGATACCGCCATGATTGGCATTCACCACGTCATACTGTGTTGCTGCGGCGTGCGCCTGTCTACTGTACCGTGGCGACTTCTATGGCGCTGGATTCGTTCAACTATTCCCCACACATAAAATACACATACAGACACACGACACATATACACAGCCACGCATTCACATGCATACAACATTTGAAGACAGCATGACTCGGATGCACATAGTACTTAGGTAGTACAGGGCTATACAGCCTATGTAATCATCTATAAATTTATCCACGACGAGACTACTAATTTGATGAGAAAGCATCTAATTCTGCGCGTGTCAGCATTTGGTCAGGCTCCGTGATCAGAGCTGCCGACAGCTGCTGAGCCGTCTCCTCAATGAGATCATAAGCAAGATGAAATGCTGTTCCTTTCTTCACTGTTTGAAGTAGCGTTTTCCAACACTCCGGGTTCATCCTCCCGATTTCAGAACCAAGCTCCTGGAAACGATCGACGGCCTCACGGAAGACTTGCGGGTTGCGACCATCAAGAAGAAAACGGGCCATTGAGTTCCACCAGAGTTGCCGCCAGTCGATGGAACATGCAGTGTTGTCAGTGCAGCATGCAGCGTGCTCGATAAGGGGTGGCTCCTCGCAGGCAACAATGCGACGGTGTTCATCAAGAAGCTCTTTTAGATCTACAAAGGCATTCCACACTTCAAACCCGAGCTTCTTTCGCATTGGTCCTGGAATATCTCGGATGCGAAATTCAATGAGACGTTGAAACGCGGGAACAAAGAACTTCGTAATTGAGAATTCGAGACAGAGTGCGAGAAGGTCATATGGTTTGTGTCAAAATCGTTGTTCATGAAGGTGATGAATGGCAATATCGCGAGCTTTTTGACTCATGAACTTGTTGCTGAACCGTAGGAGGTCAATAACATCATCATGGGTAGGACCTTCCGGTTTCCAACTGTGCAATTCTGCATTAGAAGACAGTGCACTAACATGAAAATTTATCTTACCTGCCGTATGCAACTGAAAGGTAGAGCTCGAACATGTTCGTGCTGAGTTCAGGAATTATAATTGGGTGATCGTCGCTCGAGCCATCCGTGCCCTCTATTGGTCGTGATTGCCCCCCGACAGCAAACATCTCCTCGAATGTGATTGACGTGCGTGATAACTGAGTCGCATGGACTTTGAATAATGTGTTTTCGACCTGCATTTAGTTATTAGTATTGTCATGGGGAATCACTGAGTGCATATATATGTGAACAATCCGCACTAGGAAAATGTGAGTACCGTCATATATATAAAAATGACGATGTCGAAACTTCAGGAGGCTTGGAGCTAGTAATGTGGCTGTTTGAGCCTCGAACATGTCTTGGCTGATTATCCGCGAGATGGAAACACTATGAGGCTTTAGTTCAGAGCACAAACTTGAAGGACGTAAATGTAGTATAGGCTAGTGGGAGGTGCGGTAGACAAGTCACGCTTACCACACAAGGGTTCATTGGTTCTTTTTCGCTTCATCACCTCTAGAATGCAACTGCTGGCGGACTGGTATGGACCTTCCAGCTTTACCAGAACGCGAACATCCATGGCCACAAAATATCTATGCTGCAGATGGTATCATTCGTGATATCTACAATGGTGCAATCAGAATGCTTCGGTCAAATGATGCAGAACCAACCAGAGTTGCATATCATTACGATACACTGTCTTCGGAGGCCCTACCCTTGCTTGAGGCCATCGAAAGTGATTCAAGTGATGCTGATCACCAGCTTCTTCATGACTGGCTACTAGCATGTGCAAGTCTTGTGGGTGAAGCAGCTGCAATGCTTGAGGATATCAGCCAAAACACCCATGTGTGAGTGATACTCGTGGTACTCATTTGGATCTTCTGACCTGACAATACTGTCACTTTGGTCTATGTAGGGAAAATGTTGAACAGTCAAACATTATCATCCCACAACTTGTGACCGAGGACCATGGTCATGGACGTCGAGGGCATCCGAGAAAAGATATCAATCTTGAATTTGTCCGTGAGGCCCTATCTAACCAGCGCAACATCACACTCACAGAGCTTGCCCAACTCCTCCGAGTGTCTCGCACGACTTTGTGGAAATTTGTTCGTCAACATGGTCTTCAACAATGCTTCACAACAATTAGTGATGCTGATCTCGATCAACTCGTGAAGGTTTTCAAGGAACGCAAACCAGAATCAGGATTCCGTTACCTTGTTGGCTTCCTTCGGCACCAAGGAGTTCAAGTCCAGCAGCACCGTGTTTGGCAGTCCTTGCGCCGAGTTGATAGATTAGGACAAAGGCTGAGAGAACGACGTGTTACCAGACGACGAAAATACCGAGTTGCTCGACCAAATGCGCTTTGGCATGTAGATGGTCATCACAAGCTCATTCGGTGGTGTTTTGTTGTCCATGGATTTATTGATGGGTATAGGGCTGTTCACCGTACACCGTACGACGGGACTTTACGGGGCCGTAATACGGTCACCGTACCCGTACCGTTGGTTGTTTCAACCTTGAGTTGACGGGACGGGGTACGGGTATAAAGGCCCCGTATTTTGCCGTATTTGTACGGTCGTATACGGCCGTATTACGGTGTAAGTTTCAGACTTATACATGCAGTAGCCGCATGTCTTATTCCGCAACAAGTCAATTCCGGACCTGATCCTCACACTATGGAGATCCTCAAAGTACTGCCAGTGGTATGTTTTCTACTATAATCTCTAATCAACCCCACTCTAACATGTTCTATGTCATGTCCAGATCATATATTCTTTGATTACTTTGCCCCGATCCAGGAGGAACCATGATACCGGTCAAGATATCTCCTGGCGCTGTTCCTTTCCTCCCATTGCTTGCTTTTCCCCCTCCCAGTTCCCGTATTTTTACTCGATGTCATCTGACGCTCCAGACACATGTGCACTCGCCGAGGATCAAGCTTTTCAGGTGGTTCTTGGCCGTGGAAAACGTCCCAAGAATCCTGACCGCATGAACGCCCTAATTCAGGCTGAACGTGAAGGTGATGATCAGCCTCTGCGTCGCCATCGCCGATCTCGTCGTTTACCCAAGAAGAGCGCTGGCATTATCAACAATGACAACTTTTTTCCATCTCTCCCAGTTGACCCTTCAGATGCCGATGACGGTGATTTCACAGGGGATGACTCTGACTCTAGCTCGGAGTCAGAGTCATTAGGCTCTAACAGTGATGTCCAGGAGATAACAAATGTGGAGGTAAGTTATTTCTCGTGTTTCTCTTCACTGGTCTTACTAATTATGTAGCTTGCTGCAATGCTGCCTACGAAAACTGTACCACAACGAGGGGGAAACGACACACGCCAACTCCGACAGAAAACGAAGCGCAAGGCCAACCGACCTTTGCCTGCCACCAGCGACTCCCAGGCATCCAAGCGTGCTTGCGTGGAGGAAGTAGATGACGAGGACAGTGGTAGCTTACAGCCATCGACGAGCTCAGCTCTTCCCCAACTATCGAAGGTGAGTTCTTTCCTGTTGTTTATAGCTATTCTAACTCGGGTCACTCCAAATCATTAGCAGGCCAGCAAGCGCAATCCAATCTATTATTTCTACGAGCTTGTGGAGATGAATTCCGACGGACAAGCAGGCGACGTTGGCGACAAACACTACAAATGCTATTTGGGCAACCGCAAGGTCCTTACCATCACGCGTGCGATGAAAAGCAGTTTGAATGGTATGTTACATTTTGACGGCATGTCTTGTTTCTTACTAGTTTCAGGTTTGATCAGTCATCTGAAGACTCATTTTCCACCAATGTATCGACTATATCTGCTCTTGAAGTCCCGTGGGACCCCACCTACCGACGACGAACTCAGGATCGCACGGGGAGAGAAGGTTCTCGATCCTGCCGCAGCTGTGCAATATCTGGTCCAGCTCGAGCAAGCATCAGTAAACATTGTCGATGCATTCAACAAGCAGGTTACCAAAGCTTTTGGCAACTGGAACCAAGCAAGGTTTGAAGAGCTGCTCACACAGTGGCTTGTGGCGTGTGACCAGCCGTTTGAGGAGGTAGAACGACCAGAGTTCAAAGCACTCCTCGACTACGCACATGGAGGCTCCCCACTTCACATCCCTGGAAGACTTGCCATCAAGCGCCGTGTTATGAAGATGGGAGAAGATACTATTCAAGGTGTTAAGGACATGATTGAGGTAAGTCGAGTCGAGTCGAGTCAAGCCAACAAACAACGACTAATTGTCTATATGACAGAATCTCGAGTCTAAAGTCAGCCTCTCTCTCGACGCATGGACCTCAAGTAATCAATTCGCTTTCCTGGCCATTGTCATGCATTATATCACGAACGACTGGAAACTTGAAGAACTTTTAATCGATTTCCGTGAGATTATTGGGGAGCATAGCGGCGCTAATCTTGCCGAAGCGGTTTGGAATACCTTGGAGCTATATGGACTGAAAAATAGGATCATGGCAGTTGTGTGTGATAACGCCTCAAATAACGACACCCTACTTCAAACACTTGGAGAGAAGTGTGCCGATGAAGGAATTGACTTCTCCGATAAGCACTCGCGCATCCGCTGCTTGCCGCACATTGTCCATTTGGCCGCCATGCAGCTGCTTGAATGTATTGGAGCTATCAATAAACGAGTTGCAATGTCATATCAAGAATCAGTCACAGCACCGCTCGATCGCGAGCATGATGACTATGCAGCTCTTCTTGACGAGGCTGAAGGCGATACTGATAAAAGCGATGACTTCGAGTCGCTACAGCAGGTACTGTCTGCTGTTACAAAGGTATGTCAGACTACGCTATGTGTTACATATTTTACCACTAACATGAAACCAGCTTCGAAAGATTGTCCGTTCTGTCCGTTCAAGCCCACAGCGACGGAAAGCGTGGCTTGCAGAAGTCACGTTGTCCCTTAAGAAGGCTGAGAATGCGACGAGTCAAGTCGCCCTCATGCTTATCTTAGACGTCAAGACTCGTTGGTCGTCCACGCATCAAATGCTACGTCGGGCACTTGATTTTCGTCAAGCTATTGATGACTTCGTTGCGAAGACTCGTGACCTCAGTCCATATGAACTCTCTGATGCCGATTGGGCAGGGATTGAGCTGGTCACGAAATGGTTGAAGGCCTTTCGCTCTGCTACCACACAAATGTCCACGACAAAGCGTCCCATGCTATCTACCGCACACGCAATATTCCGTGGACTCCAGGAGTCGATTCGAGATGACTTGGCAGAACTTCCGGATTCAGCTCCAGTGAAGCTGTGGTCTGCGCTAACAAGTGCTCATCGTAAGCTCAGTGATTATTACTTCAAGATTGACGAGTCGCCTTTCTACGTCTGGGCTTCAAGTATGTTACCTTTCATTGTGAGTTTGTTTGGCTAGCTAATCAACTATTCCATAAGTTCTTGACCCCGCATCTCGTACAATGGGCTCCACAGCGACTGCGGAGATGATATCACCGCACAAATGCATATCGAGACGCAGAAGAGCAATCTGCATGCTCTTTATAAGAAGGAGTATGCTACAAGGGTGGCGCAATCAATCCCTTCGTCATCTCCCACTGAAGCAGGCCCAGAGAACACTGGGCGCCAGTCTCCGACGAAGGTCAACTTCACAGCAAGGTACAAGAAGCGATCGAATGTGACGATAGATGAATTCGAGCACTACTTGAAGCTCCCGCAGGAGGATTTCGATACTTGTGACCCCATTCAGTGGTGGGCAGGTCGTCGTGCACAATTTCCCAACCTTTCTCGTCTCGCGCGTGATGTTCTTGCAATCCCTGGTGAGTGTATAGCCTATCTAAAACATTCATAGTATCTAATTATTGTCTTCGCGCTATTTGCAGGGTCTGCTGTTGCCGTTGAACGTATTTTTTCTGGGGGTCGGGACACAGTCTCTATGCGGCGTGCAAGCCTCAAGCCTGAGACAATCAGGATGCTAATGTTGCTGAAGGCAAAGCTTCGTTTGGCTCATGCTGCAGTCCAAGACCTCGTTTAATGTACCGTATGTACCGTATACTACCGTATACGGCCGTAAAGCACACCGTACCGTACCGTCAGCATATTTTTTTTCATCCGTAATAGACGGTTATGTTTTAGCTTCATATGGCAGCACACCGTATACGGTACGGCCGTACGCCGTATACGGTACGGTGAACAGCCCTAGATGGGTATTGTCGCACTGTGAATCCATTATTAATGATAAGGAAAGCATAATAACTCACTAATATTTCAACAGATAACGGGGCTACGGGCCAGCACAAACAATCGTGCATCGACTGTATTGGAACTGTTCATGCACGCAAGAGATGAATATGGCATGCCATCTCGTGTTCGTGGAGATCGTGGAGGGGAGAACCTTCAGGTCACTACACATTTAGTTGCAACAAATGGCCATAATCGCGGCTCATTTCTATGGGGATCGTAAGGTGTAGCCTCTTGAAACATTCCGCGACTAACAATACCTGATATTAGATCAACACGAAATTCACGCATTGAACGGCTGTGGGTTGAAGTGGGCACACAGTTTGCACGCCGATGGCGTGGATTTTTTACCAGGCTCGAACGACTTCATAAGCTTGACATTGACAAGCCAGGGCACCTCTGGCTGCTTAGTGTGCTCTTCTCAAGTGCACTCGATGACGATTGCCGACAATTTCAACGAGAATGGAATTCCCATCCGATTTGTGGTTCTGAAACCAATAATCGAAGCCCTCAGGTCAGTATTCACTCAGCAAGTACTGGTGCAGTGGTGTAATTGCTATCTGATGACTATGAAGGATATGCGTCTTCTAGGACAGGCATTGTTAGGCATCTACGAAGATGAGTTCGAGGGGATCCATCCTGCAACTCTGCAGCGTTATTATGGTATCGATCGCAGAGAGACAATCCGCCATCTCAATCAGACAGGTGCTGGCCACCCAAACGATGAGTTAGAGAACGAGGAAGATGGTGTTATTGATCGTATCGAGCGCGATCAAGCAAACGATGTCCTACATGATGCCATTGAGGTTCCTGATGGTAATACCCCTTTTCTGAATGAGGAAGATGAAAATGTATTCTTCGGGATACTCGACGAGGTTATTACTGAGGGTATCATACCAGTGGGATATAATTTGCAGGAGGGTGAGGATGACTATGACGAAAACACAACAGAACATCTACGAGTTGGTAGACGGAGGGAGATATATGTTGAAGTATCTTTGGCAGACCCTATCTGGAGGACTCGTTCGATGCTATGGGCTCAGGCAGTTAGCGTGCTAGAGCATTTTGAAGCAGATGTATTTTTCTAATTCAATATATTAATGGATCACGTTCGGAGTACAACTATGGCCAGGAACCCACTGTGTATAAATCCCGCACTTGACCGACCTGTTTTTGATCCGGTTCTCTCTTCCATCCTACTCGCAATGTCAAATCTGGTGTATTGCAAAGGTAATCATCTCGAACCAGAAATGTGCTATTGCGAAGAGTACTCCGCACCCACAAATGTTCCTATTGGCCAAAGAGAGCTTTGCACCGAATGTTTGCACGGGAAGAGCAAACATCCTCGACCTCAACAGCCTGCACCAGTGGCCGAGCCATTGGTGCCTCCTGCACTGCCAGTGAATCCAGGTGGTCCGAAGCCATCCAAACCAGCAGCTGCCACACCAAAGGAACGAGCTGGAGTGACAGCGATATACAAGCAATCACTTGCCCGACGTGCTGGGCAAGGCCCGGAACTCAAATTTGAGGTGTCAACTGACAGTCGGAAGACAGTCGCAGCCACGAGAAGTGAAGTCATGTCAGGATTCCGCCCAACTATAAAGCGGAAAGTCACAGTGAGCAAAATCGCCTAATGTTTGTTACCTCCAGCATACTCAGCTTTCATTTAGGGGGGCAGGGTTGTATCTTCAAGACGGGCCACTGGCAGCAGCTCATTGAAGCAACAACAGGTCCAGATTCAAGTTGGCGCTGTCGCTGTCTTGATCAATTACCTCGATGTACGTTAACCTAAACAAGCCAATGCTACGACTCGGAGCTTACTCAGCGGGTCAAAGGACAAAGGACAATTGATGAGCAGGGTCCCACCTGTGAAGACAGAGGTGTCAAAACTCAAGCGAAGGGGATGTGCTCACTTTGACGAAGACGAGCCTGAGGACAACAAAGTGGATTTCAGCTTTTGCCCGGACTGGACATTTCAAGAAGTCGAAGAATATTTTCGAAGACTTTTTCCAAAAGTCTTTGAGTACCTTGACTCCGTACAGAATGATGATGTGAAGGGGAAGGCTGTCGATAACGGAGCATTGTGGGTGTTGATTTCGAAAGAAAACCGCTGGCTGAGTGTTGCACCTGAGCCACTGCCAAACGGCAAACATCTTGAGCGGTACAGAGGCAGAGATAACGCACCTCTTGCAGCGACTAATATTTTTATTGGTGAGCCTGCCAGTGCCATCAATGGCTCATCACGGATGAGATTTTCTAACCAGTGTGAATGCAACAGCTAACCGGAAGTACATACCTGAGCACATTTGCGCACAATGGGACCCAGACGTGATCATCATTGATACAGATTCCGAGGCAGGAGAAGATCGAGATGATGAGCCTAAGACAGGTTGGTGAAAGTGCTCACGTGCACCATCAGTGACGGTCACTGAATCGTTTTTCACTTCAGCACGTCCAAAACACTCAATCCGGTACACCAAACACGAAGAACCAGCTCGAAAGAAACTGCGTGGAAGTAAGTACTATCTTGTAATTTTGCTACATGAACAAACCGCTAGTGATGTTCCGGCCCGGCTTGGCCCAAAAGCCGCGGCTTTGGCCTGGCTTCAGACGGCTCTGGCCTGCAAAAAATCCAAGCCGGGCCAAAGCCGCAAATGACAGCTGGCTTTGGCCCGGCTCTGGCCTGAGCCGCGGCTCGAGTAGGGAATTTGCGATTCTGACAAAGTGAGCATGAGCAGGTCGTTGTGAAACCAGGATTCAACCACATGACTCACCTGCAGATAAATCGCGGCAGTCGAGAGCGGCGGTGGAATTTCGGCGGTTTCTTCGTGACATGCGTTACCCGAAGAGATTGACGGAGGTGGAGGGAGATGCATGAGTAGAAAGGGAACACTGGATCCAAGTGCACGGGTGAGGGTTGCGGTGGTGAATTTTGACTCTAAAGGAGGAGCGCTACTGTACCGAGTTCAGACATGCATATGTTAGATTCGATACGCCTTCCATCTTGCGAACGTAGTTTGGAGGCCAAATCACGCACACACCTTGCAGGGACCATGTTCTTTCTCCAAAACCAAGACCATTTTCGGAGAGCTGTGTCCTCCAGTAGCTCGGGCTTGCAGGACGGGGGACGCGCTTGTAAGGATTAAAGTTAGCAGGGACATTCCGAGCCCACCTCATGCCGGTTGCCCAGTAAACACCGGGACCTGCACCATTCATGTTGGAGGTAGGTTTATACTGCCAAAAGCCAGCTTTCCAATGTGGGTGAGTGTTGGCGCCAGGCGGCATGGATGGTGGACCAGGAAAGTTTGGAGGAAGAGCAACACCAGCTGGTGGGGGCCAGGTGCCTTGCCAACCCTGTGGCATAGAATGTTGCTGCATGAGTTGTGGATTGGGGTGCCAGTGTCTTCCTGATTGAGCCATGATGGGCCTTTAATAGATATGATAGTAAGTTCAGATTTTAGTTACAAGGACGAATGAGCGTACTAGATCTATACACACACTCATGACGGACACTTGAATCAGAAAGCCAGAAGGGTATTGCAAAGAGGGAGTGATCTTGGCTGGTTTCTACAGCTTGATGTCGATAGTTGGTATAGTTAAGAGACGTGAAGCACGATGGAAGTGATTAAAAAGCTAAAACAAGACGAGATAGAAACCAGATTCTCAGTTGAGCTTGGGCGCCGCAAGGCTCAGGCACAGTTTCAAAAGCCGCGGCCCGAGCCGGCGGCTTCGGCTTTTCATAATGTCAAGCCAGGCCAAAGCCGTCACCAGGCCGTGAGTTTGGCCCGGCTTGGCTTGGCCTATTCAGGCCCGGCTTGGCCTGGCCCACGGCCTGAAGCCGGGCCGTGCACATCACTACAAACCGCTTACATTGTATTAAAAAAATAAACCAGCTCGCGGTCAGCCCATTGCATCAACATCTCGAATGAATTCAGAGAACAAGGAAAACTCAGGCTCTTCAAGTCACGTTAAACGCAAGTTCGAGTTCTTTTTTCTATCTGCTCAGTGGACGTCTAACACTTAAGATTTTACAGTTTTCGCTTCCGATTCCGATTCAGATAACGGTCTTGACACGCTGCCCAGTAGTCTGAAGGGAATGTCACTCTCACCGCAGACTCAGAGACGCGCTCTGCGCTCTCTGACTGTGATGCCTTCAATTAAAGATGAAGAACAGAAAGTTGACTTACAAGAAGTCTTCACAGGCCTGCAGACTCGGAATCATTCATCTGCGACGTCCATAGCTTTTCGACCACTTTTCCGCCCTCTCGTTTCAGTCGAACCAACGAGGAATGATATCTTGCGTGGTCACCCGGATATTAATGATCCGTTGTCACGCCCATTCCACAACCCTTGGACAACTGACTATTTCATTGGTTCCATTAAACTTTGGCTTTAATTTTGTCCCATAGAATTTGAAGCTTCCTCTGACATATATTTCATCATAGTCACTTCGCACTGGCCACAACTCGGACACTACTATGCTTGACTACAATGCCCTACTACTACGGTTCCGAAAATTTCTCCGGTCCCTTCACTTAGCTCTAATCCACAGTTTAATCTCCCCATTCCTCCATCTAATCCTCCTTCATATTACTCACCTAAAAAATTCGCTAAGCAAATAAAACAAACCTCTGACATTGCTTATCCTGCTGGTACCACTTCCTGCAAACACGGTTCAAGTGGATGTTGTAGTGTAAGACGCGCAAATGAATTTAAGTGTGATCAGAGAACATTTTTACATTGTCATGTAAGGTAACTAGTAATACATGAAGTTGCGCATATTAGGCCTTCGAACGGCTTCAAAATCACACAGTTTTTGGATCGAAGCTGGACGGGGGATGTAGGATGGCGGCGGAGGCAGGAGGGTGGTAGGAGAAGACGAAAGGCCTTCGAAGTTCGAACGGCTTCAAAATCACACAAGTTTCTGGATCGAAGCTGGACGGGGGATGCAGGATGGCGGTGGAGGCAGGAGGGTGGTAGGAGAAGACGACAGGCCTTCGAACGGCTTCAAAATCACACTGGGTTCTGGATTGAAGCTGGACGGGGGACGTAGGATGGAGGCGGAGGCAGGAGGGTTGTAGGAGATGACGACAAGGCCTTCGAACGTTCGAACGGCTTCAAAATCACATAGGTTTCTGGATCGAAGCTGTAGAATGGCATTAGAGGCAGGAGGGTAGTAGGAGAAGACGAAAGCCTTGCCTTCGAACGGCTTCAAAACCACACAGTGGGTTCTGAAGTTCAAAATTGACTTGTTAAAAATTAGCATTAATTTGGGTCTAGGCTACGTACTGGGGACTTCGACGAATATGTATGCAAATGTGTTGCATGCGTGTTGTCTTCAAATGTTGTGTGCATGTGAATGCGTGGCTGTGTTTATGTGTCGTGTGTCTGTATGTGTATTTTATGTGTGGGGAATAGTTGAACGAATCCAGCGCCATAGACTTCTGCTTCGTCGTTGGTCTTCAAAACAGAAGCAGGTATCAAATAGATAAGAAGAACTTTTGGCGATACGACGGATTTATTGCCACTCCAGAAATGTGGATATTCGTGTCAATGAGAATTAATTTCGGAGCATGGGTGACCACACTTTCTTAGCACGGACCGTCCACATTGACCGGTCTGACCTGTGAAAGGATCAGTTTGCTGACGGTCAATTGTATATGGCTTTGTCAAGGGTCAGATCTTCAGAACGCGAAGAGACACGCTGTGTCTATTTGCGGAGACGAACGGAGGACAAGATTGTGCAAACATTGTATTCAGTGACTTGCCACTGTAGACACTGTTGAACAGAAAACAGACGACCGAAGGCGTGTCTTTGTGAAATATTAATACTGTACTCACTTGCTTCCGCACAATATTAACTGAGCTTACGCTCTTGCAATTTTAGGATGACACCTCTCGTGAAAGAGCATACATCGTGGAGGTGTGCGAGAGGGTTGCAAACCTTTTAGAGAATTTGGTGAGGCGAGTCTTCGTATTTACTCCTCTGCACATTATAGTATACTTGGTCATCCGTGGACGACTTGGACCCGTACCACCTGCGGATTCAACCACGAATCCACCCGCTCCCCCCACCCCAATGCTCTGACCTGGCGGATGCGGGTAGCCCCCTGGTACCTCGGGTTGGGTGGTCAACCCGTGTCATACTCGCACGACCACGCAAGATTTTCAAGGGACCCTCGAAAGGCTAGCCAGGGCATTCCGATAGATCAACGAGGGATACTATAGGTTGACTCTGATTGGTTGAACATATCCCATACTGACGTCTTCGTATTTCTTTTCACACATCATACACTTGGTCACTGCGGATTCAACACGGTCCACCCACACCCGCGATGCTCTGACCCGGCGGGTGGATGCGGGTAGCATGATACGTCGGGTCAACCTTATGTCTACAGCTGTCGCGGTAATCAATCATATGATGAGGATTTGCAACTCACGGCGACGACAGCCAATGTTCAGCAGCTCTACACCCAATTCACAATAGACCTTGGCTGGCAATGACGATAGACTCCGAGATGTTGAGCGCTTTTGGTACCAAGTCGTCGACAGCTGGTTGTAAATGCGAATATCCAATAATTTTATGCCCAGACTTTAGCTGGCAAGATCTGCTAGTATTATTTTTCTCCATTTAGAGGTAGACCACGTACGCAAGAGCAACATTCAGCACATAAAAGCTAGCCGTTTCCTTGTTATTTATCCCATCCCATATCACACAAGTCACTTCAAAAAATGCGTTTCTCCTCTGCAACTGTCCTCGCTGTTGCCGCTGCTTTAGCATCAACAATCTCTGCCCTGCCCGCCGATACGACTGGGGCCGATGTCAATTGTCCCAAGTCGTGCTTTTTTGACAGTCAATGTGCCAAGTCTAATTGCACTGACGGGCTCTGCGTGAGTATCAGTAGTTTTCCTGGATTTGATACATGACTTACCTAAATGGCAGGACTTTTTTTTCTGCCACTGAGGGCAGTAGAGATCATGAATATCGAGTAGAATTGGGCGTTACAACTACAGCAGCCAGCGTACAGCTTCACAACTTGTAATCGCGTGGGCAACACGTGCAGGAGGAACATATATCGATGAAACAGTGGCCATGACGGGGACCAGATGCAAAAATCCAGCCATTAGCTGAGAGCTGCAAACAAGGGCGTCCACACTTTTGTGATGAGGGTCCAGGGAGGAGATTCAATACTCAATTCCCGCTATAACAGTTGACTCCTTTGCTGCCCTAAACACAGCTGTTCTTGGTGTTTTGTTCGCACGGCCCTTAGTCTCCGTATATCGTAAATTGATCTTAGTCGTGCTATATAGGCTATAGCTATAGCTATGGGAGGGCTGGGTCTATTCTTATGTGGTGTCATGCATCCATGCCTTGAGCAAATCATATAGAGACAAATTAAGCCAATCTGCCTTGGCAGGAAGAAGACACCCAACATGTCTACTAGTAAATACTAATACTGTACTTGCTTGCTTACGCCAAATATTACTAACTGAAAGTACTTGCACTCTTGCAGTTTTAGGATGACACCTCTCGTGAAAGAGCATGCCTACCACTTGCGGGTTCAACCATGGGTCCACCCGCTTCCCCTCAATGGTCTGACCTAGAAGCCCTCTGAAAATTCTGGTACCTCGGGCAGTGGGTAGCACCACCCTGATGAACCCTCTTGTTTGAGGGCACGACCACACAGGGGACCCTCGAAAGGCTAGCCAGGGCATTCCGATGGATCAATGGGGGATACCGTTATACTATGTTTACTCTGATTGATTGGTTAAACATATTCCATACTGACGTCCTCGTATTTCTTTTCTGTCCACCTGGTCACTGCTTCAACCACGAGTCCACCCGCACCCGCGATGTTCTGACCCGGCGGGTGGATGCGGGTAGCCCCATGATGATACGCCAGGTCAACCCATGTCATACCCGGCACGACCACGCAAAAAGAATTTCAGAGGACCTTTGAAAGGCTAGCCGTATTCCGGTGGATCAGCGGTGCACGCTTCCTGCAACTTACATCCATTACTGTAAGGAACCATACTCAGCATATAAAAGCAAGCTGTCTCCGTACTATCTCCTTCAGGTTCTGATCCCACATCACGTCCTTACTCACAATGCGTTTCTCCTTGGCAATGCACCTTGCCCTTGTTGTTGCTTTGACATCAGCAATCTCAGCCAAGGCCATTGACGCTGACACTGATAAATGTGACTGGTTTTGCCACCACAGTTCACAATGTAACACCTGCAGTCGTGGGGTTTGCGTGAGCTTCTTTATATCCTGTATTTGATTACATGACTCACTGGAACGGCAGTTCTGGTACATGTGCTTTGTGGGTCGTGTTTCTTCTTTCACATTGGTGCAGTATAATTCGTGACACTGACGCGCGAGTTGCTAGTAATTCGTGGAATCAATGAAGATGCATGGAGAAAACATGGGTCTACTTACAGCCATTTGTATATCGGAGCCGATGTGGAATTTCGTTCGCTTTAAAATGCTAGATAAGACGTGTGAGGATACAAAAAAATACTACCGAGGAGCGTGCACTGTCAGCGATTGTTGCTCCTGTAGAATCTCTGTGGATGGGCCTGTAGATTGTACAATTACCAGTGTTTCTTCCAGTCCTACGAAGTATACGACATATTCTTGCTCAGTACACCAAAAGTTAATGTACAGCGGAACTCACGGCGATGATCAGTAGTTCTATACCCAATTCCCAATAGACCTTGGCTGGCAATCACGACAACTCCGGATGTTGAGCGCTTCTGATACCAAGTCGACAGCTGGTCGGAAATGCGGATGTCCAGTAGTTCCACGCCCAGACCTTAACTGGCAAGATCTGCTGGCATTGCAGTATCATTTACATCCATTTGGTAGACCACGTACGCAAGAGGAACATCCAGCACATAAAGGCCAACCGTTTTCCTACTATATCATCCGATCCTATATCACACGAGTCACTTGCAAACAACACGTTTATCCTCTGCAACTGTCCTTGCCGTCTCCGCTGCTTTAGCATCAACAATCTCTGCCATGCCCACCGACGCGACTGGGGCCGATGTCAATTGTCCCAAGTTGTGCGTTTATGACTATCAATGCGCCAGGTCTGACTGCTCTCTTGGGTTTTGCATGAGTATCAGTAGTCTTCCTAGATTTGATACATGACTTACCTACGTGGCAGGACTTTCTGCCCATCTGGTCTCCATAATGGCTATAGTCACGCACTGTTTCATCGACATATGTTCCCCTCGTACACGTCTTTCCTATCCGATACAAGGTGTGAAGCTGTATTTGTAACACCCGATATCCATCGTCTCCCCGGTCCTCAACGCCTCACGTGACGGACTCGGAATCATGTGTGGAGGATCAGCAGCGAGTGAGGACATCACGGAACAGCACCATTGACTACGTACAGAATTTCCGGGCAGCACAGTATCAAGGTCCGATTGTTCACGAGGGAAAACAACATGATTGATCCGGTAGACGCAGAGCCATCACAAAAGTCGGAACACCGTCCAAGCCATTTTACCCGAACTAACAATCCTGTTCTCGAGGAGAGAAGTCAGTACACCCATGTACTCTGAATTGTCTCAATGCCGCAATGAATAATCCCTCGAGTAGATGCAATACTGCATATTCCTTTCGCTCGCAGGCAACGTGTCCATGTCGCTGATTTTAATCTCTCATAGCCAGAAGACAAGTCATTCCTTTCTATGAAGTACCAATTTAGCTTTCATCTTGCTCAAAAAAATGAACGTGCCTCACACGTCACTTTGCCCAGAGGTCATCACGCACAAAATCAAGATTTGTCCCGGGGTATTAAATTAACGTGTCAAGAAATGACTTACATAGGTACTACATACGTTATTTAACGCCAGTAAAGCTATCAACATGGCTTGACGCCCCAGCCCAAAAGGGCAAATGTGACGGGCAAACCTTCAGCAGCCAAGATTGCCATTCCAGCATAGACCACTACCTTGGTCAACACTGAAGAAGGATAGGAATTGGTCTCAGACTTCGACATCTATCAAAGAGACAGACGATACACTCACCGTCAGCATCGTAGTGCTTGACTTCCTTGCGTTGATATGACCCGTTGCTGTTCTCGAGCTCGGATCCGCTGTAATTTTCTCCATTGGCTGACGGTGAATCGTTATTCGACTTTGCACCTCTTCGCTTGACCTCACTTGTTCTTCCTAACGCAGACCTCTCTCTGATTGCGCTGACCTCTAGGACGCCAGGAAGGTCGATGAAACTCGGAATCGGGCGCAAACTGCTTTCAACTGGCATGTGTTGGTAATCTGTCGCAGGGGTGTAGAAACGTCGGTGTGGCAGGTCGAAGGAGGATGCAAGAAGGCGGAAAAGAGGAGGAAGAACAAGGTGCAGGAGCGATTTGGCCAAAATTCGCCATACAAAAATTACAAGGATGCCTGTAGAGACATGTGAGCAAGAATGAAAACATGGAAAAGTAACAGAGACGGACCGATAGTGACTTTGGCACAAGCTAGAGTCCACCACGAAACTGTATCCTCCAAAGTCCACGCGGCCCCTTGAGGTCCGGGCATCACGGAACTCAAGAAGCGCTCGTCCACGCCAGAGTACACGCTGTGCCACCGGGATAGTGCAATGCCAAGGAGGACAGAGACAAACGCGATGGCATCCTCGAAGCAAGGACAGTCATCGACAGGATGTGGGTGATAATGTACAAGAAGTAGACAGATGGGAATCATCGTCAGCGGAACTGAAAAGAAATAAGTAGGAATACCAGCAAGGATGGAAGATATCACCTATCCAGTGAGCAGTTGCCAACCAATTCCCAAACGCCTCTTTCATAATCACATAGCCCCCCCAGATTATCACTCCAAGAAGGACACCAACCGCACAGTCGATGAAGGAATGCATGCCTGTGTATAAACGGCCGAAGACTACGGTCACGGCATATATCACGAGGATGACACATGACGTATAGTAGATCGATGATGAGATTGCGGCTGATTGAATATAGGCGCGTCTAACATAGCCAAATATAAAAAGTGCCATGGAAACGCTATTCGTAGAATGCGTTGAGGGAAACCCGTATTCGAGGTGGTGCGTCCCAATCGCTGGGATAAGGCAGTTGACAAACTTCGCAATGAGGGAATCTTGTTCACTTACTCAGTCGCGTTACAGGAGGGACTAATGGACGAGGTGAACAAATAAGGTCCTTCAAAAACGAAGCAACGTAGACTCCGGAAGCCAAAACAATGACTAGGCTGTTTGCGATTTGAGTTGCAATAATTGGCGGACAAGTGGATCGTACCCTCGTCCGAGCTCCTCATAGCCAAAGAAAAATGTCAAGGGTAGGCCAATCATGAAGAAAGTATGGGTGCCAAGAGTTGAACTATAGAGGAAATACAAGTCCAACCACGGGTGTCGTATGCATTCCTACAGAAAGTTATGAGATAAATGGATATGTTGAAATATAAACAACACGAGCCTGCATCCGGGCCAATATTTGACTTTCTCGTTTCACCGAACTGAGAATTCGGGCTCGTATAGTTGCTCTCCACCATGGAAGTTCGGTTTCGTATACATCCTCAACATGCTGTGTATCGGTGCGTCCTAGCTGCGAGTGTTCTAGTTTGTCATGATGAATGGTGAGAATAGGTATCTTATTGTGCGTGTGTTCGTCGTGAAAGGTGACAGAGGATAGCGCGTGCGTGTTGGACGCCTGAGTCGACATCATGGACCAGTACTTCGAATGACTATCGTGCAAGCGGGTTGAAAGTGGAGCAACCGCAAAGGCTAATAACCTTCTCGTGAGAACATTACTTTACCTTCTAAATCGGGTCATAATTTCGACTTCTTGCAGCTTCGTCATCAAGGTTTTGTTTGCAAGAATCTACAAAAAAACCCTGTGGGAATTATTATGTCAGCTTTGGATCACTAGTATACTAGTAAAGGTTAGCTCGTTCTAAATTTGTCTTGTCAGTAGACTGGTTTTGAAATTTGAAACGTCCAAGCCATGCATATCCGGGTGCCTCATACTCCATATATTTAGGGCGAAGCTTTGTGATTGCCATCCCCTGTTCGTCTCCACGATGTCCAATAATCATCTACAAGAGAAGGACTCAACCACCGATCTTGAGAAGGATTCCGCGTATAGGGATGGTCTCTCTGCGATCATCCCCGGAGACAAGCACGGATGGCTCTCCCACCCGTTAGCAAAGTCTCTTCTCAGCTGGGGCGTAGAGGAGCGAGGTAGGTTTCCCTCACAACCAAATACTCGTCTAATCTTCGTTCATAGGCACTATTCCAGTTCCTGAAAAGGAGCGGATGGACACTCAATACTATAAAATTTTCTTCCTTTGGTTTTCAATGAACTTCAACATCCTCTCGTGAGTTTTCAGAGTATTTCGATTGTCAGTCATTTTCACAGATAAACTAGCTTCTCTGCCGGAACGATTGGTCCAATCGCTTTTGGACTTGGACTTCGTGATTCATGTCTCGTCATCTTATTCTTTAATATCCTGGCGTGCGCATTACCTGCGTATTTGTTCGTATACTTTCCCAAACATAGCTATAGAGTCATTACTCGACTTCTCTTCCACAGAAATACTTGGGGCCCTCGAATTGGCATGCGTCAGATGATTCAATCTAGATATAGCTTTGGGTATGTGTGCTTGTTTTTTTATATTTGTTACTGCCTGACTTTCTTTCAAGCTACTTTGGCGTCATTATACCCGCTATCCTCAATTTGATCGGCATGAGTGGCTTCAATATCCTCAATGGTATTCTCGGTGGACAGGCACTAGCTAGCGTGTCTGGTAATATGAGCTGGGAGTGCGTATGGCGTCCCACGAGCTCGGTTATCTTACCTAACCCGTATCAGTGTCGGCATTGTCATTATCTTCGTCATCGCGCTCCTCGTGCGTTCTCTTAAGTGACTTCTGAAATTCTTTGTCTTCACAACGTTCACAATTTCAGATCTCCTTCATGGGCTACAGAGTACTTAACTGGTAAGCGGCAACCTCTGTTCATCAAAATTACAGTTTTACGGTTTCCAGGTACGAACGTGTTTCATGGTTCCCAGTTCTTATCGCATTCTTGGTTGTACTCGGCGTGGGTGGCAAGAACTTGTACAACGCTCAACCAGCGGAACCTGCATCCGCTGCTGCCATTCTCAACTTCGCATCCGTTATAGCTGGTTTCGTTATCACCTACTCGCCATTGGCATCCGATTTCACGATGTACTACTCGCCCACCGTTCCCCAGTAAGTTTCATTTAATCCCCTATGGGGTTACACTTAGGCATATTTTTCCAGGTCCAGGATCTTTTGGTATGCATATATAGGGTACCTCGTACCTATCGTGCGTCAACTTCTTCATCCGGCATCCCCTGAGCGTTTTTTGATATATTCCCAGGTCCTTCTTCAGTGCCTTGGAGCCGCAGCAGTCCTTGCTGCACCAAACGTTCCTAGCTGGAATGAGGGTTACGGAACAGAAGGCAATATCGGCGGCCTTTTAGATGCGATGCTCGGTCCGGTCGGTAACTTTGGGAAGTTCCTCACCGTTCTTCTCAGCCTGAGCGTCGCCAGCAACATTGCTGGCGCACTTTATTCTATTTGTTTCAATTTCCAAGTTATGATCCCGGCCATGTCAAGAGTTCCAAGATATGTTTTCTCGATCGTCGGCACGGTAATGTCCGTCTTCCCGTCTGTACTTCCTGCCACCAGCTAATTTCAAAAATTCCCCCTGGACGCTGACAGCGCATTGCCTTTATCGATCGTGGGCGCCCACAGATTTTATGCGGCGCTGACTGATTTCCTTTCGCTAATTGGTTATTGGGCAAGTGCGTACGGCGCCATCCTCCTTGTCGAACACCACTACTTCCGCAAAGGTGACTTCAGCACCTACGACCACGCCATATGGAACGTTCCGGGCCGTCTTCCCTGGGGAGCAGCTGCACTCACAGCTGGAATACTGTCTTTTGCCCTGATTATACCCTGCATGAATCAGGTGTGGTACCAGGGCCCCATCGGCATCACCTCAGGTGATATCGGTTTCGAGATTGCATTCCCTCTTGCAGCCTTACTTTACATCCCCCTTCGAAAGCTAGAGCTCAAATACCAGAATACCAAATAGTAAGTACCGTTCGGTCGAGATAGTTGTAAGTTAGATGTGCGATGTGCTACGGAACGTGTACTGTCTTACTGTGCCTATTTCTAATTTTACTTACCTTCGATCAGAACAGCAATCTAGGGTCGCTCCTATCTTTTTCGCATAAAGTATGCTCACGAAGCAATTGCAAATCGATCCTTCGGAGCCGAGATATCATCCCCGGTGAGAATCAGACAGTGCGAGAGACTCGCCGTTCGCGTCGTGCACTGCCAACTAAAACCGCCTCGCACGATCTCGACAAGAACATGCGGGCGAATGCACGATGCAAAGATAGTCAGTATCGTGTATCGTCGTGCGAGGATAGTTCGAGTTTTGACACAATGCAGCACTGTATTGCATTTGTTGCAGACGATTCATATCATACAGGGAACGGTAGTTTACATGCAATACCGCGAAAGCAGTCCAACGCTCGTGCCTCGGGTCCGGTATTTATGTGTACGTCATATGCGCTATATCAGTCAGCCCTACAGCTGAGCGCTGATCACCGATCATTGATCATCAAGATGGCTGAGCCTGAGTTGCATAGTCGGGACTTCGGATGAAAGAAGTAAATGTGAAATAGTTATGCACCTGTATTAAAATTTAATGTCCATCAGCGTGTAAGGGAGATGCACAACAAAGAAACAGCACGAGGTGAGCTCGCAGTGGTGGAGGTCGAGGCTACGCGCTTGCTGCACAGCCTGTACTTGGTGCGGTAGGACTAGGAGGAGGAGCAGGAGGTGTTGTGGAATCTGGATGACGAGCGGGCAGCAAGCTGAGTGTGCGATGATAACGCCTGGGCCTGGACTTCGCCTTGCTGCTGCTGTGCTGATTATGCATTGGCATTGGCGTGTCGAGGAGATGCGCAGCAGAGAAAAAGCACGAGACGACCCAGCATTCGGACGGGTAGTGAAAGCGCATATCTTGCATGTGATGAAGTAGGATGAGAACTACCTGGAGTTTTCTGGCGGCGATGCCGGGCGGAGCAGTAAATATAACCTGGACGGAGATTATTAAATCGTGACGACCTACTGCTATGGGCCCGCCCGCTAGGCTGCACCGTGACCAGCCCCGGCTTATATTACCACGGACAAGTCGAATGGCAGTACATAAAGACTCTCAAACGTAGTAAAGACTGGTTAGTACGAGTCTACCCGCCCGTCACCGGAACCGATGGAAATTGTGTGGCTGAACAACTTGAAGAGTCTGCTTCACAGGTATTTCCATCAAATATTCTGATTTTCTTCTCTAATTCTGGCGGTACCACAGGTTCAGGCTGCTTCTTCTGGCAAGGCAGGAAGACCTGATCCCCACTTAGTTGACGTCGAACTTCAGGGTGCCTGTGATGGTACACAAAACATGCGATCACTCGGGAAACATGCGACTTCTACGGCATCCGCCGTCGAGAATGCCCCAGTGGATCTTACTGCCGCAGATGGTTTTGAGACGACGTATCTCCAACCCCTCAAGATTATCGATGCTGTCCTTGAGAAGATCTCAGACGTATGGGCTATTCTTGTTGATGGGAAACGAACTAATCGAGTTGTATAGGTACATCCGTACGCGAAAATGGCGCTGGGGGTGCTATCTGCTGCATCTAAAGTATGTTGGGTTTCTCCCAGAGTTCAGTTTCCTCCTCAGAAGTTCTAATTTCATGAAGATTATAATTGCGCAGGCACAGCGCGACCAATCGATTATTAGTCTTGAAAAAATTGAATCGATGCGCGGTATCGTGGAAAAGATCGTTCATCAGACTCTTGAGTGCGCCCGTTTCATCAGGGACTATTCGGAGACGAAGAGCTTTTGTGAGTCACCAAGCTATCGTACCTTGTACATGAATCTTATACTATATTATAGGGAAGAGACTCGGGAAAAACGTCATCTCGGAAACTGATGACACGATCAAACAGTACAGCGACACTTTGGACGTTCTTATGCAACAATTCCAAAACCAAGTTCATCGGGACGTGGCCGTCTTCGTCCAACGTACGGGTAAGGATTCTGACACGCTTCTGTCTTTACATTCACTCATACCGTTCCAGGCGATACCTTGGATCTCGAGGATATCGCTTATGCCAAGGGCGCAGGACTAGATACCATGAAACAGTGCCTACCAGGGACGCGCACTGAGATTCTTTCCCAGATTACGGAATGGATCAACGGCAGCGGAGATGCTGCCAAACGGGTGCTGTGGCTATCTGGCCCTGCGGGCAAGGGCAAATCAGCCATCGCCCACACGATCGCCAACTGGTTCAAGGAATCTGGAGGCCTTGGTTCATGCTTTTGTTTCGATCGGCACAGAGAAGCAGATCGTCGCCATGAAAAGATTTTCTCCACCATCGCGCGCGATCTCGCCGACCGCGATTCAGGGATGAAGCGAGCGTTAGCGGATGCGGTCAAGGATGCAAACTCGCTCAAGAACACGACAGACATCATCCAGCAGTGGCGCGACCTTCTCATGAAACCGCTAAAGAAGTTCTCTGCATCAAGCGTAGGGCTTGTGTTGATCGTGATCGAAGCACTAGATGAGAGCGGTGGAGAGGAGACGCGGCGCAACCTGCTCCGGATACTCGCCGGTAGACTTCAGGACAAAGGATTTCCCCAAATCACAGAACTTCCATCCAACTTTCGGATACTCGTCACCTCTCGCCCACTTCATGATATCGAATATGCATTTCACGGCGCTGAGCATATTCTACGGTTGTCCATGGACGAGATTCCAGCAGCAACGGCAGAACGCGACATCCACACGTTCGTATCTGAGGAGCTGAAGGGGCTACCAGATTTTGGCGACAAAGAGTTTACAAATCTCGCTGCGAGAGCCGATGGACTTTTCGAGTGGGCGCGTCTTGCTTGCGAATACATCAAACATACCCCTCCGGTCGTACGCCAAATGCCTCGCTTCAATGCTCTCGTGAACCGCAGGGCCGGAAAGCAGAAGAACCTGTTGTACGATATGTATCTAGTGATTTTGAAAGAAATTATGAAAAGGGATGAATATGACGACGACGAGTACGAAGAAGCACTGACAGGGTTTCGTTCTGTGATGGAACAGATACTCGGCACAGCCGAACCACTTCCTCTTAATTCCCTCAATATCATGCGGAGCTACTTTCCAGACGAAAACAAGCACGACAACATGGACATTATTAAACGCATGGGATCCCTCCTCAGCGGCACCACCAACTCATGCACTCCGATCCGACCTCTTCACGCATCTTTCCACGACTTCCTGACAGACAAGTCAAGCAGCGGAGACTTTTTCGTGGAGGTGTCGAACGTACAACGGGACCTTGCATTCGCATCGCTACGAGTCATGGAACATGGCCTTCGCTTCAATATCTGCGATTTGAAGTCGTCGCACCTCCCCAATTCCCAAGACGCAGGGCTTCCTCAACAAGTTAAAACATCCATCCCCCCACATCTCTCCTATTCCTGTCGATATTGGGCCGAGCATGTTCGAACAACGGACTTTGATGATAAACTCGCAAAGGAAATACGATCATTCTTCGACGACGAGCGACTGATGTTCTGGATTGAAGCCCTCGGACTTCTCAATGCAATTAGCAGGGCAATTACTGTGCTTCCATTCATCTCCAAGTGGCTGAAAGTGAGCACACGCTTACGAGGTAGTGTCGGACGAATAACTCATAAATAAATACAGGGCCATTCTGGATACGAAGATTTGCGGTCCAACACGATGGATGTCCAAAGATTCATTCAGGTGTTTGGCGGTATGATTTTGCACAGCACGCCACATCTGTATTTATCAGCGCTCCCATTCTCACCCGTCAACTCCACCATAGCTACCAAATTTACGGGAAGGTTTCCGAATAACTTTCGTCTGGCATCTGGCCGTGATTTTAACTGGGCGGTCGTCCAGATTGTAATTAATGGGCACACTTCCCCGGTTTCGTCAGTCTCGTTCTCACCGGATGGTACTCACATCGCATCTGGTTCGGTGGATAACACTGTGCGGGTGTGGAATGCAACAACCGGACAGCCATTGGGTGAGGTCTTGGAGGGGCACACTGCCCCGGTTTCGTCAGTCTCGTTCTCACCGGATGGTACACGCATCGCGTCTGGTTCGGAGGATAGGACTGTGTGGGTGTGGGATGCAGCGACGGGACAGCCATTGGGTGAGCCCTTGGAGGGGCACACTGAAATAGTTTTGTCAGTCTCGTTCTCACCGGATGGTACTCGCATCGCATCTGGTTCAGAGGATGGGACTGTGCGGGTGTGGGATGTAGCGACGGGACAACCATTGGGTGAGCCCTTGGAGGGGCACACTGGAGGGGTTTACTCAGTCTCGTTCTCACCGGATGGTACTCGCATTGCGTCTGGTTCGGAGGATAAGACTGTGCGGGTGTGGGATGTAGCGAGTGGACAATCATTGGGTGAGCCCTTGGAGGGGCACGCTGGAGGGGTTTGGTCAGTCTCGTTCTCACCGGATGGTACTCGCATCGCGTCTGGTTCATCGGATAACACTGTGCGGGTGTGGGATGCAGCAACGGGACAGCCATTGGGTGAGCCCTTAGAGGGGCACACTGGATGGGTTTGGTCAGTCTCGTTCTCACCGGATGGTACTCGCATCGCGTCTGGTTCATGGGATAACACTGTGCGGGTGTGGGATGCAGCGACCGGACAGGCATTGGGTGAGCCCTTTCAGGGGCACACTGGAGGGGTTTCGTCAGTCTCGTTCTCACCGGATGGTAGTCGCATCGCGTCTGGTTCATCGGATAATATTGTGCGGGTGTGGGATAGAGTGAACGTGCAACCATCCCCATCCCCCCAGTCCATAAACTCAGATCCCTCCGCATTTTCGCTGCATCGAAGCACCTTATATCCCACCCAAGAAAGCCGCATCATACCAACCAACGTTTGTAACGCTCGTCTCATTTCCTTCTCTTCTAACCTGGAACATGCTCTGCCCAACCCCGTTGACTTGCTCGAACCCACCTCACATCACGATTCTAATTCAGCCCCTTTCTTGCTGCGGCCTGATGGATGGGTGATGGGACCCAATTATCAACTCCTCTTCTGGGTGCCTCCAGCTTCCCGAAATCGATTTTATTTTCCTGGCACTGTAATGGTAATCCCGAGAGCAGGCGTCGAGCTTGATTTGAGCCATATGGCACATGGGACGCGCTGGTCGAGTTGCCGAGATGCGTGAGTTTTTAGCATTTGCCATTCGTACTTGTAGTTGCTAACATCAATTCTGTTAGCTCCACGTAACGACGATTTTATGGTCGCAATATTCAGTTTACCACTTAATTCTTTGATTCCTTATCAGTGTTATACCTAGCATCGAGCTTGAATTTACAGTTGTCTGGCTGTCAGAAGCTATCAATATTTCAGTTTTTGACTACACCAGATCTAGATATCTAAAAGCAATCGGGTCCCAAATTTCTCATTGATATCCTTCGCATCCCGTTTCTTTCTCTCAATCTACTTATTCAAATGCCTCGAATACAAATACATACTACCAAACATGCCTACAACACTCCAAGTACAGGCATTATCAGAACGAGAAAGGCCGAGGCGAGACGCGGAACGACAACCACAACGGACTATCAAAACAGACGACGTTAGCGAGACCGGTAGATACAACATTGGAGCTATACCTATCAAAACAGACGAGCGCAAGACTAAAGAAGAGAAAAAGGAGAAACGCGCGTGTGTACTAACTAGTAGGGAATACCAAAAAGGAAACTAAAAACGTTGTTCATGACAGGCATGCAGACGTGCTTCAGTTCGACGACCATACATATGTATGCGAAAAGCGTAGTTGTGAATAGTCAGCGAGAGCATGAGATCGATGACAATGTCACTGACGATCCAACAACATTGCCTGTCTGGCCCAGTGCGTTCATCGGGTAATAGCAACGACGCGCTTCGCAGGTTCTCTGAAGAAAGTGCTGCTGATCCAAGCTAGGAGCACCAAGTATCCAGCGATAGCTTGAGCCATCAGGAACCTGTACGTTTCTGAGTACAACAGTGACGACTCACGACCGGCGATGCCACTCACAGTGAAACCGTTAGCGGGGAGCCTTAAGATCGACATGATGAATGCAAGGGTGCCGAGTGCAACGAAGCATTTGTAACGCCTCTGCTTCGTGTCAGAGTACCTGATCTGCGCGAGATGCGATTTTCTGATAGAAATGATTCACTGACCATGTAAGAGCAAATACAATCGTACCCGCGAATACCCATGGAGGAACGCAAAGAAACAGCGTTACAGTCGTGCCATATCCCAGTGTCACGCACGGTGTTGGGAAATAAGTGAAGAAAGACTACTCTACTGCCTGGAACATTGCCGCGACCAAAAACCACCACATCTCGTAGTCCTTTCATGGTCGTCTGCTTCCCAAGCTTGTCAGCCTTACCATAGCCATCTTCTGCAAGGCGAGAGATAATAATTGCTCTTTCCTCTGGGGTGAACCACTTGGTCACGGTGTTTTGCCGGAAACCAGGAAGTATGAACATCACGCAAACCGCGACCAAGATGGTGATACCGCCTTTAATGTAAAACAACCATCTACAAATCATTCAGTTATAGAAACGATCGTCACCTGCCTCCATGCAGCTTGACCAAATTTGTCCTGCATATCGCGGAGTATAGCAGATGCAAACAGGAATCGAATGCAAAGCTGAGAAAACTTCCACAAGAAACGAGAGCTAGTCTCGAGGCGACCTCAGAGTCTGGCTTGTACCGTTTAGATACAAGCTTGAAACACAATTCCGGGGAAGAAGGGAGCTTCGGCAAAGCCAAGACAGAAGCCGACGACAATCCCAGTATCACTTGGGTCAAGCTATCAGAGACCGGATCTCAACGATGTAACACAAGTATACTTCATCGTCAATGTTGACCGTATCACTGATGATCACAAGAGCAAATCAGGATGCTCCACCAGGATCAATTTCTAGTGTACCTAGCAACGCACCGGATCAGCGACTCTGCTGATTGGTTTGGCCAAATAGTTGATCAGAGTGGATAATACAGCGTGAATGATAGAGCTTAGCAGCGAGAACGCAGCCATCATCCGGCAGAAGCCCCGGGCCAGGGCCAGCGGATATAGTACACATCGGAATGTCACCTATAGAAGTATAAAAATAAAGACACCCTGAAAGTACACGGTAGCCTGCAAGCTTCAAATTTTCTGCCATTCGTAGGTGCAGTGACTACTGGATAGCGAGGCCAATGATATTGACGTAGAACACAGCTGGACCAAGTATCGTTAAAGCAGATCTCTTGAGTGGTACCGTGACGCCGCCACCGCTACCGAATTCGAAAGCTAAGATTTTCGTGTTTTGCTAGTTCGATCTCGTCGCTACCCTGGTATCTCCTCAGAGGCGAAACTGTTTTTCTGCAAATGTATTCACAGTCACGTCGGATGAATTGGAAGAGGAGCATATTGGGACTAACGTAAGTTGGAGAAAGGTCTTTTAGAAACGCGTCGATCACGTGATCGTGTTGCTGTTGATGAAAATTACGCGACGCGTTTGACAAGCGTGGACAAATATTGTTCCGGTCTAAATCTTGATTGATCAAAGCGACGACTTCTTCCAGCCCCTCAAACTTGCCCAATCACTCTGATTCCGCGGATAATTATGGTCTCTAAACGACCGTTAGACGTGTATGAAAGCCCTTCAGCATCACCCCGTGGTCCAAAACGTCGACAACTATCGCATTCGTTACCGCCGTCGTCGCCGTTCACCTCAGCTTCTTCATTGTATACAACACCCAGAACGCCCTCTAGTCTCATAAACTGGAAAGTGCCCTCCGACTCTCCAACCAACCCATTTGGTCGTGCTCGGCGGCTAACAACAAGCACCACACTACCCCGCCCTTCTTCGTATGCGAAGCATTTGCCGCTCCGCTTCCAACTTATCCGCCCGGACGGTGACGGCAGAAGCCACACAAATAAAGATGGGGTCTACAGAGTTGTTCAAGTCCCTCTGACCTACACACTCGGTCACCTGCGGAAGCTTATCAAGTTTGTCTTCCAGCCAGCGAAGGAAAGCGAGATGGGCGGATCATACCGTTTTCGACGTGCCGCACGGCATGCCAGCATCCCACTACATGCAAGGTGCCCAGTGCCCTCTTCGTCCAAGGGTAAACAACCAGCTCTGTGCTTCGATTTGGAGCCAGGACATTTGTTTGAGGTGCAAAAAGATATAGAGATTTCGCGTTCTGGGGAGATAACAAGCGGAATGACCACAGTCAAAGCATCTACCACAAGAGACCCGTACCACTATCCTGGAAATGGCTCAGAGGGCAGCTTGCTTGACGCTGAAGATGGCGAAGATGACATTTGGCGGTGGGAAGCGGAGGAGGACTTCCAGCTTTCGCAGCTCTGGGCTCCGGGCGGGGACATTGAGAAAGGTATTATATATGTACGTCTTTTGTCTTTCTATGCTCTTGGACAGATCTTATGTTCACGAATAGCATCACGACTCTACGACCCAAATTCACATAACATTAAACACGAAGAAGATCCCAGGTCGCAAGGGCGTTGGCAATAAGCCTTTCCTCTTCATGGCGTGGGGTTCTATAGACCTATTTGCACCACCTTCGGCAACGTCTTCCATTATCCTTACTGGTATCGAAGTAACCCGGTGGAATGGCATATTAGCGTTTGAAAGGTTCTTGAAGGCTGAGGAAGAGCAGGAGCGCCTAGAACGTGGTGTAGGGGAAGAGGTTCTGGATATTGATGCAGAAGGGGAAGTTGACCCTGATGTCGTATGTTCCTTTCTGTGCCTTGACATGCAAATATACTTACAAATTTCGCAGTCATCGTTGACTCTTCCCATGTGCTCCTCCATCGGTTTTTCGTCGCCCTCATCACTGTCTTCATCAATATTTTCCCTCACCTATTCATCCTCTGCCTCTTCAGCTATTACTCCATTCCCCGCCTCGCCATCAAGGAAGCGTCGTGTTGATTACGCAAACAAACGAATGCTCGAGTTGGCGAAGAAGGTGAAGAAAACTCCAAATGACTGGGACGGCGCGGACGACAAGAAGGAAGAAGAGGGCGATGAATTTGAGGACGACGACGACGACGACGACGACGATCCTGCAGCGGAAGAAAAACCAAGTGACTGGGATCCTTTTGGGCCCGACGAAGCTGAAATATGAAGTATTGCTCGCGTCGGTTGATTCGGTTATTCGTTATAGGTACATGGCATAGGGACGTTATATATAATCTGGCATATCTTCTACTCGTACTAGTAACATCATAACGATTCTGGCATGTGTCGATATGTACAATGGCATTCTGAACAAGTTCTGGACCTGGGATACGGGGAACCTACCCTTTCAGCATTACTCTGGAATGTCTCATGCTCTCCCTAACCAATTCAGTCAACAGTCCCAAAATTGAGACTCGTGCAGAGGTGGCAAAATATTGATATATGATGAAGGATATAACTGACTGAGACAAGACGATTCCGTGTTATTTAGGCATACACCCAACTACCTGTCTCAGTTCTCCCGAGACTGGTCCTTGTACTGTTTTGCCCACTACAAAATGGTGAGAAAAACCAGGAGCACACGAGGTGGGAGGACTTACCATCATGGACGGTATCGGTCGGTCGGGTTGAACGTGTCTTATCTGCTCAAGCAACACGGAATAAGCACGACTGCAAGAAACGAGAGATCAAGTTCCGCACCTCACGGTCTGCGCTGACAGTCCAGACTCCGTATGCAATGGCAAACATACCAGCAAAAGTTATGACAGTGTTACTCCGCCAATTCGCAGGACGGGCCCACCAACCACCTGGGGCATCATCAGGTCGAGTAGCTCGGAACTAACCGCTTGGACATACCAGCGGGGGACCACACATGCTTTGGGTATGGATATCTAGCACCACCTCCCTAAATGCATCTCAGTGTAAGGTAACATGCACGTTGGGATCACCTCACCATGTTTTTTGAGTTCTGCGGAAGTTATAAGCGTATCAAGGTGTCGAACTGGGAGCAAGAGTTCAGATTATGTAAGAGTCGGGTCCGGCGCCGATGTCCAAAGCAGGCCAGCCCGGAGTTCCTCCTGCCAGCTCCTGCCACCAGATCAGTCATCTCGTCTTTCTATTACGAAAAATACAATGATGCTCATTATCCTGCTGAGTCAAGCTGGACTTCGACTGTCATCTCGAGTCATGATTACCCTGAATAATCGTTAAGGTGCGTCTCGCCACAATCCACGGACTACGGTGTTCAAGGTCAGTCCTGCGCTCGTCGTCTGAATTCTCTGGTCTATAACTCACGACCTCATTTGCACAGATAAGGTGTCAAATTTATCCGAAAGGAAAAGAATATGCTACTAAAGGGAAGTCCGCTAAGGGGATGATTTCATTTACAACAATGAACCACTCACAGCATCTGTCGTCGGATCACAAGTAAATCCACTCATCGTGCAGCATTTGACACGCAAAGCCCTGATGGGCACATACATCTACTCTAAGCAGTTTCTATGTCTGTCAATGTCTTGACAGGCATTTTTCATGACATGGCGGCACACGATGCACAAGTCCAGGGTTGGGGAATATACACAGCCCATCATATGTGCGATTCACTGAACGTTCTACCCTATCATTCGGCCGTCCATCGTCCGCCTGTCGACAGTTGTTAGGCAGCCTATATAGGATTCCATCAAAATAAAGCGTACATTATCTGCCCCCACACTACGTTTATCGACAGTCATCTTCTACGCACGGCCAGAAGTCTTCATATGATCAACAATACTGCTGGCGTAAGTTACCTCCTCCCTGTACAGATCTCTTACTCAATTTAGACTGGAATTAGTATATCCTATGTGAGTTCGCTGATTTACGCCTTGCAACTATTTGAACTAACATATAGTTTAGTGTTGGCACTCACGATCGTGGTCGGTTGACTTTTTCTGTCGTATGTTTGTGATTCCAAAGAATGACTATTTAGCTATATGATGTTGTGACCCATCTAGATGAGGAGGTAGGAGAAACACTTTCCCCCGAACTCCTCAAATCTCAATCTGACAGATCGACTATATCGTGAGGTCAAGGTTCACTTCCGTCAAGACTATATTTATCTTGTGTCGCTACCTTCCTTTCATTATCGGGGCTCTACGAATGTGTAAGACCTTGAGATCTTCGTATGTAACAAAAGGAAAGACAGCTTATCATACCTCACTCTAGATGAAGTCGTCGGGGAAGATTATATCGACGCCAATGTATTGAATCGCAACCCAATTCTCTCCTTCGCTAATCGTTATTTAGTTGTGCTTGGTGTTATGTCGCTCAAGCACCTGTACGTCAAATCTGTGACTGGTGGAAGCCATCTCTCACATGCAGCATAGGGATCTCTTTTCTGCAGATGGCTTGTGTCGAATGTCCGCTGCTTCATGCTTGTTTATCGATGGGCCACTAAACTCAAGTTTAGTTATTTTCATTTTGCGAACCTATGCTCTGTGGGGCTGCAGTAAACGAGTCCTTTTCTATCTTCTAGCTGCGTATCTGGTGAAATCTCAAGCTATTCAGCCTTACCACTGTTGACGGCGCAGCCAGACTACGTGTGTCATAGGTATCAGCTCCCTCCAAATATACACTGGGGCTCTTCCTGCCGGCAGGTCAAAACTCTCATTTTATCATTTGCTCGCTCACTGTTATACAGATGCATGTTATGGACCAGCTAACCCAGGCGCATCATGGCTCCTTACGAGCTTTGCGGCGTTGATTAGTCTGGAAATAGGTCCGTAGCATTTCCCCGAGCACTACGTTGAGCTACCAGCTTATCCTGCTGTCATGAAATCAAAGGATTGTTCGGGATGAGCATGTATCGGGTTCTAAGCCAATACCGCGCCGCTTCAGGACAGCTACTCAAATCGTTAGTGCGGAACAATATCGTGTATTTCGGAGCCAGCGTGGGTACGTGGTATACTCCTTTCCTGATGAAACGAATAACATTTAAAAAGCTCTGAACATCCTTAATATTGTTGGGATCTTGCTTATTCCGATTGCGACATGGCCTACTGGTATCATGGAAATGTGAGGATGATCATCATTGGATCGAGCTTTCACTGATGACTACACAGCGCACAGATTCTCTTCCAGGGGTTGCTTGCAACACGCATGCAACTTGATCTTTGGAAAGCTGACAGCCGTGAAGTGGAATCGACTATGGTCACGATGTCAATGACAGAATTTGCAGTGGCGAGATCTGAATCCACCGTCTATCAAAATTCCCATCTGGCAACACCCAACTGCTAAAGTAACCAGACTCTCATTAGCTGACTTCACGCACGATTGCCATACGGTATTACCACAGGCCTACATGTTACGTTTTCCCACCCTTAACAATACCTACTTTGTGTGATCCAACAGCGATTAACATAATCAACAACTTACCCCGGGCCACTGTTGTCCCTTGTCATGCTTGTGATGAATTTGAGAGGGATTACTGAGCAAGCTTCATTTACGTATGTCCATGATACTGATGTTATATACCTTGAACCTAGTGGGTCTGGTCTTTGCGAACTCTTCTGACAATGGCTGTGCATCCGAGATTGACAGAACCAATATTAGGTGTGTCACATACCGTTGTACCGTATGAATCTCATGACGTCTACAACACGACAACGTTCGGTTACAAGGTTTTGAGAAAGACCTGCATCTGCATGGGGAACAATACGCCACAATTTTGTCCGTCCTGTTTCTTGATACATTACATATTATGCAAGTGCTATGGTAAGTTTCATCCTTCATCGAGAGACAGCTGAACGTAATTTTTCTTCAGGAACATGCTCCTGCATTGGCTGGAGAGGCCTTGTGTCATCATTCCGTGTTGTATGTTTACAATATCAGTATTGTCAGGTTTGTCGACACTGACTGTCTGTTAATCGTGCTCAAGGATCACAGGGAAGTACACTTCCTTGTCTTGCATCGTTCAGATCCGGTCTCTGATAATTTGACCCGAATTATACCGGAATTATTGTCGCCCGCTTCTTTCTTGGCTTTGCCGAAGCTCCCTTCTTCCCCGGAATTGTATTTCTTGTATCTAAACGGTACAAGCGAGACGAGGTCGCCTTGAGACTAGCTCTTGTTTGTTGTGGAAGTTTCTTCAGCTCTGCATTCTGATCCCTGTTTGCACCTGCTGTACTCCGCAGCATGCAGGACAAATTAGGTCAAGCTGCATGGAGGTGGGTGACGATCGTTTCTATAACTGAGTGCAAACTGAATGATTTGTAGATGGTTATTTTACATTGAAGGCGGTATCACAATCTTGGTCGCGGTTTGCGCGATGTCATATTTTCTGATTTCCCGCACAACACCAGGTGGTTCACCCCAGAGGAAAGAGCATTTGTTCTCTCTCCCCTTGTTGAAGATGGCTATGGTAAGGCTGATGAGCTTGGGAAACAGCCGATCGTGAAAGAACTACGAGATGCTGTTTCTGACTGGAAGATGTGGTGGTTTTCGGCCACGGCCATGTTCCAGGCAATAGAGTAGTCTTTCTTCACTTAAGTTACTTCCCAACGCCATTGACACTGGGATATGACACGACTGTAACGCTGTTGTTTTACGTTCCTCAATGGATAATCGCGGATATGATCACATTTGCTCTTTCATGGTCAGTGAATCGTTGCTATGAGAAAACCCATCTCGCGGAGACACGGAGATCGGTATTCTGACAAGAAGCAGAGGCGTTACAAATGCTTTATGATCTCCAATGCACTCGGCGCCCTTGCATTCATCATACGGGATGCGAAGAATATCAATGAGCTTCAGGACCCCACTGGTCCTGGATATCTGGTGTAGTTGAAAACTGAAATATCGATAGCTTCTGACTGTACCACTTGTACCGCTTTACCCGACAATCGTAAATTCAGGCTCATTGGATGCTAGGTATAACATTGACAAAGAATCAAAGAATCAAGTGGTACACTGAATATTGCAACCATAAAATCATTGTTATGTGGAGCTAACAGGATCAATGTTAGCAACCACGAGGACGGATGGCAAACGCCAAGAACTCACGCATCTCGGCAACTGGACCAGCGCGTCCCATGTGCCATACGGCTCAAATCAAGCTCGACGCCTCCTCTCGGGATCACCATGGCAGTGCCAGGAGAATAAAATGGATGTCGGGAGGCCGGAGGTACCCAGAAAATGAGCTGATGATTGGGTCCCATCATCCATCCATCAGGCCGCAGCAAGAAAGGGGCCGAATTAGAATAATGATGTGAGGTGGGTTCGAGCAAGTTCGCAGGGTTGGGCAGAGCATGGTCCAGGCTAGAAGAAAAGGAAATGAGGCGAGCGTTGCAAGTGTTGGTTGGTATGATGCTGCTTTCTTGGGTGGGAGATGAGGTGCTTCGATGCGGCGAAAATGCGGAGGGATTGGAGTTTCTGAACTGGGGGAATGGTTGCACATGTACTGCATCCCACACCCGCACAGTGTTATCCTCTGAACCAGACGCGATGCGAGTGCCATCCGGTGAGAACGAGACTGACAAAACCCCTCTGGTGTGCCCCTCCAAGGCCTCGCCCAATGGCTGTCCCGTCGCTGCATCCCACACCCGCACAGTCTTATCCAACGAACCAGACGCGATGCGAGTACCATCCGGTGAGAATGAGACTGACAAAACTGCTCCTGTGTGCCCCTCCAAGGCCTCGCCCAATGGCTGTCCCGTCGCTACATCCCACACCCGCACAGTCTTATCCAACGAACCAGACGCGATGCGAGTACCATCCGGTGAGAACGAGACTGACAAAATTGCTCTTGTGTGCCCCTCCAAGGCCTCACCCAATGACTGTCCCGTCACTGCATCCCACATCCGCACAGTCTTATCCCATGAACCAGACGCGATGCGAGTACAATCCGGTGAGAACGAGACTGACCAAACCGGGGCAGTGTGCCCCTCCAAGGCCTCACCCAATGGCCGTCCCGTCGCTGCATCCCATACCCGCACAGTGTTATCCTCCGAACCAGACGCGATGCGAGTACCATCCGGTGAGAATAAGACTGACAAAACCCTTCTAGTATGCCCCTCCAAGGACTCACCCAATGGCTGTCCGGTCGCTGCATCCCACACCCGCACAGTGTTATCTTCCGAACCAGACACAATGCGAGTACTATCCGGTGAGAACGAGACCGACCAAACCCCTCCAGTATGCCCCTCCAAGGGCTCACCTAATGGCTGTCCCGTTGCTGCATCCCACACCCGCACAGTCCTATCCTCCGAACCAGACGCGATGCGAGTACCATCCGGTGACAACGAGACTGACAAAACTGCTCCTGTGTGCCCCTCCAAGGCCTTACCCAATGGCTGTCCCGTCACTACATCCCACACCCGCATAGTCTTATCCTCCGAACCCGACGCGATGCAAGTACCATCCGGTGAGAACGAGACTGAGTGAACCCCTCCAGTATGCCCCTCCAAGGGCACACCCAATGGCTGTCCTGTCGCTGCATCCCATATCCGCATAGTCTTATCCCATGAACCAGACGCGATGCGAGTACCATCCGGTGAGAACGAGACTGAGTGAACCCCTCCAGTATGCCCTTCCAAGATCTTACCCAATGGCTGTCCCGTCGCTGCACTCCACACCCGCACACTCCTATCCGATGAACCAGACGCGATGCGAGTACCATCCGGTGAGAACGAGACTGACCGAACCTCTCCAGTGTGCCCCTCCAAGGCCTCACCCAATGGCTGTCCCGTTGCTGCATCCCATACACGCACAGTCCTATCCTCCGAACCAGACGCGATGCGAGTACCATCCGGTGAGAACGAGACCGACCAAACCACTCCAGTGTGCCCCTCCAAGGGCTCACCAAATGGCTCTCCCGTCGCTGCATCCCACACCCGCAAAGTCTTATCTGATGAACCAGAGGCGATGCGAGTACCATCCGGTGAGAACGAGACTGAGTGAACCCCTCTAGTGTGGCCCTTCAAGGCCTCACCCAATGGCTGTCCCGTCACTGCATCCCACATCCGCACAGTCTTATCCCATGAACCAGAGGCGATGCGAGTACCATCCGGTGAGAATGAGACTGAAAAAACTACCTCAGTGTGCCCCTCCAAGGCCTCACCCAGTGGCTGTCCTGTCGCTGCATCCCACACCCGCACAGTGCCATCCTCCGAACCAGACGCGATGCGACTACCATCCGGTGAGAACGAAATTGAGCTAACCGGGGCAGTGTGCCCATTCATTACAATCTGGACGACCGCCCAGTTCAAATCACGGCCAGATGCCAGACGAAGGTTATTCGGAAACCTTCCCGTAAATTTGGTAGCTATGGTGGAGTTGACGGGTGAGAATGGGAGCGCTGATAGATACAGATGCGGCGTGCTGTGCAGAATCATACCGCCAAACACCTGAATGAATCTTTGGACATCCATCGTGTTGGACCGCAAATCTTCGTATCCAGAACGGCCCTGTATTGATTTATGAGTTATGCTTCCGACACTAGCTTGTAGTCGTGTGCTCACTTTCAGCCACTTGGCGATGAATGGAAGCACAGTAATTGCCCTGCTAATTGCATTGAGAAGTCCGAGTGCTTCAATCCAGAACATCAGTCGCTCCTCGTCGAAGAGTGATTTCATTTCCTTTGCTAGCTGATCGTCAAAGTCCGTTGTTCGAACATGCTCGGCCCAGTATCGACAGGAATAGGAGAGATGTGGGGGGATGGATGATGTGACTCGTTGAGGCAGCCCTGCGTCTTGGGAATTAGGAAGGTATGACGACTTCAAATTGCAGATATTGAAGCGAAGGCCATGTTCCATCACTCGTAGCGATGCGAATGCAAGGTCGCGTTGTACGTTCGACACCTCCACGAAAAAGTCTCCGCTGGATGTCTTGTCTGTCAGGAAGTCGTGGAAAGATGCGTGAAGAGGTCGGATCGGAGTGCATGAGTTGGTGGTGCCGCTGAGGAGGGATCCCATGCGTTTAATAATGTCCATGTTGTCGTGCTTGTTTTCGTCTGGAAAGTAGCTCCGCATGATATTGAGGGAATTAAGAGGAAGTGGTTCGGCTGTGCCGAGTATCTGTTCCATCACGGAACGAAACCCTGTCAGTGCTTCTTCGTACTCGTCGTCGTCATATTCATCCCTTTTCATAATTTCTTTCAAAATCACTAGATACATATCGTACAACAGGTTCTTCTGCTTTCCGGCCCTGCGGTTTATGAGAGCATTGAAGCGGGGCATTTGGCGTACGCCCGGAGGAGTATGTTTGATGTATTCGCAAGCAAGACGCGCCCACTCGAAAAGTCCATCGGCTTTCGCAGCTAGATTTGTAAACTCTTTGTCGCCAAAATCTGGTAGCCCCTTCAGCTCCTCAGATACGAACTTGTGGATGTCGCGCTCTGCCGCTGCTGCTGGAATCTCGTCCATGGACAACCGTAGAATATGTTCAGCGCCATGAAATGCATCTTCGATATCATGAAGTGGGCGAGAGGTGACGAGAATCCGAAAGTTGGATGGAAGTTCTGTGATTTTGGGAAGTCCTTTGTCCTGTAGTCTACCGGCGAGTATCCGGAGCAGGTTGCGCCGCGTCTCCTCTCCACCGCTCTCATCTAGTGCTTCGATCACGATCAACACAAGCCCTACGCTTGACGCCGAGAACTTTTTCAGCGGTTTCATGAGGAGGTCGCGCCACTGCTGGATGATGTCTGTCGTGTTCTTGAGCGAGTTTGCATCCTTGACCGCATCCGCTAACGCTCGCTTCATCCCCGAATCGTGGTCGGCGAGATCGCGCGCGATGGTGGAGAAAATCTTTTCATGCCGACGATCTGCTTCTCTGTGCCGATCGAAACAAAAGCATGAACCAAGGCCTCCCGATTCCTTGAACCAGTTGGCGATCGTGTGTGCGATGGCTGATTTTCCCTTGCCCGCAGGACCAGATAGCCACAGTACCCGTTTGGCAGCATCTCCACTACCGTTGATCCAGTCCGTAATCTGGGAAAGAATCTCAGTGCGCGTCCCTGGTAGGCACTGTTTCATGGTATCTAGTCCTGCGCCCTTGGCATAAGCGATATCACTAAGGTCCAGGGTTTCGCCTAAAACGGTATGAGTCAATGTAAAGACAGAAGCATTACCAGAATCCTTACTCGTACGTTGGACGAAGACGGCCACGTCCCGATCGACTTGGTCCCGAAATTGTTGCATAAGGCCGTCCAAAGTGTTGCTGTACTGTTTGATCGTGTCATCAGTTTCCGAGATAATGTTTTTCCCGAGTCTCTTCCCTATAATATAGTATAAGATTCATGTACAAGGTACGATAGCTTGGTGACTCACAAAAGCTCTTCGTCTCCGAGTAGTCCCTGATGAAACGAGCACACTCAAGAGTCTGGTGAACAATCTTTCCGACGATACCGCGCATCGATTCAATTTTTTCAAGACTGTCATCTTGAGTCATGAAGCGGTAAACTTCAGCCAATTTCTTGAGAAGACTGAGAATCGATTTGTCGCGCTGTGCCTGAGCAATTATAATCTTCATGGGGTTAGAACTTCTGAGTAGGAAACTAGACTCTGGGAGAAACCAAACATACTTTAGATGCAGCAGATAGCACTCCGAGCGCCATCTTTGCGTATGGATGTACCTATACAACTTGATTAGGTCGCTTCCAATCAACAAGAATGATACATACATCTGCGATCTTCTCAAGGACAGTATCGATAATCTTGAGGGGTTGGAGATACGTCGTTTCAAAATCATCTGCGGCTGTAAGATCCGCTGGGGCATTCTCGACGGCGGATGTCATAGAAGTCGCATGTTTCCCGAGTAATCGCATGTTTTGTGTACCATCACAGGCACCCTGAAGTTCGGCGTCAACTAATTGGGTATCAGGTCCTCCTTGCTCGCCAGAAGTAGCCTGAATCTATGGGACCGCCGAAATTAGAGAAGTAAGTCAAACTAGCTACATAATCAAAATACCTGTGAAGCAGACTCTCCGGACAGGCCCTGGTTCACGATGGAATGCTTGTTGTCGTTGGAAGGATGGAGATGCGACATGTCCTGAGCGACTCTAAGAAAACCGAAGGACTAGGATAGCAAGTTCGAGCACTTACCTCGACTTGCTGACTCGATGAAGCCCCTTCAATTTCAACGCTGTGGACTGCAGTGGTGCGGTTGCGTTTTCCCTTGAAGCGTTTCTGTACAATCTTAGCCGTATTCAGGACAAACAGTATTCACGCCTACACACAGGAAGTTTTTTTGTTAACCCATTCTTCAATTTCCGCAGGAACTCGTTCTGGACGGATAATTCGTACTAAGGACGGTGATTAATTACAAGAGACCACGTACCGAGCTTTCACCAACATTTACCTGATTGGATCTGGAAGTTCCTGGGGGAGGATCAATATCTGGCCTATGATCTTCACTCATCGCGAGTGGTTGTAGATTTAGGTCTTTGTGAAAGAATCGGTGTGCCCTCCAAAACTAATTGTGTACACTAGTACCAGTGCTGGCACTGGCAGTTGCCTGCCCCGTCCCGAGGGCCGAAATCATAAATGCAGTGTGCCCAAAATAGATGTGTGTCCCACGTATGTTAGTACTATTTATCATCATCTTTTGTTCTTCAGGCATGACTTCAAAAACAAGCTGAATATGCGGTAAAAAATAGAGCTCGCTGTCATCAACAGCGAGCTTAGGTTGATCTGGTGCTGTCCGACGTCGATGTCCGAAGCACCAGCCAGTTCCTCGGCCAGCTCGGCCAGATCAGTCGTTCCATTACGAAAAATACAACGACGTTCTCATTATGCTGCTGAGTCAAGCTGGGCCTTCGACGACTGTCATCTCGAGTCATGATAATATCACCGTGACCCTGAATAATTGTGAAGGTGCGTCTCGTCACGGACCACGGTGTTCAAGGTCAGTCCTGCGCTCTTTTCTGAATTCTCTGGTCTACAACTCACGACCTCATTTGCATAGATAAAGTGTTAAGGGGAAGAATATGCTACTAAAGGGAAGTCCGCCTTGAAGGGGATGATTTCAATCAACTACTCGAAGCATCTGTCGTCGTAAATCCACTCATTGTGCAGCATTTGACACGCAAAGCCCTGATGGGAACATGCATCTACTCTAAGCATTTTCTATGACAGACATTTTTCATGAAATGGCGGCACGCGATGCACAAGTTCAGGGTTGGGGAATATACACAGCCCATCCTCTGCGATTCACTGAACGTTCTACTGCATCATTCAGCCGTTCATCGAACGCCTGTTGACAGTTCCTATATAGGACTCCATCACAATAAAGCGTGCCCCCGATATTCCAAGCAGCAACACTTGACTCTGAGCAACTCATAGTATTGTAGCGAGATCCGATTATAATAATATTCCAATTTCGTTCACATCTCATACGTACAAAAACGAACAACAAACAAGCTATACGAAAGACTACTATTTAGACGGGGTAAGTATGAAGCGGTGGTCGTGGGATGCACGATACGGTCGGAACAAGGCAAGTTACGAGGGAGTGCGATAGGAGAATAGGGAGAGCGCACAACGGAGATGAGAAAAGGGGCAGGGGGGAGATAAAGACCGTGATCCGACGAGCATCCCCACACAGCAAATATATAAACTGAAACAGACGTAGGGAGACGAACAATTCGTTGGATCATTTAAAGATGAAACAATTCAATTCGTTGGTTGTTGGAAACGTTCGGAAATAGCCGTTGAAGCAAAATTCGATAACAGCGGCAGGAAAATGATCATCAGATGATCAAGCCACAGAAGGCGCAGGACGAATGAGCGGAGGCGGAGCGGGGGTTGGATTAGATTATGAAGGACGAGGAAAGTATTTGGATATGATGCTGTTATTGCAAGTCGAGGCAAAAGGAAAGGGAAGCAAACCGTTGGCTGGGAGTAAAGCACGGCGGACGATGAAGGAACCAGGAGAGGACATGTAGGAGGGCGAGGACAGAAGCCAGACCTGCCTGCTTCTACTTCTTCGAAATCGTCAAGCTCCTCATACTCTCCTCCAAAATATCGCACACATTCGCCTTGTACGCCGCACACGCACTCGGTCCAGTCCCAGTCCCACTCGGCTGTGTCTTCTCCAGAGGTAACGACGGCATCCTTTCCACCGTACTCAAAGGCACCATCAAGGAAGAGGGAGAGGGTTTGTTGGGAACGGGCTCATCGAGATCAACGACTCGGACGACTGCCCGACCTTCGAGGACCTTGCGTACTTTTTCTGCATCCCACTCCTTTCTCATCACACTTCCACTTCCACTTATACCGGAACCTGCAGCAGACCCAGACCCAGAAAATGCATCCCAAAACGCGCTTCCAAGCTTCCCAAGTAAGGTCTGCGACGCAATAGCAGCAAGCGCAGCCTGTTCCCTCGTAGGTACCGGCGCCGATTTGAATACAGGGGACGGAGGCGGCGAAGGATATGCGTTCTTCCCAGGGAGTGCTTGTGGTTGCGATTTCGGTGATGCGAAATACGCAGGTTTGAGGCCTGATGCCAATCCATGCGGTGTATACCCCATCCCATTTGTGTTCCCGTTGGCATGGGCATGCTGCGCAGCCATCTTCCCCCATAATTGCATCCGATATGCATCGAGGGTCTTGAGTGTGAATGGATTCGTATCCGCAAAGGCATCGAATGCGCCTATGCCCATTCCCATGCCCATACCAAGGCCATTGAGTTGGCTGTTCGTCTTCTCGACGATTGAGCTTGGGCGGTGTAATGCAGGATTGATGTTCTCTTGAAGGACGGCTTTGACCCCGACGGGTGGGATGAGGGTGGTATGTACAGGTGTAACGCCCATACCACCAAATCCACCCCAAAACGGCCTTGCGCCCAGACGTGGAGACGTAGGGAGGTCCTTTTGGGTGTTTGGGGTGATGAGTGGAGTTGTTGATGGGACGGATACAGGTGTGCCGGGTGGGGAGAGGGGTGCGCCTGTTTGGAGTTCTGCTGGAGGTGGGAGGTCGGGAGCATGACGAGATTCGAGGAGGCAACGCTTGAGGGCCGATATTTCTTGACGGAGAGCACTGTTTTCTGAGCGGGAGCTGCCGAGTTCTGAGCGGATTGCGTCGATTAAGCGGTCCCGTTCTGCGATGTCACCTTCAAGAGTTGTGATGTATTCTGTTTTGAGGTGTAAGTAAGAAAGGGAAGGGATATAGAAGGGATACTGACCCTTTCGCCTTACTCGGAAGTTTCGTGCGCTGATCTTGTTTCGGAGTTGGCGTTTCTCTCTGCTGCTCATCTTCTTGTATTCTTCAGGACTTGGGCGCCAGTCTTCGGGTTCAAGGATCCTGAGGGGAGCAGGGTCCTTTGAGGACTTTGATTTTCCCGCGCCCGAGTTCAAGTCCTTCTCAGAAGGATATGACTTCTTTATGCCACCAGAAGTGACAGCACCGCGGCGAGAACGTTTAGGCGGAGCGAGCTCTGGCTCTAGCTCTAGCTCTAGTTCCTGGTCAGAGTTAGAGTCTTGATCTGAATGGTCGTTTGAAGTAGCAGGAGTTCCGACTAGTTGTGGATCTATTGCGAACATGGGAGTGTTTGCGTCGATGCTCTCAGGACTTGAGCCACTTGTACTGGCGGTAGCTTCAGGTGCACCAAAAAAGTCATATGAAGGGACTGAGAGTGATGATAGGGATGGACCCTTTGTTAACTCATCAGTGTCTAAGAATTGGGCGAAGAAATCGTCGTCTGCGCCATTTGTAGTTGAGAAAATGAAAGGGCTTCGTGGTGATGAAGATGAAGACGAAGCTGTAAAAGCTGAAGGAGCTGAGTTTAGTACGTCGAGGTTGAAAAAGTCGTCAACTGTTGAGAATGAGGGTGTTATCGAATCGGTCAACATATTGGTCGATGTGGTCGAGTGGTGTTATCTCCCTTCGTTGAGGAGGCGTGTTACTAGTACACCACGGAATTACCCGGTGCCGATTCGGCACAATACCGCGTAAGCTGACTAAATCCGAACTCGTCGCAATTCCACGTCTTTCCATCGATTAGCGCGCTGCTGTACCTTGCTGTACGCACAGCTCTATTCACAAGGACTGTGCGTTTCACTGATTTGATTCTCATCATCTAACCCGCCTCACTCGCGTACCTCGACTTATCGTAAGGATGACTAAGTGAAATGAATACTCTCAGTCTACTCAACCGTGTACCCCACAAAATGTCGATGCAGTCCCCCCATGGGGCCTTCCTCCCATATCCACGCTCTCGGTTATTCTACCGTCGCAGCATCACAAACGACGCAGAATTATCAGCTTCACTTGAAATCATGCATGCCAATCAGGATTACACGGTCTTGTTCTACGAGTCCCACGAGGTTCGGAGATATGTCGCCTCCGCGAAGCTGTGGGTACTCTCCAAATGACTCCCTATTGTCCATCCTTCAGGCTAACGATCAATCCCCGTTATCGCGACAGAAGTGATTAGTCATATGAAACTTTGTAGTCGTATCAAAGTTTTGCAAAACTAGCCCAATCGCAGGTATCGCTCAATTTGCATTGAACATTAATATTGCGCTAACCTCCCTCTCGGGAGGATAAAAATAAATCTCGTACCTATGCCTGTCCCGCAGCCGCAGTACAAAGTCCAGCACAGTCGAGCTCGCTAAGAAGGTTTAGAACATCAAGCTGACAAGCTAAATGAACACAACAACCCTGATGTAGCTGTTGCACATTTGATCCTCACCCAATAGGACGTATCTTTGACCTAGTCCAAAGACGGGATCCTTACTACTCATCCACTCATCGTAATTAATGCCAAAGGATCACGATTGCGCTGGCAATTATATGAATTAATTACGCGGCCAATTTCAAAAGACGTCATGCATAATATCAGATCTAACCTGAGTAAGGCATCGGTGTGATTTAATGGTACAAGGCTAACTTGCGTAATGACTCGTAATAGTATTTTCCTTCTATTCGTGCAAATTCAGAAAGACTTTCAGGAATCGTCGGAAATGTGGACACTCACAGGTAACTACTGGTCTTATCAATTGCAAGAAACCAGCATAAAGTTGTTCTCTCTCCATTTTCTCTTTGAGAATACCAACGGAAATTGTGTCCTCGTTGCGACCTGCAGCACGGATAACTTCCTTGTCTTCCTCTGTCATCTCAGTCCGTAAAAACAACTGATTTTGTTTATCCGCCCGAATATGCGAGTTGATGAACCTGTACACGGTAATCATAAGGTACTGAAGTGCAATATAAGAACGGAGCACCGACTCTAGGCACGACGCAGCGCTCAAGGGTTTCTTGGTCTGAACGCCCGTAATAGCAGAGACCGACGTGAAGGGTGCGCGTGTCATCGCGACGAAAAGAGTCATCTTGGGAATGTGCAACTCAGCGGTCATTGAGTTCGCTGAGTTGGCAGTACACCTATGACCAATGAACTCTACGAGTCCAGCGCCATGTGTTGAGTCGTTTTGGTGTAAGCGGAGCTTGCATGCTTGGGCTCGGCCATGGAGTGATACTATTGACTTGTAACATGCCTTCAAGCTTTTCCTCTACAGTCGGGTCGTTCACATACAATCCAACAAATTGAACAACATCACTTGGCTCGATGGCGATTTCAACGCGCGCCAAGAATGGCGTGTCAAATCCGATCCGGGGATTGTCAAGTAGGCCGCACTCAAAGACGATGCCACACTTGAGATACCCCATGAGCACTGGATTTACACTGAACATTCGTACGAGTTTGTAGAGCCCAGAGGAGCGCTCATCTGCGTGGCATGTCGGCTTATGGGTGGACCTATCATCGAGTCCAATGTAGAGTGAGATCCCAGTCTGTGTCAATCATAAGCTGCACTTTCACCAATTTTTCTTTTGACACTATACAAAAAGACACGCGACGTCAGTTCTTCATATTTCTATGTCCCAGTTAGAAGTCATACCTCCTTCGAGCAATACCAGACGCTCTTACACTAAAGGCATTTGATGAACGCCTGCTACAGCATAAACCAGATAATCGACCATCACCTTTGCGCATTTCAAAAGTTTCTTCATTTCTGTCCCACATTGCGTACATTGTACGCCGAAATACTTCTTATTCTCTTTGAGGACCTCGCTCGAAACTGCTATAGAACGAAAAAGATTGTCCCGCTCTGGATATATCGCATGTACCACGCGGACACCCTTTGAAGCTGCAGAGGAGGTGCCAGAATCAGTCTCCATGTTCTCGGAAAGGCGGTGAGAGATGGATGTGGTGGCGAGTTGAGCGCTAAGGCTCACGAAGGACTGATTATGAGCGTACCTATGTTCTCAGCAGTCGGCTGTGCCTCAGTTCACATGATCCACAAGCGACTCCCGTCTTCTTCAATGAAATATAACCTACGTAAAGCCGCGTAGAATCATGTGATAAAGAAGAACATCATCATACAAAGACCTCGATCAGAGAGTTACAAGATACAAAATTCAACCTGAGTAGTAAGGCCCCGCGAAAGGCTGTCACTTCGACGGCAACATTAACAAACAGTCGGTAGCGTGGAAGAGCGTATGATGGACAATACGGTTAGAAGGAACATGGATGACGCAGGGATGATCGATGAGCGCTAGCGTTGGCAGGAGACCGAATAATACGTAAACAAGGCGCGGCGTCCAATTCGAGGCGCGTAAGCAGAACGCCTTTATCACGTGGTAAGCTCCAGGCTCAAGCGCTCACACCCCGTCAATGTTGTGAAGCATAGTCCAAGGGTAACTTGAAAGATCACTAGTCGCAGGCGGAGGATAGAATGCCTACTGATGACTCATATCAGTATTTCCCTTCATTTGGTCCGAAATTCAGAAAGAGAAATCGCCGAAAATGTACGCTCACATTTACACCAAATTAGCATAAAGGTGTTCTCTTCGCATCTTCTCTTTGAGAAGACGAGAGGGAAGTGCGTCCTCATTGCGGCCTGCAGCGCGAATAGTTTCCTTGTCTTGTTCTGTCATCTCAGCCCGTAAACGCAACTGATTCTGCTTATCAGCTCGAATATGCAAGTTGACATGCCTATTTAGAGTGATCGTAAGCGGATCCATTGCTTAGAGAAATAGAATAGAGAGCCTACTCTAGACATGCTACAGCGTTCAGGGGTTGCTTGACTAGAGCGCCCGTAATAGCAGAGAGGTATTCGAGGGGTTCACGTCTCCTTGCGATAGCAAGCATGATAGCGGGGATGTGCAACTCAGCGGTCATTGAGTTCCCTCTGTCGTGTGCAGGACTACATCCGGCAAACTCTATGAGTCCAACAGGATCTTTGGCGAAACCCTCTGCGTTACACCTTGCTCGAGCTTCATGCCACGTGCTGAGTCGCTTTGGCGCAAGTGGAGTTTGCATACTGTGGTTGTTCCACGCAGTAATTGCATTGAGTTGTACCATTCCTTGAAGCTTCTCGCCAGCAGTCTTGTCGTTGAAATACAATCCAGCAAAGTCAAGAAAGTCACTAGGCTCAATAGCAATTTCAACACGTGCCAAGAACGGCGCGTCGAATCCGATTTGGGGATCATCGAGCAGGCCACAGACAAAGATGACACCGAGTTTGAGGTACCCAAAAATCACTGGGTTTGTGACGATCATTCGTACAAGTTTGAGTAGGCCAGAGGAGCGTTCATCTTCATGGCATGTTGGTTTGTGCTTGGACCTATCACCGAGTCCAATGTAGAGTGAGGTCCCATGGGTCTTGTTAATCGGGCAGCGCTCTCACCCATTTTTCTTTTGGCACTACACAAGAAGTTGTTCGACGTCAGCCATTCATATTTTTTCTTTCATTCACAGGTATTACCTCTTTCGAGCAATACCAGACACTCTTACACTAAAGGTGGTTTGTGGCATTCAATGAACGTCTGCAACAGTGTGAATAATGTATCACCTTTGCGCATTTCAAAGGTTTGTCCAATATCGTTTGGCACTGCGTACATTTTACGCCGACATACTTCTGGTTCGCTTTGAGGAATTCGCTCGAAACGGCTGTAGCATGGAAAAAAGTGTCCCGGTCTGGATGTGTCGCATGTACCACACGGACAACGTTTTGTGTTGCAGAGGGGTCGCTTGAGCCAGTACTCATGTTGTGGTGAAAGGTGAATTCGGCGGTGAGTTAAGCATTGATGGTCACGGTGCATCCTCATGGCGGACGCGTGTTTCAGGTCTGGTGGGAGAATATCAGAAATTCCGACATCGGTGCCACATCATGGACCGCCATAAGGGCACCCTGCCCTGTTTGTTCTTACTTACATATACATGATGATAGTCCAGGCTGCCCATATTGGTTCTAGGCGTCTTTCCGTTATGGTCTTGCTCGTAGTATCGATCACCAAGCAAAGTTTCCTGCTAGTTTATCAAGTCAATCCGAGTTCAGCTTGAAATAGGGTTGAGTTGATAACTAGCAATCAGAATGATTGCCGCAGACCGAATCATGCCTGACAATTCACTAGAAATGCACAAAGATCCAAGTTCAACTTGACGCGACGTTTTGAACAATGAAGACGGTGTTACATGATTACATAATGTCCATTCTGGAGCGTAGTCAGCCAATTAAAATCGTTTATGAAGATTTTGACTCAAACCCGACGACTTCCGAAGATCGAAGCACGGCACCGTTAGTGGCTCCCTACCTTAACTCACTCATCGGTGTACCGGGTGTAAATCGGTGCGAGCATGTGAGATAAATGCCATCCTCGACGGAGGCTGTATTAGCTCCAAAGGTAAAATCGACGATGGCTAAGTCACTATCAGGCAAAGCGATGTAACCATCATATACATATTTCTATTGATGTTTGCTCACCTCGACGCATTTTGAACACCGACTCAACCATGGAATGTGCAGGTGGTAGCCATGTACGGCTGATACTAGATGAAAGTGGAAATAAAATGGAAGAGCAGCTTGCAGGTGACCGGTGATGGCCCGTGGATGGCACAATTGACGCTGAGCCGCCAGCTGTTCGTGCTTATATGTGTTAGTAGATGCTCCCAATATATGGAAATGAGACCAGACAAGAGTTTGGCACATTGATCTGATAATTCGATAGGTCAATATCGAGCCAGGTGAGCTGATCTTGGTGGTGACCTTCTTTTGTTGTAACATGACCCGGCTTTACAAAGCATTTGAGGTTCGACCTGAAGATGGAAATATTCATACTGTGGTAGCATGGCACGACGAAGTCTGAAATATGTCCGCTGCGAAACACGTAACCGGCCAGCGTCAAAGTAGTTGCCTGTAAACTTGCGGGTTTTGCCATCAAAAGACTTCATGGCGCACTCGCCCTTGGTCACAACATGTGGCGTGCAAGAATCCCCAAGGGTCGGATATCACTATCAATAGACTGGGTGCCACAGGGACCTGGTATACACCGGTTGCAATACAACAAACAGCCAACTCGAGAAGTTTGTTATCATACCAATGCACTCTATTTGGTTCGTTCACTTGCTTTATGTAAAGGGGGTATGATGTGGCTGTAACCTCTCGCAAATCGAGTGATGTGGATGATTGAAAGTGGAAGTAGTGTCGCATGAATATCATGAACTTCAAAGATAAAACCTTGCACGATACAGGTGAGAAACATATACGCAGATGGCAAGGAAGATCATACCAGGACGTAAAGCAGGACAATAAACGGCAAGATACATGCTCCTTCCGATATCTGCCTAACTGCACGCCTGTTCGCTCAAGCTGTGGCGCACAAGCTAGAATTGGCAACAAGACAATTCAACATGCCAAAGTGCGATCCCAACGATGCTCCGATGATAAGCAACGGCCCGATCATTAACCACAATGCCGGGAGCCCGAAGATTATCACCTTGGCGGAGATGAATGAAACCTCCATCTTCATTGCGATAAGGCCTGTAGGAAATGTGTGAAGGCAGAACTGACAAACGAGAAGCTCAAAAACATACCAAATATTAGTGTCAGCGCCTCTGCGCTAGGAAGCAACCACGAAAAGACAACAAAGAAACGGAGGATACCAGGAAGCACGCTCATATGCCAACCAATGAGGAATCCCCTGACAGCGAAGAGGAATTCGAGTGCAACAGCAATAGCCGTCGTCACATAGAGAGCGTGAAGAGGTGCCCACGGGAAGAATGCTCCAAGAGCTGCAATAGACCACATCCCGCGGTTGATAGTGAGTGCGGCAAGTTGTTGCTGCAGTTGAACGCCATAAGCTTCCTCTCTGAGACGTGCATCATCTGCCCAAATGATCGAGACTGTCACGATACCGTAGAGAGAGCCGGTAATTTGAATGAGGAATGACAGGTATGCAAGGTAGCCTGCATTGCAGACGGAATGATAGAGGTCAAAAAGTTGCGTGCTGAGTCCAGGGTCCATCGACATCACGCCGACGGCCTTTTTGGGAGTAGCAGTGGAACGGTCTGCAAGCCATGCAGCAAGTACCGTACGCTTTGCTAGACCTGAGTCCAATAGGGCACTATCAGCTTGAACGCCTCGAACTGGAACTCCATAGATGCAACCACTTACCCGTATACCTTTGCTCTGCAACATAATTACAAGTGGACGTTTCCGAGTGACCTGGATCTTCTCTGGCTTCGTTATAGTATCTCACAAAGGAACTCTGCAATCGTGACTCTTCAATGGCCTCAACAACCTCGTTGGATTTTCCCATGGAGAGAAAAATAGAAGCGATAACCCAGGTCTGGCACCATCCAATTGCCGCAATGATAGGTGTTGATAGCCAGGAATAATTGAGGATGAAGTCTCGAACACTGTTCAACCACATGCTGCGAGTCTTGAAGCTGAAAGCTGAAAATCGTGCACTGAAGAAGTCAGGCCCTGAGGCCTGAGGCTGAGTGTCGTTTAACGCTCGAGAATTGATCGTGCCATCATTCGGGTCAAAGGAAGCTCCGTGAGCGGCAGAAATAAACCTTACTATTACTAACCGTTCTGTGTTAATGAAGCTTTCGCAAGCGCATGACTTGCAACGCGGAGTTAAGGGACTCGTGTTCATGAAACATACAAATGTATATGTTTCGATGAACCCGTGCCAGTGGGGAGCCAGGTACAGGACTGCCCGAGTCGCTCCCGGAGATATCGATGTTGCAGCTAGAATTACATTATATATCATGATCGATATCGATGATCACTAGCACCAGCAGGACTCTCAGATCCACTACGGCGTGCTGCGATGGAAGAGGTCATGCATGCAGGCAGCCGCATGAGCGTCTCACTTCCTGCTCTGCCCATATGTATCACACCTTACCGTTGCTCTTGTAGTGGTGAGAGTTCCAATGAAACGAGGCGGAGGAAATCAAGACATGATATCGCTCTTGGCTCTCCTGTACTCCAACTGGCTTCAGGTCCGTCATCGCATGAGTACATTGGAACAACATTATATTTCAACATTGGGAGGCGATAACGGTAGCTTCTGTAAACAGTGAATGTCGCAAAATCCTACATCCTAACGATATATGCGCAGTGTTCTCGTGATGTCTGCAGTATATTACATGCCGCTCAGTCATCTTTGTCGCTGTCCAATGCCTTGCGATCGACTTTGGGAATGGCCAATCGAAAACTGGTGCTGCTCGATGGCTGTTTTCCTGTTAGGTTTTTTTCCCTGCTAGATTATGAGCAGTCAACTTTATTGCTAGATGTTGCGCAAACTCATACCGTCAGAGTGGGATTCCTAGAATGCGTGAATTCTAGCCGAGGGACTCGACGTACCACGAACCAGAAGTTTGTATCCGCTTTGAAGTAACCCCGGTAATTTGGACGCGATACTGTAGATGAGAGGTTGGTGTTGACCGGGACCAGCCAAGTACTCCGTTTCGATCTCGATGCTCTTCTGGATAACGTCACAGAAAGCACTTCTCTTCACACGAGCGAGGACATGTGTCAAAAAGTGGCCCGTAACCGTTTTGCCTCCCTGCAATACACTTATTGTCTCGGAAGTTGTTGAGCAGGAGTGTCGCACCCCAGCACAAAGAGGGAGAGATATTGTGGGAGAAATCTAACGGACTCCTCATCACCAATACTGGGAGGAGACAAGAATCTGGCATCGACACCGAGATTGCACAGTACTCTCTTTTGCGAAAAGATGTGGAGCGCCTGTACCAACTGCACATGCCTCTGATGCTCATTGTACAGGGAGAAAAGCGGACCGGCCGTAGAGACTTTGGTGAAATGAATCGTTATCGGTTTTGCAATGGAGGTGCAGGCCCATACACCTCTTGCGTTGATGATGTCTCCCCTGGCGATTGCCAGTTGCAACCGCTGGTCGATCTGCCATAAAATGATCAACGAGCCAAAAATCTATGACGAGTAGAGAGTGGTTAGCGTGTTAGACATTACAGTAAAAGAGTGCTAAGCTGCCTCGTTCGAAATAGGTCCTTTATGTAAACCAACGAAGGCTGAATCGTGTGAATTTGCTGCGGACACTTTGAATCGCTACGCTTGATACATCCAAAATGGTTATAGCTGGCCTAACATTAATGTTTTATTATCTAGGACCTGAGGCCTCGAGGCCTGATGGGCCACTGTTACGCCAAGCTCCAAGTAGGACACTCGTGATTCGCCGTTCACTTTGCGCCGGTAAACCTCACTGCTATTAGCGCTCAACATTTGCTCAACTCCCACCCATCCCATTCGCGAAAACATGAGTGCTAACACGAACAACCTCTCTTCGACTCCACAGACCATTTATGTCCAACATGCGATTCATCCAGACAGCGGCGATTCCTTCCGCGCTGTAGCAGCTTCCACTAAATCTCTCAAAGCAAGCCAGAAGGACTTCGGCGTACAATGTACGCAATGTCAAACGAAATTGGAGAAGCCTTTGAAATGCGCAAAGGTGGTGGTCAAATATTTGAATACTGTTGCAACCGTTAATCGAGTGTTGTAATCTGCTTTTAGTGTAAGGGCGTCTGGTATTGCTCAAAAGAGGTACGATTTCCGACTGAAATGAAACTGAAGTCTGAAGGGTTGTGTGCCTTCTTGTGTACAGTGCCAAAAGAAAAATTGGTAAGAGTTCTACCTATGATTAAACATATTGTGCCTCACTCTACACGGGCTCGATGACAGGTCCACCCACAAACCGGCATGCCATGAGGTCGAACGCTCCTCGGGGGTATTCAAATTCATACAAATGTTCGGTGTAAACCCGGTGCTCATGGGGCTCCTCAAAGTCGCTATCATCTTTGACTGTGGCCTGTTCGAGAATCCCCGGATCGGATTCGATGTGCCATTCATGGCACGTGTTGACATTGCAATGGAACCTAGTGATGTTCTTGACTTTGTTAGATTGTATTTCAACGACAAAGCTGTTGGAGACAAACTTCAAGGGATGTTGCAAGTCAATACCATCATTCCGTGGCACCCACGCACGCAAATACCCCTTACGCCGAAGCGGCTACAGCTGTGGCGTGAGGCTCGAGCAAAGTATAACGCAGAAGGTCTTGCCAAAGATCCCGTAGGACTCGTAGAGTTCATTGGCTGTAGTTGTGCAGAGGACTCAAAGAACTCATTGACTGCTGAGTTGCACATCCCGGCTGGTGTCCTTGACATGGCAAGGCAACGCGAGCCCTTCACATTTGTCTCTGCTGTCACAGGCATGCAGTTCGACAAACCCATGAGCGCTGTGACATGTCTAGAGTATGTTTTCCGTCCTCATCCTTAGCGAGCGGCGCTTCTTACATTTACATTGCACAGGTATATCAATGTGCATATTCGAGCGGATAAGCAAAATCAGCTACGTTTGCGGGCTGAGATGACAGAACAAGACAAGGAAGCCATTCGCGCTGCAGGTCGTAATGAGCATACATTTCCGGCTCGTACCCTCAAACAGAAGATGGAAAGAGAACACCTCTATGCTGGTATCATGGAAGTGATACGTGAAACAGCCAAATGTGAGTGTGAGCTTTTTCAACTTCTCGTCCTGTACTAAAACAAGGAAGGATCCTCGTACCTTTCTGATCGGAGTCTCTTGTACGACACCTCTTGAATGGGCTGCCATTGACATGTGCGAGCGATAATCAGTCGCCAGCACAATCTTATCCAATACCTGTGTACTATTAGTGGAAAAAAAGTCGACTTGATATCAGCTGCCGTGAAATAGTAATCAGACGATGCCACACACTCGCCAACGGTCAATATTTTCATTCTTCCTATATTTCAATCTCATTTGTGACTCTGATCTCAACGGGCGTTGAATCCGCGTTGCGAAGCACCTATTGGACATAATCAAGCACTCGATAGACTCAAAGATTGCTGCAGAGGACCTCAAACTCAACGCGTGTGATTGATGAATGGCATATAAATCGATCCCGTCATGGAGGTAGGTGTTCGACGTCAGTAGCGGAGTTAAGTGTGTGTTTAGCGCGCTCACTTTCTACATGGAGCACGAAGGGTCAGAGGTACAAGCGCCCACTCATGCCAAGAATTTGGAGACGGTGGGAGATAACTTTCGGTTACTGCCAAGCACCAAGGTACACATATTTGACGCTTGACTCACACCTTAGCAGCAGCCATCCAACTTGCAAGAAGTAATGTTTTGAATTTTCAGCATTCGAAACTCCTATGTGCGGATTTTCTTGGGAATTGTACCTTTCATCTTGCTGAATCTGTGCTTTAGTTGCATCCCCGTTGATGATGTCTCCCCCGGCGACTGCCAGTTGCAACCGCTAGTCGATTTGCCATAAAATGGTCAACGAGCCACAAATCTATGACGAGCAGAGAGTGGTCAGCGTGTTAGACTTTACAGTAAAAGAGTGCTCGCTGTTCGAGATTTAAATGCGAAGGAATCGTGTGAATCTGCTGCAGACACCTACTAGTCTCAGAATTCTCACACCTGAGCGCTACGCTCGACACATCCAAAATGGTTATAGCTGGCCTAACATTTTGATCTAAGACCTGATGCCACCGGTGCGCCTAGCTCCAAGTAGGATGCTCGTGATCCGTCGTTCACTTTGTGCCGGCGAACCTCACTGCTATTAGCGCTTAACACCTACCCATCGCATTCGCGAGAACATGAGTGCTAACACGAACAATCTCTCCTCGACTCCACAGACCGTCTATATCGAACATGCGATTCATCCAGAGAGGGACGATTATTTCCGTGCCCTAGCTGCTTCCACTAAATCTCTCAAAGCAAGCCAGAAGAACTCCAGCGTACAATGTACGCAGTGTCAAACGAAATTGGAGAAGCCTTTGAAATGCGCAAAGGTGGTGGTCAAATATCTGAATACTGTTGCAGCCGTTAATCGAATGGTGCAATCTGCTTTTAGTGTAAGAGCGTCTGGTATTGCTCAAAAGAGGTATGATTTCCGACTGAGATGAAACTGAAGTCTGAAGGGCTGACGCACGTTGTGTGCCTTCTTGTGTACAGTGCCAAAAGAAAAATTGGTAAGAGTTCTACCTATAATTAAACATATTGGGTCCTCACTCTACACGGGCTTGATGATAGGTCCACCCACAAACCGGCATGCCACGAAGTCGAACGCTCCTCGGGGGTACTCAAATCCATACAAATGTTCAGCGTAAACCCGTTGCTCATGGGGTTCCTCAAAGTCGCTATCATCTTTGACTGTGGCCTGTTCGAGAATCCCCGGATCGGATTTGATGTGCCATTCATGGCACGTGTTGACATTGCAATGGAACCTAGCGACGTTCTTGACTTTGCTGGTTTGTATTTCAACGACGAGGTTGTCGGAGAGAAGCTTCAAGGGATGCTGCAAGTCAATGCCATTACTCCGTGGAACCCAGACACGCAAGGTCCCCTTACGCCGAAGCGGCTACAGATATGGCGTGAGGCTCGAGCAAAGTATAACGCACAAGGTTTCGCCAAAGATCCTGTAGGACTCATAGAGTTCATTAGCTGTAGTTGTGCAGAGGACTCGGGGAACTCGGTGACTGCTGAGCTGCACATCCCCGCTGGTGTCCTTAATATTGCAAGGAAACGCGAGCCCTTCACAGGTGTCTCTGCTGTCACAGGCACGCAGTTCAACAAACCCATGAGCACTGTGACATGTCTAGAGTATGTTCTCCGTTCTCATCCTTGGATTCTAGCAAGCGGCGCTTCTTACATTTATATTGCACAGGTATATTAATTTGCATATTCGAGCGGATAAGCAGAATCAGCTACGTTTACGGGCTGATATGACAGAACAAGACAAGGAAGCCATTCGCGCTGCAGGTCGTAATGAGGATACACTTCCGGCTCGCATTCTCAAAGAGAAGATGAAAAGAGAACACCTCTATGCTGGTGTCATGGAGATGACACGTGAAACAGTCAAATGTGAGTGTGAACTTTTTCAACTTCTCATTCTGTTCTAAAACAAGGAAGGATCCTCGTACCTTTCTGATCGGAGTATCTTGTACGACACCTCTTGAATGGGCTGCCATTGACATGTGTGCGAGCGATAATCAGTCGCCAGCACAATCTTATTCAATATCTGTATACTATTGGTAGAAAAAAAGTTGACTTGATATCAGCTGCCGCGAAAACGATGCCACATACTCGCCAGCGGTCAATATTTTCATTCTTTCTATATTTCAATCTCAATTGGGACTCTGATCTTGGCAACGGACGTTGAATCCGCGTTGCGAAGCACTTATTTTACATGATCAAACACTCGATAGACTCAAAGAGTCGCTGCAGAGGACCTCAAACTCAACATGTGTGATCGATGAATAGCATAGAAATCGATCCCGTCATGGAGGTAGGCGTCCGACGAGGCTCGATGTCAGCTGCGGAGTTAAGTGTGTTTAGCGCGCTTACATTCTACACGTAGACGCCAAAGAGCACGAGGGTCATAAGTACAAGCGCCCACCCATGCCAAGAATTTGGAGACGGTGGGAGATAACTGCCAACCACCAAGGTCCACACATTTGACGCTTGACTCACACCTTACCAGTAGTCATCCAACTTGCAAGAAGTAATGTCGTCAGTATTCGAAACTCCTATGTGCGAATTTTCTTGGGAATTATAGCTTTTGTCTTGCTGAATTTGTGCTTTAGCTGCATCCCTGATCTCACTGATCAGATAATCAAAGACTCAGACACACCGGCTGCAGTGGGCGGCTATGCGACAATCTTCAAGTGCAGCTGGAATTCGCCTTCTGAATCTTCTCCAGTAGGTCTCTCCTAGCCGACAATCGACGCCAGCTGATAATTCTAAACACTACCAGGTTGCGGTTCAGGTCGTCAAGGTTCAGCATGACTCTGACCGTGCCTCACTCAGTATTAAAAGCGAGGAATGGAGACAAGAAATCAAAGTATGGGGACGACTTCAAAGCGAACATATTTTGCCTTTGCTCGGGCTCGTTCACGGATATGGCCCTTTACCTGGCCTTGTATCACCTTGGATCGGCAATGGAAGCTTGATCGAGTTAAGATCTCGTGGTGGGGAGAGGGTTGTGGCGATTCTGACTTCTCAATCACGAAGCGTGGCGTGCAACATCAGGAAAAACCTCCCGAGGCTAAAATCACATAATTTTCATAAAACGATGTAATTTTCATAATCTTCATAAAACGATGTAGTTTAGATAGTTCTATGTAATTACAGGTATTAGGATAAAAACCGCTGCAAGATGATATAGTACGATGAGATTATTGATAATCATTTGAAGATACAAAAAGTATATCTGTCTATATATGAGTTCAACCAAAAAGTGTCACAATTATCGAGAACTGTATCACTAGTCCACTCTCGCGGGACAACAGCACCAAAATTCGGTATAAGATGGACACTACGTACGATATCTCCCAACGGCACGACACTTGCTATTTTTTCACCACCATGTAAGGCTCGCGAGATCTTGTAAAGTCCGTGGTGTCGATCGGGAGCCGAAGGAAATGGTGCGAACCATTCAATATAAGCCAAGTGGTCGGGAACCTTGACTGTTGGCGGAAACAAGAGTGGCAATATTTTCGAAGGTAACGAGAAAACGACTCGTACTTGCCCAACACGAACTCCTAGATTCAGACGACTGTGAGTGGCTCTATCCTTAGCAAATAGTAGTGGCTGAACGTACCTTCTATACCTCCACTAACAACATCTGGATTCCCACCAACACTCACGAGAGCCGTATCAGAACGGCGAGGCCGCAGACCAGAACCTGAACTCCGTTGTGGTCTGGCATGTACACAGTCCAACGTGGCTGTCGCATCGCCGTGACCACGAGCATCTACCGAGAGCCACTTGATCTTGTCAAAAACGGGGAGAGTTCGGAATGGGAAATGGACATCCCGTGCTAACGCATCTAGTGTTTGACTACGGAGGGGGATAGGATCGTTGGCATGGCTTATCTGTGTGATATAGCGTGCGAGTGCTTCACGGAAATAGGTAGCGCCGTAGTCTTCGACTAGCTTCTCTATACTGATGGCCTTTGCACTAGGGTGCTTCGCCACACTTTGAAGCCGACGAAAAGTCATATCGGGGGGGCGTGAATGGTAAGGCTCGGTCTCCTTAACACCAGCACGTCGCCAGTTAATATACTTGGCATGGCGCATAATCTTCTCCTTCCGCTCGAGCCAGCATGTCATCTGCACAAATTCGTCTTTGTGATTCGTAGCACGGTAAGCGTCCTTCGCAAAATCGATGTGAAGTCGTTCAGTGTACTCAGTATTATAATTGTCCGTCGTACCCATCATCATAATCATGGCAGAGTAGTGGCGAGTGGCGTGGAGTTTCGGGAGATTGAAATTTGAACGGATACCAAGGTCGATGAAAATGTCCTTATTCTCATGGAAAAGATTGAGTGCGTCATCCAGTAGCTGTAGAGTCTCGGAGCTATGACAGGGATATTGAGCAAGATAAAGGAAGTCAAGTAGGCCCTGCACTGCTCGTAGAAGATGGCCCCCGTTTAGATTATTGGGCAGACGGATGCCAATCACGATACCGAGGAGAAAACGACAGATTTGTGCATGTTCTGTTCCGCTTATACGCGACAAGCCAGTGATACCCTTGCTGAACAGATGTATATGGTGGTTGGGAGGAAGACGGCGACAACGAGCATCAATTTCGGCCGCTCCACAAGCAGCCGACAACCAACCTAAGAGATGCTTTATCAAGCCTTGATATAATTGGTGCAACACGTCTGGCGTGATTGCACGGAATATATTGGCGAACAGGAGGTCTTCCCAGAAAGGATGGACGATAGGCTTGATGCCTGCTTCCGAGCAAGCACGAACAAAGGATAGGTTCCCTTCGTCGAGAGTAGCGAGGGCATCTAGCACCTTGCTAAGGTTTTGTAGGTGGAAAGGAGCTGTATTACTACCCGTTTCGCCAATGTCCACGTCGCATTTCGGACACTCTCCAAACTTGATCCCAGTAGCGAGAAGTTGTTCTGGGTAGTCACCGATGAAGCTGGCAAATAATAGGTGGCAACGGCGGAGGGCACCATCCCCACTAGCCATACGAAGCCCTTCTAGCCCTATAGATTTCAGTGGAGCCAGAATACGACTTAAGCATGCGTGATAGAGGTTTGCCAAAGTTCGGCGACGCGAAGCTTTGTTGGCAATATGCTCAAGCCGTGTACAAGGCAAATAAGCTAGAAGTATATGTGCGCCACGCGAAGGCTTGCGTCGAATTTCCTTCGGGATGTTGCCAATGGTGAGATAGACAGGATAGACGGACTTGTTGCGGAACAATGTTACTTGTGTTTTGTCGGATGAGATAATGATGGGAATAATGGTGCCACCTGGACTGTGCTGGTCGAGTTTTTTCTAAAGTATTGTAAGTATTGTATCTCCTATGGACATAATCAATTATTCGTACCTGCGTATCCCACCACCATTTGCCGGTGTGCATATCGTGAAAGAGACGAATTGTCTCGTCTTCGTCAGAATAGTGCCGTTGAGGGGCAAATGCGAGATATTTGGCGAAGTCAGGATCACCATACAATGACTTGACACATTCGATCACATCGCGGTAATAGACGTCAAACGCTTCTCCAGCAACAACAATCTGCTCGCGTTTGAACTTTGGACGGCCTGTCGGAAGCTCGTGATCGACAATGGCATTCAACTCATTTGCATTCTTGAATGAGAGCGACAAGTGTTCACTGACCTGAGAATCAAAATTGTTCGCTATTAATTACATAGACTTTCGGAATAAATGGCATCCAACTTACCCCCTCGATTGCAAGCAAGTCTGACAATGCCGTTGAACTCACTCCACGAAGCTTAGCCCATCTCGCAACCTCCCAATCCATCTTGGATGCGAAAGGGTGATACAGATTCTCCTCCGCATTGGCCAGGTGCGCCCCATATTCCATGTTCGCAGCACGACAGTTGGTTATTTTTTGGCCAGCACGCGGATCTGGGTAGGGCACGACCACACAACCATGCTGCCCTTGTGCGCGTGCTTGAATATCCTGGTGATCTTCCCGGAAAGCTTCATCATCATCAGCCAAATCTTCAATGGCATCCATGCGATCATGCTCGTCTTGCTCTTCAACGGGAGGCTCCCATTCAGGTTCGAAATTCCACCCCTCATCATCTACATCATCGTCTACATCACTACCACCAGATTGCTCCTGAGCCCGCTGGAACTCGACCTCAGGTTCATCCTCTCCGTCTCCTTCATCAGGATCCAAGTCAGGCCAAGTCGACTCGTCAGGCTCAAATTGTGGCCCGTTGGCATGTATTTCAAGTTGGGAGCGTGACTGATGGTACAGTGCTCGACAATGTGGGTTGCGGCTCTTGGCAAGATGTTGACTGAGACCAGTAACAGTGAAATTGTCACGGGAACAAGCAGGGCATCGAGTAGACATAGTGGCGGAAGAAAGTCGAGAGGACTTGTGTAGAAGGGGTGAATCAGCACCCGACCAACGTTACACGCGAAAACTTCCTGGGAGAAGTATAGAAAGCCTGAGGGGATTAAAGCAGCGCCCGACCAATGCTACACGCGAAAACTTCCTAGTAGGGTGAGGCAAATGTCAGCTTAATTAAACCTGGTTTGAATGGAACGCACCTTGAAATGAACTGCCTCCGATACCATTTCAAATGCATTGTTGAATCTGCAAAGCACGGAAATTAAAGCACAGAAATTGTGAGGTGGTCGCTGTTCAGGCAGTGGAGATAAGTGTAGGAGAGGGAGTGAACTAGCGCGCCTGACCAACATTATACGTGCAAACTTCCTAGGGTGCACCGTGCTACTAGTTGAGAGAAGTATAGAGAGGGGACCAAAGCAGCGCCCGACCAATGTTACACGCGAAAACTTCCTAGGGTGTGAGGCAATGTCAGCTTAATTGAAACCGGTTTGAAGTTCACGCACCTTGAAATGAACTGCCTCCGGTGCCATTTCAAATGCATTGCACATGCAGCAGTTCTAAACTTTTGTGAGGTCAGTGAACTGGCGCCCGACCAACGTTACACGCGAAAACTTCCTGAAGCCGTGCCAGTCGAGAGAAGTATGGAGAAGGGACCAAAGCAGCGCCCGACCAACGTTACACGCGAAAACTTCAGGTGATCGAGGGAAGTATGGAGAAGGGACCAAAGCAGCGCCCGACCAACGTTACACGCGAAAACTTCAGGTGACAAATGTCAGTAAATTTGAACCCTTGAATTGACAGCAACGCCCCTTGAAACTTGTGCTATGCACTAAAATTTAACGGTGCCCTCAACTCTTTCTCCTCACTCTTTCGACCTTGAACCTTCCTTCCAACACTCTTTGTTAGTTTCACATCCTTTCAATCTATATACAATGTCCGCACCTCTTAATTCTCGTGGTGAGTGACTCTGACAGCTCACCGTCTTCAAGACAGCAGAGTAGGCTCACTGGGCTTCAATAGAGCCCCGGAATGCGAAGAAAAAGGCTATGGAAAACGCAGGTAAGTATGCGAGTCTTCGCAGAAAACTTGTTGATGCTTACCTCCGACTTGAGTTTGGATGCCTAATAAGTCAGCGAGGAAAGGCGCTCGCCAAGCATCCCCAGACCCGCCAGTGTCACCTGTTGCCAACTTACCAGTCAAAGCAAAAAAGATCAGCGCTGGTGATGTTTTTTTTCTACCATACGAGCCAAATACTCACCTTTGATTTAGGTAAAGTGCCGCGCACAAAAACAGATCCACCTGCGCCAAACTCCACGACCAAAACCAAGGTTCACAGTGACAGCTCAGCGAAGAATTTATCTTCTAAACTGAGTGCGTCACTAAGAGTCTATATAAAACATAGGACTCAGTACTAACCTTCATGGTACATGATAGAGCGTCAGCGTACCTTTGTAGACGACCCAGAGGAGGTCAGTGGTGATGAATCTGATGGCAGCCATGCGGACTTGCAACCTGTAAAGCCTCGAGGTTAGTTATTATGACGTCTCAAAAGGAAATCTTACTCATGTGACCGTGCACATGTGACAGTTATTTATCGTCCTAAGAAACTATGTCGCACTTACGCCATGCGTGACGTCTCAGCATTATTCGAGTCTGACTCTGACTCTGATCACCCCAAGGAGGACATCGCGAATGGTAATGATTCTGATGCCGACCGTGAGGAGAGTGAGGGCGAGGAAGCTGAGGCCACTGCCATGATGCTTTCAGACGAGGTTAGTGATAGTTTACTACTACTAGTACTTCAACTGGACGGTCACTGATACTATACTGACACAATAATTGACATCGCAACTCAAGGTCCCTTCGCTCGTCAGCAACAAGTCAAAGCAAGTTGTTCAATCTCGTGGCAAATCCCAGTCCGCCCGCGAAGCAAAACAAGCTGCAGAGGTGAGTGTATATATATTGAATTGCAGTGGCCCTCAGGCTGTATACTACTAAACCTGACATTATCTTTAGATTCCAGCCTGGCGCGATTTTGACAATGCTGTTTCAGAGTCCGTCGATGAAACTACTACTGCATGTGGCGAATCCTCCGAAGCTTACTCCAGCGACGTTGAACGTGCCCAGAAACTCAACTCTGGACGGACTCGATCGGCTCAAAGCATTGCTTCTCTCATTCGAACGGAGAAAGGACATATCAAATTACTTGATCAAAACAACGAGACTCAGCAAGTAGTGCGGGATGCGATTATCGATGCCAAAGGCTACATTATCTTTGTTGATGCTTATCCTGAGCTTGTCGACAAAAACCAAGTCTCACTGCAGTCTTTGCTAACAGTGGCCAGGAACCGTGGCATCCACGCCATTAAAGAACGTCTTCAAACTGATGCGATGTATGCTGCGCACCTCGCCAGTTTGGTAAGTCCTTTGCACGTCTCAATTTGTTTTGACTAACTTTAATTACTACTCAAGGTGGAGCCACGCATTCCATTGTTGCGCCGTGACCTGAAAGTGGCCGCATGTACGAACATCGATAGCTACTTTCGTCTTGGCAACAACTTGGTCAAGGTGAAGAAACTTATGGAGCAGCATGCATATATATATGCCTTGAGGTTTGATGTAAGTACTGTCATCGTTTGTTCTTCACTCGATATCTCTTTGTCATATTCCCTTCTACATACTAGTATTATCGTTGTTTCTACATCTCAAGCCTCTAACTAACATTCTTCTTCAACAGTCGAACAACAACGCTTCACCCATAGGGAAAAAACCCTACCAGGGTGACCTGCTGATCTTTCTCATATACCAGGAAGTCTTCAGCGGTGCGAAGTCTATCGGCATCAGGTTTTCCGAGCGCTTTGTCGAACTGGCAAACAATAAGGGCAATCGCCCTGAAATACCCATTCCATTACTGGCACTCGTGGCAACCGCGGTATGGTCCTTTCTACTGAGCTTCATGCTGTATTTATTCGTTTTCAAGGTCTATGCGGCCCTTTTCTGGAAGACACTCGGTTCTCCAACAAAGTTCAGCTTTACAGGGAATCAATTCAGCGAGACATATGTGTTTCACACCAAGTTCCTCGAGGACTTGAAGAGGGACGCACCAGGAAAGTTTCACTGCATGATGGCTGATATCTACGAAGCTGTGCAGTAAGTTTCGCTGGTGTTCATGGTGCTGTTTCGACTCGGATACTGACTCTGCTACTTGAAGGACCTTGAGACAGAACGGGAATGAACATATCGCCAATGAGCATCAAGCTGCGCTAGGGCTGCTTGACCTGGATGGCATGGCAGAGGATTAGGTCCTGTAGTCACATTCATACCTATAAAAGTCGTAGATTCGTTGATTGCAGTCTTTGGCTGCGTGTTATGCATATGTTTTGATCAAATATTAGTCCGTTTTGATTGCAATGCTGTCCGATGCGCGTGATTCACTATGCAAAGTTTGAAATATACTCTCTGAAATTCACAATATTGTAGTCTAATGTCAACTAATTCGTGATAATTATCCTTTTAAAATAAGGCAGTAAGAAAGTCCTTCTAAAAAAAATAATCTTCCTAGTTGTTCTAAACCCGATAATTTGAGATAATACACGATGATTATCAAGAATTATCGTAGTTTCGAGGAAACTATCATAGTTTAGAGGAATTAGCCCGGGGAGGTTTTTCCTGATGAAGTCATGTTTGTTGACATCTTCGTTACACTCATATCTATAATCTTGGCACTGGCAGTATTTTTTGGGTGCCATCATTTCGACCATAATAATCTCTCACAGCTAACAGGGTTTGTGCTAGCATCACTAATGGTTTCTTGGGTGCGCGCTCTTTCCATTTGTCCAGTCGTCATTCATAAACATCTCGTCACAGGTCTACGATTGTTTCCTAACCTTGGACCAGGAGGTGATTTCATATTTGCGAGATATGATAGCATGCCTATCGACAGGCTAATTGTTGGGGATAGGTATCTTTGATTCATTGGTCACAGTGGAGCAAAGGAAGTATTCTTTATATCATGACGAGATACATGCCAGCCTTGATACTCTCTGTACACTTATCCAGTGAGTCCAGATCGCATGCTCTATCGTCAACTTGCAGCTAATGAGGATACTGAAGTGAACTATCTCCCAAATGAAAAAATTGTGGTGAGCATCAGTCGGAAACAATGCCACCTGCCATCCTGAGGACTCGCCGATGTAGACTTGTGAAATTTTACAGTCAATGTGGTATTGTAAGTATTGTAACGATAGAATTTGTCAGTCCCGCTTCAAGTTCGTCCCTCAGGTACTGCTGCATTGTGCATGTCTGGTGCAGAAGGTATTACGATGTTTATTGTGTATTCACGCAGAATACTCACAGGATCTCCAGGTATCTTCATCCTTCGTACCTATGCATTATGGGGACATAAGAGATCCATTCTGGGCCTTATGTTGTCAACGGTACTGGTGTGCATACAGTTGCGTTCCCGTATTCTGTACTCTGACACACCTCACTCCAGTGCCTGGCGATCTTGAAAGTGGTAATAGCGCTGAAGGGTTGGAAACATTCGAAAAGTGAGTGTCTTGAAGAGGAGCCACACGTAAATCACTCAGTGTATACGACAGTGCACGTATCAGACATAGGTGGCGGTTGTCGCTCACTATCCCACAACACGAAGGCTGCATATAATTGGTCACTTCTAGCAGCATTCGAGCTTGGTGAGATCACGAAGCCATAAATAGTGATGTGCACGGCCCGGCTTGGCCTGAAAGCCGCGGCTTTGGCCTGGCTTCAGACGGCTTTGGCTTTGAAAAACTGCGGGCCAGGCCAAAGCCGTCAATGACGGCTTGGCTTTGGCCTGGCTCGGCCTGAGCCGCGGCCCGAGCACTGAAAACAGAAAAATGGTTCAGACAAGGATGACATACTATTTACACGAAGTCGCTGTCTGATTCTACGAGATCCTCATCTCCCTCCAGAAGAGCGTCCCAACCTTCATCCTCGGCATCACTCAGCTTCTCGGAGTCGTTAGTGTCTGACTCAATATCCAAGTCCTCGAGAGCTTCCTCAGTTGATGATGATGGTCCAGGCTCACGGAAGAGTACGTCGTGGCGGAGGGCGCATTTGACGCATTGAAGTGCCTCAACAATGTCACCCTTGAGACGGTTTCGGCGCTTGCTGATAGTGATACCGCCCTGTGAGAACGCGTGCTCACTTGAAACTGACGATGCCATAATTGACAGGTACTGAAAATGACGAGTGTGCTATCTGCTAACACTGTGGCAAGTGAGTTGTGTCGAGCTTGAAAAGAATGTCTGCGACTCACTGTGATTCTTACCACATGAACATGCACACAATGTAAGTGATTGAAAAGCTAAAATGAGACAGAAGTCAGATTTTCGATCGACGATCGTCAAACAGTTTGAGCTTGGGCGCTGCAGGCACAGTTGACTAAGCCGCGGCCTGAGCCGGCGGCTTTGGCTTTTCATTAGCCCAGGCCAGGCCAAAGCCGTCACCAGGCCGTGACTTTGGCTCGGCTCGGCTTGGCCTATTCAGGCCCGGCTTGGCCTGGCCCACGGCCTGAAGCCGGGCCGTGCACATCACTAATCACAGCCATGTTCCAGAACGCGTGATATACCTGCTGCCATGTTCCAGAACGCTGTATGGCTGTATTGTCTTATATTAAGTTATAACATTAAATCACGATGATATCCCATAATAACCACTTATTATTGAGTTATACGAATACATGTGGCACAGTGGTATATAATCTAATGTAGTAGTGGTAACCGCGTACCGATCGTCTGGACATGAGCACTGAATTTGAAAAGAGTATATGGGTGATGTCATCGAAGACTGCCACGAAAAACGAAGTCCATGTGAGTAGAAAAATGCTATCGAGTCCGTTAGGGTAGTACATGGGCAGACGAGCGAATGGTCCGGTAATGCAAATGCGAATGGAGACGGTGAAAATGATGCGGAGTGAACCTGATACAACAAGCGAAGGTTATAAGTATCGAGCAGACTGCGAGAATGTCGTGACTCACGTTGAATAACTATTTCTTGGACTTGCGTTTCGGAGGCTTCTTGGATGGCGCAGCAACACTCTTTCGTTTGCGCTTCTTAGCAGGCTGGATGATTTCTTCATCTTCTTCCGTTAGAGGGCTGTCATCATCTAGGATGGCTGCAACAGATCCGGGGGCTTGCTGGTGCTTACCCGAGTTGACAGGAGGATCTGGGGGAGGGGAGCGTGCGGGTAAGACCGTCTCCTCGTGCGAGTTGACAGGAGGATCGGGGGGAGGGGAGCATGCGGGCAAGACCGTCTCCTCATGCGAGTTGACAGGAGGAAGTGATGGGGGATTAGCCGGTCCTTGGGCTACAGGAGAATCTGGAAGGGGCGACCTATTAGGAGTAGGGGACTTGCGATGCGACTCTTGTTGCTTATCGAGCGCTGAAGACTGTGTAGACGTCGTGTCCGAGGATCCGGAAGCCCGTGCTGCACGTGCGGCAAGTTGCCGTTCTATGGCGATCATGTCGTCGTCCTCTGAACACTCAACATTTGCAGAGTGACTAAGTCTGGCACCGTTTTCGTTGCCAAACAATTTCCTAGATTAGTGATGTTCCGGCCCGGCTTGGGCTCAAAGCCCCGGCTTAGGCTCGGCCTGGGGGGGGCTTAGGCTCACCAGATTTCAAGCCTGAGCCGTGAGCCCAAGCCGGCCCAAAGCCGGGGCTTAGGCCCATGCAAGCCGCGGCCCACATGCTGAATTGCATGTAATTGATGTCTGAGCTCCACCATGCTGTTCCCAACACCACGAACACCATGCGCAAACGCCCAGCACACATCAGCAACTGCTGACGTGGCTCAGACGAATACGGACGATGGACGAGAGCAGGAGAAGGGAAGAAGACAAGGAGGAGAACGAGAACGAGAGAGAGGAGATGGACGATTGGTAGCACTCGAGTGCTTCGATTCTGCACGCCCGGAAGAGTAAGCACTGAATACTATAACTCAGATACCTGAAGTGCATCGTCGAGGAGGCGTAGGTACTTGCGCTCGCAGTACGTGAGTCGAAGAGGGATGTATTTCGAACGGTCGACGAACCACTCGCCGACTTTGGATCCAATTGTAGGCTTCGCTCACCAAACAATCTGCCGCCGTTCTTGAGTTCGAAAATACCCTGTTGCACTTTAGGCGTTTGGCTGAATTTGTGAGGGTGCTTACGGTGTAGCCCCAGGGCATTTTATCAAACGGTCTGACTACGAACAAATGAAAAGAGACACAAAAGAGCAACCAGGTACGACATACCATCAAGAATATCAACTACAAGACAGTCTCTAGGCTTGGCGCCCTCCACAGCGATTGGACCGGACAAATTATGGATGCTAGTCAGGTCCACATCTCTGATATCATCGCTCGCTGTCAGAAATAGTGGGCTTAAATCTGAGTCGAAGCTGATAAAGGTGATTCGAGTCGAAGCTGATAAAGGTGATGGGAGTCAGAAGCTTAGAAAGACAAAAATAGAGTCGGGAAACGTACCTCCGGTGAGTGCCACTGAACATGCCAAAGCCGCGGCTTAGGCCGCCGGCTCAGGCTTTTCAAAACTCAAGCCCAGGCCCAAGCCTTCCTCAGGCCGTGACTTAGGCCTGGGCTGGGCCCGGCTTATTTGGGCCCGGCTTGGGCCGGCCCAGGGCCTCAAGCCGAGCCGTGCACATCACTATCCTAGATCTGTGTTAGATAAGAGAATAGTGTAGGAAATCACTTACTCGTTATAATGTCCTAACAGGGAGTCGACCCACTCCCCGTCTATCCTCCCTCGAATTAAGTTGACTATCCTGGTATAAAAGTCAGTGTAATAAAATAAGGCATCCCGATCTTTCCATTTGTCGAGCGAGCTAATTGCAAAGCGAGCCTGTCCAGTACAGATTAAGTAAATAAAGTGCGCATCAAAAAACACCTACCTGAACTGCGGCATATGCGATATGCTCGGCCTCCACCCCTGCCATCCCATGGAGTTTCGCATTGCAAGCACGTGTGCCATTGGAGACGCCGGCCTTGAGTGCAGATGACGGAGACGTAAATACGTGTTTAGTAGCCTGTATATATTAGAGTCGTCCGATATAATTGAATAAAAAAAATGTACTCACTCCAAAAGATATCCACGAAAAAGCCCTTCAAGTATATCCTCAGAGTCGAAGTCTTCGCCTGCAATGTCGCCTGGATAGAGATAAGCGGGCCACAAGGCAGCGGTTACCTTCAATGACCCGCTATCAAATTTGCTCTTCATCCTGTAGTGTCTACCGTTAATACAACTGACTGAAAGAAAAAATAGAACATACTCATGCGGATCCTTGATGTAGTCGGCCAAATATTTAGCCGGACAAAGCATTTTGCCCAGCTGGATGTGGTTGAATCCCATTTGGGCACGACTCTTGCTGTTGTCAGTGATTGGAGGGTGGACAACGTCTTTGTCAGGGTTTGGGGCTGCGTATGAGCCCATGCGTGACTTGAGGCGACTTGCATCCTCGGAGCGCGTGTGATTTATCATGTTTTGCATCTGTAAATAGTTAGCTCTGATTAGTATAATTGAAAGTTACGCACCTCGCCGATGAGTTGCGTGAGCTCCTCGCGTTTTTTCCTCCGGCCAATCAGAGTCCCAAGATAAGGGGCGTGTTCAGTGACGTATTCGAACGTTCGCTTGTACCGCGCACGAGTGATTTCATCACTAAAAACGATATTAGTACGCATATATGCGGTCATATGTACTTACCAGTCAGCCAGAATCTTCTTCCGAGCAGTCCTAATTTGCTCTTCTTCCGTTTCATCTCCGTCCTCGGCTGCTTCTTCCTGGTCTAAAAGCAAACATACCTGAATCACCTGTTTGAGATCGCAGAACATGTCTAGGCCGCGTGGGATCCAACGTGCAATGTGGATACACTGCTCCCGCGGCGTAAGAACTTTATTGCGCGATCTTCTAGAATCTCGTCAATATGAAATGTAGATGAATAAAAAATCTCTTACCTTTTTGGCTTTTCATTCTTCTTATCGATCACCGCAGGGCTACTACGTCTATATGCTGCATGTGAGTTCTGATCCGAACAATTGTCAGTATCACTCACCTGGCCTTTTTGGACTTACGTCCGCCCTTGTCAGACGATTCAGACGCGTCCCTTCCACGTTTGTGTGGTATACAGGGTGGTGGTGTGCTGGGGCGTGTACTTACATCAGAGTCTTCAGAGTCTGTAGATGAAGAACTAGATGCAGATGAAGATACCGAAGAAATGGAGCCAGAGTGTTTGCGGCGAGCCATGGTGTTGGAAGAGCTGAGTTGAAAGATTCAAATAAGATAATCACGCATATGATCGACGTGTTATTGATATTTGTTTGGATCTATTGATAACATATCAGACCAACATACAGGCAGACGCAATATAGGCGCATCTGCAATATTTTATTACAGTATACTGACAAACGAGTGCATGTACGATCGGACACGATACACGATCAAATTGAGCAAAAAAAGTAATGTACATACAATTGAGCAGCTTCAATCTAGTGATATACATGTAGCACAATTTAAAAAAAGAAGACCTATGCCGATGCGATGGAGCCATCTTCCTCCTCGTCGTCATCCGAGTCCGTTTTAGAGTTATTTCATCTGATGGGAGGAATAGGACTTTATTCCAAGACTTAAAGATCATCTTCTTGCACGTCTTCGCGGGATCGTGTACACTGGAGAAGAACTTGAATTCACTGACGAAGAACGGTCCCAGATAATTATCGCTAACAACAAACTCCACGAGCACAGTGTCCTCCGGATCAACTACACCACCTACGACTTACGGCGAGAGCAAGACTCACTCAACCCACGCACCCGTGCCGACATTATGGTTCTGTCGCATGAGACCGATGACGCACGACACCCTTATTGGTATGCGCGGATCATCCGGATCTTCCACGTCGATGTTTGGGACTGCAATGATGCGTCCATGGAGAAACCGCATCGGATGGATTTCCTATTCGTGCGATGGTTCGGACGCGATGGAGATTACCAATCTGGGTGGTCTGCAAAATGTTTGCATCGCATTGGCTTTCTTATTGGCGAAGATCCTGGCGCCTTCGGTTTCCTGGATCCCGATGTTATCATTCGAGAAATTCATCTTATTCCAGCATTTCAATTGGGCAAGACTAATGAGCTCCTTCCTCATTCATTTGTCCGACGCGAGGCAGATTCAGATCAAGATTGGGCGTATTTCTATGTAAATATGTAAGTGTGCTGCGCCTATCTATTTCTACTTAATTGATCTATCTAATTATAGGTTCGTAGATAGAGATATGTTTATGCGATACCGAGGAGGAGGTATCGGCCACAAGATAACTCGCGAATGGGATGAGTTCCTGCAAAGTGATGGGGCGCGGGTGGTAAAGGAGGACAGAGAGGACGAGGACAGAGAGGAGGAGGGAGACGGAGATGATGTAGAAGATGGAGACGAGGAAGAGGAAGAGGAAGGAGACGGAGACGAGGGAGAGGAAGGAGACGGAGAGGAGGAGGAGGAGGAGGAGGAGGAGGAGGAGGAGGAGGAGGAGGAGGAGGAGGAGGAGGAGGAGGAGGAGGAGGAGGAGGAGGAGGAGGAGGAGGAGGAGGAGGAGGAGGAGGAGGAGGAGGAGGAAGACCCCGATAGGATAGAAGCAGACGAGGGAGAAGAGTTAGATGATAATTTCATGGCGGAAGAGGGCTACGGCGCTCTGTAGTATAATATACTATGTTTTCACGTTTGATCTGTTGTGTGATCCGCTGTTGAGTCACCCATCTTAAATCTCATTATGGGGAGGCAGATTAAAATTTTCTAACACACATATATTCATTTGTTACTGTAACGAGGTACATATAATAGTACTACCACCTTATAACTACAATATATGTCGCTGTCACTGTGGTTGAACTGTGTTAAGATTCGTGTGAGGGTCGTGACGTGTTTATGACACGTAAGCTTCGTATGACGCATGCATATATGCGTCATAATACTCGAACGTTTTCACAATTCCTAATCAGGTAATGTTACGTGTTGTGACATTTGAAGAGTTTTGCTGATGCGCCACCTGAAGTCCGACTGATAACAGGGTGCGTACCATGAACTCACAGATTTTGCTTATATCTCCATACTTGCCCTAATTCACGTTCACTATCTCCTGCCTTACCAACATGGCTTCAGAGGACCGTTATGCAATCTCCGTTGACTGGCTCAAAAGCTTAGAGGTTGCGTCGTCTACCGGAGATTCTACCTCATTTGTGAGCCATTTCCTTTCGGACGGGTGGTTCAGAGGTCGGTGCTTGCCCAAGAAACGGAGGCGTACTCACAAGTGTTCTCTCTTAGATCTTCTATGTTTCTCTTGGGATTTCAGGACGCTATCAGGTGTGGAAAAAATACACGGATTCCTCTCGGAGGTGGTTGATGGAAAGACCCGACTTGAACATTCTGGTCTTCGTGACTTCAAGCTAGACGATCGCATCGCCGCAAATGCGCCTTCACCATTCAAACTGCCAGGTCCACAAGGCATTCAAGGAGTACAAGGTGCTTTCACATTCACCATTACGAAACCGGCTGCACTCGGGCGAGGTTTCTTCCGTCTGACGCAAGATACCGATGGGAAGTGGAAAGCTCTAACCCTTTTCACAAACATGCAGGACCTCGTCGGGCACGAGGAGTCTTCCGCAGATCAATACGGCCTACATGAGGATCGAAAAATGACTTGGGAGGAAGATGTTGACGCAAGATTCCGTGCTATAGAGGCGGACCCCACTGTTTTGATCGGTGCAGTGCAGTTCCTTTCATTAATCATGATGACTTGACGAGCGTAAAAGTCGGTGGTGGACAAGCTGGCCTTATGTCTGCGGCGCGGCTGGGTAGGTTGGGCATCCGTACGCTCGTGATTGAGAAAAATGCGCGTGTCGGAGACTCCTGGCGACACCGGTATGTACAAACACAGCGATAGTGCGTCATTCTTTGTCATACTAGATACGAAACACAGGTACACAAATCTTACGCTGCATAGTCCCGCATACCAAACCTCCAGTGCGTCTTATCATTTTTTCTATGAGAGGCCTTGGGCTTATCTATACACAGTGCTTTACAGTCCATATCCGTATGTGTTTGCCGCCATTTTAAGGTATAATCTATCTCAGTAATGTTAGGACAACCTTCCCCAACTATATTCCTAAGGGGCAACTTGCTAATTTCCTCGATTCATATGCTGTGCACCAGGAATTGTGTATCTGGCTCTCGAGTAGCATAGCCTCACCTCCAGTGTACAACTCATCATCCGCAAGATGGACTGTGGAAGTCCAGCACGGAGACCGGAAAGTATTCATTAACCCGAAGTACCTGGTACTTGCCATAGGAAGCGGGGGTCCTTACATTCCTACTTGGAATGGAATGGATGAATTTCAAGGAGCCTTGTATCATTCTGACTTTCATAAAGATGCAGAGCAATTCCGAGGCAAACACGTTGTCGTTGTGGGTGCGGTAAGTCGTATGTCTACATCTCACACTTGCGTGCACACTCATGACAGCGTCAGGCCAATGCTAGTGCAGACATATGCCAAGATTTCGTAGCGCATGGCGCCACTGAGGTGTGTATGGATTGAACAATATCAAAGTCTTGATTTCATAAGGAAAGAAAGGTAACAATGGTCCAAAGAAGCGCTACATGTGTTATGTCTTCGACTACCGCAGAGAAAACCTACTACAAGTCGCCTTTCCCCGATGGCACCCCTGTCGAGGAACTAGATTTCCGCAATAATTCAATGCCTAAGGCTCTTTTCCTGCAACTGAAAATTTCAGGTGGGATACAACACACGAAGATGCTCGACAAGGAACTCCACGACGGTTTGCGCAAAATTGGATTCAACTTAACTTGGGAACCTTCGCCCGGTAGTGGCGAGGTTGGACTAGAAGGATTTGTGTTCATCCGCCAGTCGTCAGGAACTAGTATGTTAGGATTTATTCTTGAGATGAGCGACATTTCAAACACCATGCAGTGCTTGGCATTAGCTGTAGTAAGCTAATCGAAGGCAGAGTTAAGGTAGGACTTGTATTCATTGTCTGAGGGCTGTCTGATTGTTGCGATATACGCCCAGATAAAGCAAGGAGACATCAGTCACTTTGAAAAAGATGGGGTCACGTTTGAAGACGGTTCCAAGCTTTCAGCAGACGTTATCGTCCTAGCGTATGATATGACTGGTAATTTCTCGTCGATCCTTCTCACGCACGTTCTAGTACAGGAAATGAACCCATCATGAATACCGCGAGAGCTCTTCTTGGCAATGACATTACCGACCAACTTCTTCCGCCTGTGGTGCTCGGCCTTGACTCAGAGGGAGAATTTAATCAGACATATCGACCTTCTGGACATCCGGCACTTTGGTTTGCTTCTGGTCCATTTGGGATCTCGCGTTTCTCCAGTAAACACCTGGTGGGCTACCTTCCTCTGTCTGTCTATATATCTCTTGATGAATGCAATGATGTAGGGTCTCCAGATCTTGGCAAA